TGCAATAACGTAATGTTATCTTTATCTTCTTTGAGCCCCTATCTGATTTAACTTAATTTTATTGTAATGTATATACTTTTATACTTTATTTTATGAGATTCCATATGTACACATGTATTGTAGTAATATTATACGATGTTAATCAGAAAAAAAAAAAAAAAAAAAAATTTCAATTATGCACACAATATTGAGAACCATGTTTGTCTCAGGAAGTTGCTGCAGCATATCCACATTTTTAAGAAGCTTCTTGCATTCATTTCCCTTAAACTGGCGGCTGGCCACTTTACAGCTTCTATCAGGAGCTGTAAAGTGGCCAGCCGCCTTCCACATTTAACTAAGCAGTTTTAAGGATCTTGAAAAGATGGTTGACAACTCCTAAGAGGAGGAATTTGATTGTGGAAATTATTCCATCGGTGGAATAATTTCCAAAATCAGAACATTGACAAGCTCGCAGATGATTGGCTTTCGACTTGAATTAATTGAGCCCAGGCTTGAATTAATTGAGCCCAGTGTTCGCAAGTTTCCATATTTGGCAAGACAATTGGATTTGACGTCACACCAGGTGCAAGGGTACGTACTTGAATGAGTTTGAAGACCACACTATGTATACGGAGTATGTTTCTGATAAATCTTCTGAAACCCCAACAATAATTTGTCTCTTGATTCCAGTGTATTTACCAGTCCTTTGAGTGAGGGGTTGTTGTTAGTGCGGTGAGCTGGTTTCATCCCTTAACGCAGTATCAAAAATGCTTAGGCAAAACTTGAGAAAACCTTTCCCACCATCAACTCCGAGCTTAACAAAATAGCCATCAGAAATTTTACAGGACTGAATAACATGATTCACAAGACTTGATAAATCATTGCAGTGAGCAACAAGATGAACTGTACAAGAATCTGTTTTTTCGTCTGAGATTTTTAAGTCGCTGCAGGTGAAGAAATCGCTTAATTGTTGACTTAGTCTTATGTAAAAGTTTCGCTCTACCATCTTGCTGCTTGATGTTTTGTTTACAGTTCTAACAAGTTTCTTTAATCCGTTGTTTGATAGGCGTTGTTTGACAATTTGACCTAAATTTATATATGATAACAATCCACTTAACATAGTAACACATATTATTAATTAAAAACAACTAAAATAAAGGAAATATTTTCTTGATTTAATTGAGGTAATATTAAATTAGTAGGAAATAATTCTTAAGTATTTCTTTCTTTACCAGGAAACAATTGTTTAAAATATTTACTTGTAAGAAAATTACATTATTGATAATTGTCACACTTATTAAACTAATGATACTTGTCACACGGGTTGTTTTATTTCAAAACAACCATTTAACCTAATTAGTTATTCCGTTAGAGTAATTTTCCTCCGACTGGCCCTCCAAACTTTGTATTGGTCAGATAAATTTTTTAAGTCAATTATCTTTGTCAATATAAAAAATACTTGTTTTTTTCATAGTTGTTCTGTTTTCAGATAAATAAATATTTTTATTTTCTATCTAGGTATCCATAGAAAGCCTTCTTAACCATTTTTTTAGAATTTTTTTGCATTCTGGCGGTAGTTTATACCTTAGGAAATGTTGATATATTCGCACTATTCATAAATGGCCGTCAAGGGAGCCATGGCCTCCCCACTTTTTCGAAGTAAGTGGAGAACATAGCCTAATGCCTACCTAGCTGTCCCACTTTTGGGCAGCTAAGTAGACATTATAAGGATCCGTGCTAACCGTGTTACATATTAACTTATTATTAAGTTATTATTAAATTGATAAACATTTTTATTATTGATTACAACAGTTTCATTATTAAAAGATTAATTATTTTTCAAGCTTATTTATTGTTAGTTTTTTACAAATTTTTATTTCAAGATTTGTGCAAAATGTCTGTACTAGTAAAAACCACTTGAAAAAAACTTTTGATATTGATTGGTTTATTAAAATTTTATAGTTATTTTTATATGGTCTCCACTTACTTCGAATTTAAGTTTGAAAACACGCGCAAACTGATCAATCGGGAGATTTTTGAATAAAAATTAACGTCGTTTTTTGACACAACTAAAAATATACAATTGATATATAATGCAAATATTAACACTAATCACAGTTACGCAATCATATTTATAAATTTATTTACTGTTTTCTTTAATAACTTCTTTAACAACTAAAAGTAAAGTATAAAGAAATGACAACAACTAGCTTTTACAAAACATTTTTTGTTACAAATTGATGAACGCTGTTTTCTTATATTATTTGGGCATTTCCAAAATAGCAAGCACGAAAACTCGTATATGTTTTGTCTATTATTTTCATAACAACAAAACTGGCGATCTCCAATGTACTCTCATTTAGTTCTAAAATATATAAATATTTTTTAAACAAAGAATGTTTATACTTATTCGACATAAGTATAAACATTTATATGTTTATACTTAATAAAGATGCTTTGCAAAAAGAAATTGGAACTTGAGAGACCAAAATATTGGCCCCAATATTTTGGCCTACTCTGCCCCAAACGTGAGAGCAACAAATTGATGAAATACTTTTTTGAAAATTTTCAACTAGACTTATATTCATCAATAAATTTTAAGTTTCATTGTAAAATATTTTAGCGTTCAAAAATTATAACCATATAAAGTTTAAACCCACCTTAATTTAAAGAGGATGCAAACTTTATATTTTAAATCCTTCCATCTCTGCTAAGTGAAGAATCTTATAACTTTGAGTGAAAAAAAACAAACATGTTTTTTAGGAAATTTATTGAAAAACTTTGTTTCGAGCTCTAATGATCCATAATAATTAAAATTTAGATAATAAATATTTAATAAATAAAATTTAGATAATAAATATTTAATAAATAAAATTCAGAACGTTTTTAAATTTTAGATAAAGCAATTTGAAACAAACCGACTAAAAAAAACCTTAAAGAAAAAGCCTTTAAAAAATATGGGTATGATAAGAGCAAGCTTACTGAAAGAGCGCTCTCCTTCAGCCTCTGAAACCGGGATTGTATTAAACATGCGAAGCAAAATGCAGATGCTATGAAATATTGACTGAAGACCTTACTGGTAGATTTCGTTAAGCAACTTGATAAAGGAAAGGATTCTGTTTGTTCAAAAAAATGCAATCGTTTGAGAATATTTAAATGGCGGATTTCTTCAATCGACTCCTCTTCTTTTACATCATTTACGTAGAGATTGTTGCTAGGGTTTTTTACGGGTAGATTACGTAGATTTACGTAGATTTACGTAGAGATTGTTGCTAGGGTTTTTCATTTTTCTTTCTAAGAAATTAAGCACAGCTTGTTCATCACTAGAAGAAGATGAAGACCACTAAATTAAAAAAAACAATATCAGTGTCTTCTGAGCTATATCCATTTTTCTTCTTATCTGCTGGAGCAACATTGATTCATCTTAGAGGAAGTGGGCTGTGTTCATCGACTTGCCGTGAAGTGTTTTTCTTTACCTTTCGTTTGTCATTTTCTTAACAAAATCATTTTGGAACGAAGCTAATCCAGATGCAACCACTTTTGATTCTTGGAGGATTCAGGGCCAAGAAGAACTTAGTCGGTCAAGATGATCGATTAGAGTCTTTAAAAACAATGTCTAGTTGTCCAAAGAAATGCTTTTCTTTCCATAGAAATGCTTTAATCAATTCGGATCTGATCCAAAATGTCTATAATCAGTTTTTGTCAAAAACCTTTTTTTCTCCAGATTTTCTCTTTTACAATCCATTGGTTGTCATAGGCGGAAAAATCGAAGAACATAAGTAATTTGTTCCGCATGAGGTACATCCGTAGTTCCATCATCAATAACGGAAAAATAAATGGCTGCGTTGATATCTTCGACAATAGCAGCAAAAAAAATTCCCTCACATATATTGAGTTCTCCAGCGCTTGTATTCCTAATTCTTGCTTTTGGTGTCAAAAAACTCTTTCTAGATGTAACTGGAGTATCTAATTGTAAATCCCCAAAAGCTCAAGGGTGGCTAATAATTTACCATTATCATCCTCATCCAGCATGTTTGATAATCCTACGCAAACATGAGCATAATATTGAAATAAATATTACATCTAGATTAATATTCCAAGCAACATTAAAATTATTTTATGAATATAAACTGTAAACAGACCTCGTAAACTTAGATTCCCCAAAGCTAAATTGAGAGTGACGTCAAGGACGCAGCCTAAAATAACATTCTTCTTAGATGCCTTATTTCTAACTGACTTTTTAAGTTCTGAACTGATCCCGGTCTGATTTTTCAAGATTTCGAAAGCTGATTTCCAGACAATGTAGAAATTATTGCGCTGATAACATCAGAATGGTGGCTATTAATCTTTTTTTGTAGTTTTCGAACACTTACGGGGACATTAGCATTATCGGAGACATTTTAGTGTACCCATTGATTTTTTGTCCCCGTAAACATTTTTTTTTTTGTAATAAGATGTACCCATAGGAAACTTTTATAGAGACCGAAAAGTACATACATCGACTATCAAATAGCCTGACTCGCAAGGGAGTGCTGCTACATCGACTGAGAGTTTAGTTAATATAAAATATGTAAAATAAAAAAAATATATATATGTAAAAAAATATATATATATATATATATATATATATATATATATATATATATATATATATATATATATATATATATATATATATATGTATATATATATATATATATATATATATATATATATATATATATATATATATATATATATATATATATATATATATATATATATATATATATATATATATATATATACAGTAAATATATATGTAAGATAGCTCATAATAAATTTTTTATTGCAACGATTATTTTTAAATATAAAAAAACTTTTTCGTATTCAGAAAAACAAATATTTGAGACAAAATAGACATTTTTAGTGAATTTATTTTTAATTTGTCTTTTTAAATCTATCCAATTAAATTCACTTAAATGTAACGGATGCAATAAAATATCCAATTAAATCCACTAAAATGTAACGGATAAGATAAACTATTCTTTACATATTTGATGAATTTTGCAAAGTAAACTTAAGCAAATACTTTTTGATTGGTCAATAATTAATATCACAGGTAAACATTGAACAAAAGAGTTATTATAATCAAATGTTTCTCGTTTTTATCACGGTTATAAAATATAGCAAAAATCTTTTGGAAAAAATTTGGAAAAGAAGTTGATGTATATATATTTTACAGCATAAATGATCACGCCATATTTGTAATAACATAAAATGTCGCTGTTTGCAACAAATTTAAAAAGAATTTTAATAATAAAGTTCAAACACCGCCATGACAGTTTATCAGATCAATATAATAGACTCTTTGTTATGAAAATGATATTAGCTTGCACATTAATATCAGGGCTAAACTGGTTTAAAGATCCTTTGAACTGCATTGTACCTGGTAATTTTTTCATTAATACTTTTTTATTCGCTCAAATATGGCAAGTTATTCATATCGTTTAAAGGAAAGAACCTAAATTTTATATGTTCGAAAAAGTAATTATTTGTTTTATTTAAAAGAGAGTTTAAATATGTTATTTTTTTGAAAAAAAATGATGCAATTGCTATAAAAAAGTTCATTCATAAAAAAAATTAATTCTTTTTAGCCATAAGTTCTATTGATACTTCATTTGTCACAACCGCCTGTTGGATACAAGGTTTATATGTGTATAAAGAATTGATTAACAGGACGGTCGACTCAAGCTATTATGGGATTTCAAAAGACATTGATATTGACGGAATTTCTCGTACCGGATCAGTTTGCGCTACAATTGAAAAAGTTAGTAATAACTCTACCGATTGTGTTGCTATGGAGAAATTTTTTTTTTCACAGGTAAAATATCTATCATAAAAATTCTTAGAAATTCATTCCATAAAGTCTGCACAGCATAATCACCGAAGCTTGTCATCACTAATGATAAAAGATCTTTGCTTTGGCTTTAAAGCTTTTAAGCACTTTGGCGCAGCTACAAAAACATTTTCGTTCTGATGCCTCAATTCTTCTATTTCATATAATTAAAAAATATGATCCGTAATAATTCGATTTGTTATCAACAACTTATTTACTTGCCGCTTTCGAAAAAAAAAAAAATTTAAATAGTATATAAATTATAATTTTTTTAAAATAGTACTTTTTATGTATTTTTTTATATTTTGCTTTATTAAAAATAAGTTTTAATTAGTGTTAAATATATTTACAAGATTTTACGTTTGACAGGTGTCACACAATTAAATTTATAAAAATTTTCAATAGCTATTATCACTAAAAGTCTTTTATCGATCAATGATCAGTTCAGATTTTTTATACAGATTGCCTAGTTCTTGCTGCTTGTAACTTTTTTTTTTCAATTTTGTCTTTTTTAAATGTACTCATCTGAGAATTTATAAAACGTGTCAAACCTTTAGAAAACACACATAAGCTTTAAAAATGAATCAAAATTCTATAAAAATCAATAATAACTATGTATTATGATAATATTAAAGTCACTTGACAGAATTACTTATGGATAGTTGTCACTTTGAACTGCTAAAGTTACATTCAACGTTTAATTTTCATTTTAGTATCAATGGATTCCCTTTTTCTTGGCCGCAATATCTCTGCTGTATTACATTCCTTATTTGGTATTTCTCTCTGTAAACAGTGATCTTGTTTCACTTAACAAAAGTTTGAATAATGGTCAGGATTCAAAATGGATAGCGATATATTACTTCAAGAAACACAACGCATGTACAATGTTTTTTAAAGTTATTTTAAACTTGTCTATAAAGATTCTTTACGTTGCAACGAATATTGGCACTTTTGCATTGTTTGATTATATACTCAATGGCTCCTTCCGTTATTTTGGATATAAGTGGATTATTTGGGCAAAATCTAATGATAACAATATTTATAAAGAAGTAAACAATTTTAGGAAACCTGGTAAGAGTTTTATTTACAAAAAAAAAAGTTGAATATATTAAGAATTGAATAACTGCTTAGTTATAAGAAAATATATTTTATTGTTAAACATTTCCAGATAAAGTAGAAAGATATTACTTTAAATAATGATATTATTATTCTCTTAGTGCAGGGGGTTGGCAACCTTCAATAATAATAAAAAAACTTTTCGAGTGCCGCAAGGATGATATTGTAAAAAACTGTAGATCATTATCAACAAATTTTAATTTTCTGATATTCAATGACACTTAAATATCATACATATTTATATTTATATATAATAAAGAAAATAAAGAAAGAAATAATTTAAGCAGTAATAAAGAAAAAGATTTATGCAGCCATGGCGCAGTTATGGCTGAAACACAGAGGTCCGAGGTTCGATTCCGGCTCTAGCCCAATATACTTCCTAAATAAATGCTCTTCTATGGTGCTCTGAAATAAGACCGTAAGGACTTCTAGGTACACCATAATAACTACAAAAAAAAAAGTTCAAGAAAATAATTTAATAAAAATGAACAAAGAGATTAGTGAGATCTTTGTGAGTGAGTTGTTTGGTTGGTTTTTGTAAGTAAATTGATTGGTTAGTTTTTGTGAGTGCATTGATTGTTTGGTTTTACATCAGGTTGGTTTTATATCAGGTAAGTTTTGCATCAGGTTCCTAACATGTGGTCTATAATTTTAGACAATTTCCAAGACTAACATATTCACAGAGTCACTCAAATTACTTTTAATGATGTTCATTTTGCTAAATATTACAAAAATATGTAGATCTGAAAACAGACAAAAGTTAAAATGCCACCAACTTAAGTTGGTTGTAACTCACAGAAAAACTGCTTTTCTATACTTCATGTTTCAAATATAATTTGAACTTCTTTTTGAGAATTTAAAGGTTCTTTCCATTTATGATCTACTGCAAATTCTTCTTTTTTTTTATTCCGCAAATTCTTCTAGTTTTCTAGTTTTGTTTGTAAAATTGTAAATTTTGAAGATCAAAAAAATTTTTGATTTTATATCTTTTAGTTGACGTTCAAATTGAATATTTTATTTTTATTGACCTGAATATCTTTTGGCAAAAGTTCAGTGATTTGTTAAAAAATGACGTTTAAGATTCCTATAATTCGACAATATTACAGATTTAAAAAAAAAGTGAACCAATGGTGCTTGGAATAAAAGATACATTTCTGTAAATTTGGATTTAAAATTAATGTGGAATTTTTCTAACATTTTTTTTTTTTTTGTAGTCTTAGCTTTACATTGTTAGATTAATTTCTATTTCTAGCCTTGAAATACAGTTTTCACACTTATGTTATTTTATGTTTAAACGTATATTTTTGCTTATGTAATGCAACACATTCAAAAATTCATAGTTTTTAAACACAATATTGGCATTGTTGCGTGATAGAAATAATTCTATTCACCTTCAAATCATTATTTCACTAAAAAAATGTTTAAAAAAATGTTTCTATTTTAATAAGTTAAACTTTTATATATTTCTTTGTTGAAATGTTTTTAGTTGTTGAAGTATATAAAATTTGACCATGCAGTAGAGCCACACACTTGGTAATAGAGCCGCATGCGGCTCGCGACGGGTTGCTGACCTTTAGTTTAATCTTTATTTTGAAAAATGATTAATCTTGCAATTTAGGTAATGAACTTTTCCCGCCGTTCGGTTATTGTGAACTTTACGAGTCAACTAAAGACATCAAGCACAGTGTAGCAAACAAGCACAAATTTGTTTGTGAACTGTCGCAACATATTCTTTATCAATATTGTTTTTTAATTATCTGGTTTTTGGTTATATGTGGAGTCGTGATATCTTTATTCGGATTTTTTATTCAAATATTTCAGTATTTTAGACTTCTTGTGCGACGTTGTTAGTAAGTTATTTTTTTAATCTTTTTTTTTTTTTTTGTTTCATCAATAAAATTTTTAACTCTTTGCAAAATAAAATTTCGCAGAGTTAAATAGAATTTTGGTTTGCTATTTATTTAGAATATTGGTTTGTCATATTACTGAAACACTGAGTGATGTGACAAACCAACAAAGCACTTTTAGACTGGCGCAATAAATTGGTTATAATAAAATCTAAAAAAAATCAGTTAAAATGAATCACTTTGTTACCAATCTGTTGCTATTTCACAAACGGAGTTCAATACCGTTGGTGCAATAATAGCTTAGTAAGCACAAGACGGGTTTAACACGTATTAAAACATATTAATACGTTTTAACGTGGTTTAAACGTGTAAAACACATCTTGTGATGGGAGATGAGCCGTTGGTTTGTTTGATTCTTTTTCAGAGCGTAAGAAAACTTAATTTGACTTTATAATAACTATTTCATATATATTCATAGTTTTTCTATAAAATAAAGTAATACACTACAACCAAATACGTCTAATTTTTTTAATACTATTTCATACTTCTGTATTTTTTATTACATAATTTTTTTTTTTTTCGGTATCAAATTTACGAGTTAAATTTACCCTAAATTTACGAGTATTTTTTTTTTAGTTTACGTGACCCACCAACGAAAAAGCTTTTAAACTCGCTTAACTTGTACGAACTGGTTTATTTACAACGTATAGAATCTAAAGATGGACATTTATACAATGAGGTTATTGAGGAATTAAAAAGACTAGCCTATATTTAAAGTTATAAAAATAAAAGTTTTGCATTGAAGTTATTGAGAAAAAGAATAATCTTTATCTAACGGACATAAAGTTGAACAACTAGATACAAGCTGTTGAATTTAAAGTTTTTAAAAATTCAAAACATCGTTCAAGATCAAACACCCGTTGCAAGCATATGAATTAAGTTATCTTGTGCATTGAAAGTGGAAAAGATAAGCTTGAAATGTTCCTTGCACCATCAGAAAAACCTTTTCGTGGTTTTTTAAAATAAAAGAAGTATATAAACTAAATGTTCGGCCAATAAATTTGAATAATCAAGAACATAGCTGTAAATTGAAGTTAAATATTAGTTAAAGAAAATACAAAACGTTTTAAAACTCAAATGGATCAAACTAATCTTGAATAATCGAGAAAATTAATTATAATCATAATTCATGTTTATTTTAAAATGCTCCTCTCGCAAATGGTTAAATATATAAGGTAAATATTGAATGGTTTAGCATTATTGTTTATCAGGCCAAATATATATTATAATTTTATAAAACAGTCGGTTGTCTCCATTTGATAATTTTGTTGTCTATAATATTTGAACAAATGTAACGTAAGAGTATTTAAGCTATATAATAGATATATTATGAAATTCTAAAATATAGAGATATTTACATTTAAAATGTTTTTCTAAAATTAATTTTGTTTATTTTTTGAATATGTAACATGTATATAAAAAACCTGACAATTTTGATTAACTGCGTAAAACATATATGTAAAGAACTTGACATCTTTGTTTATCACGTGTAAAACATATATGAAAAGACTCGCTTTTCAAGTTTGTTAGCGTTATTTTTGTAGTTAAGAAAACAATCCACGTTTTTTATTTTTGAACATCTGCAAAAACAAAACTAATAATATAATTAAAATAATTAACATCTCTTTGCAATGTTTTCCTTGTCACTTAATATACTTAATCACTAAAAAGAACTTGTAATAAAAAGCCTAGAAACTAAAATTGTTGTTTATTAGAAAGCTTAATAACTAAAAGAGTTTTTCATAGCTGTATCGGTAACAAAGAAAGAATAATATGTATGTCCGCTACTTTCGTGATTTCATAAGAAAAAGAGTTATGACCTAACTAATTTATTGAAACATCATTGGTGGTTATTATAGTTGATTGTTGGCGGTTTGACGGTTTATATTAACGGTTGTTTTATGTTATTAACCATAATCGAACAGTTAAAGCTTAAATCGAACATTTAAAGCTTAAATCGAATATGTTTAGAGCATACAATAGTGTATTTTAACAATTAGTTTATTAAAAAACTTTTTAAGAAAACTTAAACGAACTGATTTTTCAAATTTCATGCAAAAAATTATTTTTAGACTATTAAAATCAACCTTAATCCCTTTCATTAGACTATTTTCCAGCTTGTAGTAATGAAAGTCTTGCCTCAAAGATAAAACTATCGTTAAAAAGGATATTTTTAAACTGTAAGTTATTGAAATATTTTGACTGCAGCTATAGAATCAATTTGCAAACGCATTGATAACTCAGTAAAAAAATAAATTTTTTTAATAACAATCAAAATAACTGTTATTCATTCTATTCTAATATTACGTTTCATAGTTTTTCTAAAAGAAAAATAATTTAACCCTTTCTCCCCGATCATCTATATTAAATAAAACTATGACGGCTTTCATTCAAATGTTGCAATATTCTTCAACCTCTTGTGTATTAGGGACATCAAACGACGGAAAAAATGGATTCAAGTGATTAGATAAGATGCAGCTAGAAATCATAAAATATTAATTTCTTATTAGCAACGTTTTGCCAATAAGAAATTTATATTTCATGATTTCTTTTTTTTTTTTTTAATAGTAGATAATGTTAGTTAAACCAAAAATTAATGTCACTGGCTACCTAATCAAAACAAAAAACAAAAAAACATTTACTCAAAAAAGCGTCTAAAATACGCATTAAAGTTTTGATTGTAATCTTTTTGTTAAACTTGACAAAACCTTTAACCCAGTTAAGAAAAAGCATTTATTTAGATTGTCATGGTGCATGAAATAAATTGATTATCATTATAAACTTTTAAAAGACTTTCAAAGAGATTGTTCCAACTGATTTGAAAATGTCTGAGTGACTTTACAAAAGTTACTCGGACTTACAGACAGGCCCGTGCGGTAGATTTTCTCATTATGAGGCAAATCTTCGAAATGCCGCCCCTTAAATGTTTTTCTTTAAAACAACCTTCGATTGTGATTTTTAAAAAAACTGCACAAAATGTACAAATTCTACTTTTTATTTTGAAATTTTAAAATAATGATTTCAACTATAAACTACAACAATGTACAGTATTACAGCTTTACTCTTCTAACTTTAACTTTAGCAAATTCGTTAATTACTGATGTGTAGTCTAGAGTGCTAGCCATTGCAGATTCAATAGAAATTAATGCCAGATTTTTAAGTTTTGTTTGTCCTATTGAACTTCTTAAGTAGTTTTTTATTAATTTTAATTTGGAGAAACTTCTTTCCCCACTAGCTACAGATACAGGGAGAGTTAATAAAATTCTCAGAGCTACAACAGTATTTGGATACAAACTAATTAAGCTATTTTGGCATAAATAATTTAAAACATCCAAAGGTTTCGTAGAATATGGTAGCATTCTGGATACATCACGCAATTCTTCTCTAAGGTCATTTGCATTTATATCTGTTTCATTTTCAACCGAAAGTATAAACTCAAGACTGGAACAATAATTTTCTAGCGTTTTGTCATCTATATCCTTGAGTTTTAAAATGTCATATAAGAACTGAAATTTTTTGCTATGGGTTTCCAGAAGCGTGAATCGTTCATTCAGAGAATTAAGGGTAATGTCCAGAATATAGTTGAAAAAGTTTATTTTAAATTTTTTCTCCTCTGTTAAGGGTTCATCGACAGCTTTTTCATAGTCAAATTGACGCTTTTTCCTTCTGGGTCTAACTTCAGTGTCATCAGGAAATTCTGTACTGCATTCAAGATTCTCTGCTATCTCCTTTGCAGCAATTTTCATCTGAATATATCCAGATTGTCTATAACTTTTCACTTTTTTTATGGTTTCTGATAGCATCCTTACACAATCTGATATATTTATAGTAACAGATTGCAAAAGCTTCGAAACTGAATTAATTTCAAACAAAATATCATGCCAAAGAATTACTCCACATATAAACTTGTAATTTTTAATATTTTTTGCTAACCCTCTCGCTTTAACTTTAGTTTCTGCATCTCTATTGACGTCTTCTATTATCAGAATCAATGCATCATAGATTTCGCAAAGTTGAAATCGTAAAGGTTTTAAAGCATCTATTCTGCTTGCCCACCTAGTTTTTAACTCAAAACCTAATTTTTCCAAATGTGTCAGAATAAGTTTTGCCAAACCTTCTCCGGTTGAATCACTAGCTTCAAAAAAACCAATAAAGAATTCTGCAATTTCATATTTATTTTGAATGGAGTTAAAAGTAACAACTCTTATTGTTAAGGAGAGCTGCTCATAATGACTGACGTCGGGGGTACAATCAGCGATTATAGAAAAATATTTAGCGATTTTTGTTATTTCGACAATTTTTCTTAAAATTGAATTTCCCATTAAATTTATCAATTCATCTTGTATATTATTGCTTAGATAAGTCACTGACCATTTATCAGACTCTCGTTGAATTCTCCTGATATGTTCTTCCATAACTGGATCAAACTCAGAAAGTAATTCTACCAACTTTAGGAAGTTCCCGTTATTAGGTTGAAACAAATGTTCAGTTGATCCACGAAAAGCTAAACATTGTGAGGCCAATAGTTTAATTATTGACATAATTCTTTTTATAACTTCTCTCCAATGCTGAAGTTCCATATCCATAATTCGTTGATATTTAGCGTCAATAGTTTTTTTCTGCTTCAATCGAATGTCCAATTCTTTCCATGCTCTAAAAGCATTTCTGTGATTTACAGACTTTTCGTGCATTGTGAGGGCTCTTATAAGATTTTTCCAGTCAGAATAGCCTTTTTTGGGCCAGTCACTAATATCAGACGAATTATCAAATAATATACAACAAAAGCAAAAAACGGCATCACTTGCAATAGAGTAAATAAGCCAACTTCTCTCAACGACTTCACCATTGCTCAACACTTTCGAATAATACGAGGGCAAAAATCTACGCTTTCCTTTATTAATAGGAAACTCGAATTCTTTAATTTGATGGGGACCCCTCTCAACCAGTAGTAGACGAGTTTGAGATGACATGCAGAAAGTAAGCCATAATGCAGGATCTGAAGGAATTTCTTTTAATGCCTGCTGACTGCCACTGCTAATGCGGCCCGGTTCTTGATGAACTTCTGATGATGTTATTTTTTGGATCTCTTCAACAATTTTTTCTGGAATTGATTGGGGCGGCACTGTGTTTTTATTTGCCAAATCCAAGGCAGTCGCAGTTGACGTGGATGTGCTGCCCGGCTGTTCATGAAGATCTGATGGTGTTAGTATTTGGCTCTCTTCAACAACTTCTTCTGGAAGTGATTGGGGCGGCACTGTGTTGTTATTTGCCAAATCAGTTGCTGCTGATGTGGATGGCTCATCTAAACCGCACTTTTGTACAAAGAATTTTTTCATAACATTGCTGAGCTTTCTTTCTTGTTCCTCATTCTTTAAGCGTTTCTTTTTGTATTGACTTCCAGATAATTTTTTTCTTTTTTGTTCCATGCTGACAATTGCTGTCACTGCTGTAATAAATTTTTGTAAAAATTTTGTAAAATCTTTGTAATGTCATCATGTTTTTAACAGTTAAAAACATGATGACATTACAAAGTTAAAATTTAACTTGCAAAGACAGGCAAACACAAACGTTTAAAAACGTTTGAAAACAGTATTTTGAAACATAATAAGAAAATAGTCCACGCTAATATGCGTTTCAAAACGTTTTTATTCATATTGAAAGGAATAACAAAAGCGAATGCTAAATGAGAGAGAAATTTTTTTTTTATTTTTATAGAAAAATGTGGACAATGAAAAAACTTTTAAAGTGATAAAAACATTCACGAGTTTGGTAGTAATTAAAATTTAAATGAGTCCAGTTTATGATTTAGTACCTAATTATTATTGCAACCCTGAAATTGCATTTTGATTTCGCTACTTTGCCGCCCCTTAATGGTGCCGCCTGAGGCGGCCGCCTCTTCGTATCATAGCACCGCACGGCCCTGCTTACAGACTTTATACAAGTTTCTCGGACTTACCGAGTGACTTTATAAAAGACGCCTTTTGTAAAGAAAACTTGGTACAAAAGACGTCTTTGTACTGAGTGACTTTACAAAAGACGTATTGTCATGCTAATATTTATAAAACTATTTTAATTTAGATCAATAACCATTTAGATGTAATAGAGCTCAATTAAATTGTAAAACAAAATAATTAAATGAACAAATAACTTTTTGGTATCTCCAGTTTCATCTATAAAAACAGATGAACTTTGATTTGAAAATAACTGAAAAGTTGTTGTTTTAATTAAATTTTTGAAAAAGGTCACCCACCATGACCCTTGATTACACACTGGCTCCCATAAATAAGTGAATTTTTTTAAAGACTCAGAATTTCATAGAGATTTCAGAAATAATAATGGTTTCAAATAAAAATAAATAAATTAAATTTTTATATTTAAAAAAACAACTAAAAATTGAAATGGTCGTTTTTCATGATCTTATTTATTCGAATTTCGAATTTTAAAAAACTGATAATGATAACATATTTTTACTTTTTTTTCACATCTTTTCACACCCTTTGCAGTGTTTTGAAATGACTTCTTTATCAATGCATTTAACTGAGCTTCAAAAAGATATTTTTTTAAACATAAATAAATAAAAAAAAATATAGTAATTGTATTTTTTTGAAGCTCATAAGCAGCTTGTTTTATATTTTTATTTTTAACAAAAATTAAAAAAAACTGCCTGTAAAAAAGTTAGCTGTCATAACATCTTGACAAACAATTTGAACCCATTCAGTGTAAAACTCTAAATTTATGCACCAAAAAAAAATTTCATAAAAATAAATCCAACATAAATGAAACAACCAACCTCTCGAAAGCAATGTTTATTCAATTAAAGTTATTTTTATTTCAGGTTTTTTAAGCAAGCCTTTTTAGTAGGTTTACCAGTAAGGATTTCTAGTAGAATTATTTCTAGTACGATAAAAAATTTGTTGTTTGTGACAGAACAAATATAAAACTTGCAACAGTTAGAAATTTTCTTTCTGTTAAAGTGTAAAGACACAAAAGTTATGACAATATAAAATTTACAACCTCCTTTTTTTGGGGTAAGGTGGAAACTTTATTTGATCATAACTTTTAAACGTAAAGAAATTATTAGATTTAATTTCTGTTGTAGTGGTCTGAGAATGCTTTATTATATCAAAGACTCAGAAAGCATTAAAGTTGAATCAATCCTGATTTTCCAAGAGCACTTGTTATAAGGCAGAGAACTTTCAATGTGTAGCAATTTTCTTTCAAATAGACTGAATAGGCGAGACCATTGGATTAGGACTAGGACTTCTTGGGACCCAGGGCTAATTTTGTTTTTGGAGGCCTTTTTATAAGCCAGAGCCTTAAAATAACTAAAAAAAAATCCTCTTAAATTTTTTGAGGCTCCTAAATTTGCGGGGCCCGGGGCTATAGCCCTCCCTGCCAACCCTTGATCAGGCACTGGGCGAGATGCACTGTTAGCAATTCATTAGTATTGTGCAGAAAGAAAATCTTTAAAATTGTAGAAGAGATGTCAATTAACAGCCATCAGTATGTGGATTCAAATGCACCTTAATTATGTCAAAAAATTCAACCAAATCATGGCTATGAACTATAATTTGGTTGGACTTTTTTTATTTTGAAAACTATCTTTATGAGTGAAAAGCTTGAAAAAGGTTTATGTCTTTTTTTCTGAACTGTAACTAACGGTTCTTCTATGAGCGAGTTCCACTGCATTATTCTGAAGATAAATAATTCTGTATCGGAGCTGGTCAGGCCTATATCCCTAACTAAATCAATAAATTCTTTTTGATTTGGAAAATGAGAAACTTTCTTCTATTCTACTATTCAAATTCTACTATTCAAATTTAAATTCCAGACTTCATTTACTGAAAACTAAGATGCGTACAACTTGATTAAAAGATTTTTTCAATGTGAGGTATGTGCGCTACATTTTCAATGTCTACAATTAGCTCAATGTATTAACAGTATTAAACAGATCCTTGAGTTGATTTTGAATTTTCTATTATCTTCTTGAAGATAACCTTTGTATATAGTTAAACTTTTAAAAATTCGATAGCTAAATAGCTACAAATTTATCCTTATGAACAATTCAATGTATCCAATATTCATTTCATCGGGAATTTGTTATGCAAAATATTTCTTTCAAAACAAATGTTTGTTAAAAATGCACTCGTGTTTTGCGGTAAACGGTTAAGATTTATTTTATCTATAGTTTTGATTCTCAAGAAAAACTTTTATTTAATTAAAATCATGATTTGCTCATAAACTTTTTCGTTTAAACTAGTAAACCAGCAAACTGTAACTAATCGGTATCGTTTAAGCTGAGGGATCGTTCATAAAGTACGTACGCTCGGAGAGGAAGAGGAGGTCTGCAAATGGCGTATATAAGATAGAAGGACAGTAGGTCAATTATAAAAGTATGGAGACACTAAGTTAAAAAAAAATACCATAAAATGTTGGGTTGGTAGGTTAAAAGCGTAGGTACTTTTAGAGAGGTAGAGGGTACTCAAAAAATCGTATAGCAAAATGCGAGGGGGAGAAATGTTAGCAAAAAAAAGCGTACGTGTTTTATGGACGACTTCTGATACCAAGAAGAATAGTCTCGTTTCGTGTGGCATTGCTTATATGTTGTTATAATTATCGATACCACACGATAACGATAATAATATGAACCCTATGGTATCAAATGATTGCATAGTCACGATTTGGAAAAAAAAATCACAATTAATTAAATTAAAATTGCAATGCTATTTGAAACATTAAATGATAAATGTGATGTATAAGATACCACACAAGCATTGAGAATTTCTATTAAACTATATGAATCAATTCAAAAAGGGAGAGGTGGAAGAAATAGGAGGCGGGAGCAGTTATAAATTTCAAAATTCCAATTAGGAGAGATCTCTAATCAAGGTTATTTAATGTAAAAATGAGATTTTTTTTTCTCTCTCTCTTTAGTAAACTTTGTTTTATCTCCCTGCGTGTAGTAAAAACCACTTTTTCGAAAAGTATCCCAAAAAACAATTTTTAGAGGGTTGAAGTGGGGCAAAAAAAAAAAGACGAAATATCACTTTTGTGTAAATTTTTTGTGTAAACCACTTGAATATTTTGATGTCGATTACGTTGTTTACGATTTTGATAATTTTAATTAATAATTATTGTTAAGATGTTGTTATTATTAATATGTAATACTCATTTGTCCACTTTCACGCTATGGCTGTCCCACTTTACCCCAATCACACAGTTCCTCTAAAATCAAAAATAGTTGTATATTATTAAGTATATACTTTACTAAAACTTGCTGTCAACCTTAGGAAATGGAATCAGTGCTCGAAATGATGCTTTATTTGTTAAAACTTGTTTGGTGCAGTACATACATTAAACAAAAAAGATATTAAAACTATTCTAGAAAATTTTTTTAATGTGTCACTTCTTCCCATATCTCAAAGTCCTATATCACAGTTAATAATTGAATTTCAATTAATATTTCAATATATTAATATATTTAAACTCCTCAATGCAACTAAGGGATAGAACAAACCAACTCTTAAAAAAAAGCCGATAATTTTTAACATACCCGATTGGTTGTTTATATGCAGACAAAGAATTCGTAAATAATAGCAAAATATTATAAACAACCAAAGCGTCTGTTGTAACAGTTTTGCAGTATATATATCAATATAATTATAAAGATATCTTGAAGTGTTTGTTTGACACAATTTATAAACCTAATTACAATTTAATACATTTGTGTTGGTATTTAAAAAAAAAAATGCTACTTTTAAAAGTATTTCATTTTGCGCTGTATTAACAACAAAAAGTATTTATCTTAATACATTAGTGAAGCCATAATAGCTATTGTATCGACTTTATGTTCAAAGATATAATTGTTTTTATAACATTAAGTTAAAAGTAAATTATGTTACTTTTAAATTATTGTTATAAAAATAAAAGAAACCAAATGTGAATTAAAGTTTATGATATTAAAACGAAACGAGTTAGAAAATGAAAATAATTTGTTTATAAAGTTTACCGCCTCTGTTTTTTAATTGTTTACGCATTCTGAATAGAATAAATTATTTTTTCAAGATGACCGAGTATTTCTAAAAATAATACTAAATAACGAAAACAGTCTTTGAATGGGGCTAAAAGTTATGATTATTTATGCAAAAAAGACTTTTGTAGAAAAGTTAACGCTTCCATAGTTTTTCTGAATCTAACGTGACATTATTGTTAAACATACTTATTTAGGTGAGGTATTGAAAATAATAACCTCAATTTCCATAAAAATATGGTTTTTCATGAATAATTTTCCAAAATAATGTCTTATTATAAATGTCAAGTTACATTCATTAAAAAAACACCAATACGCGCTTTTATGAAAAAATCAAATCCATAGACTTATCTAAAGCCTAAGGTACTTTATGTTAAAAATTACATCTTTTCTAAATAAAACTACGCTTGACGATCTGTTATAGTCGCATTACTATTACCAGATTATAATAGTGGCTCAAATAATCTTTCTATACATACCAAATATGTCATACTTTTTGATGAAAAAACTTTCATCAACCTTAGTTGCATTGAACTCGTGAAGATCCGAGCTGCGATATTAAATGATACTATCGGTACCATTTGATACTAAACGATGCCAACCATAATCTCCAATTGTTTATGCTTTACATTTACACAAAAGTCTAGAACTGCAGTAGCAAATAACATATATAATATATAATAGCAATTATATATATATATATATATATATATATATATATATATATATATATATATATATATATATATATATATATATAAATATATATATATATATATATATATATATATATATATATATATATATATATATATATATATATATATATATATATATATATAAATATATATATATATATATATATATATATATATATATATATATATATATATATATATATATATATATATATATAATAGCAATTATATATATAATAGCAAATAATATATAATAGCAATTAATTGTAATAGCAATAAATTGCTAAATAAATAGCAAATAAATGCCAATCGTACATAAAACAACACAACAGAATCAATAACTCAAATTTAAAAAAAAGTAGAAATAGAACAAAATAATTTTAACTTCGCGTAATACAAGTATTAACAATAAATTTACAGGTCTGTGTTTTATTAAGTATTAAATATAAATCTTGTTTTCAACGTGCTAAATAACGTTAACTTAAAATGTTTAATGACTCGTTAGGTTTTTTGCGCAAATAATATGTCGCGAACAGTTATAGCAAAATAATATTTTGTCTGCCGATTGTGCCAATTGTTTACAAATACCTGGGAGCGATGTCTGGCTAAATTTTTTGTATATGGCTACAATAAAAAAATGGATTTAAAAGTAAAGAAACTCGAAAATACTCTTCTAAAGCAGCAAAATTTAAATTCAAATCTTGTTTCAAAAGTATATCTAGGAAGTTTACGTGATAGTTCTTTATTAAATAACACACAAACAGTTGCAGGAAAACTTGCGAATAATTTTGGCAGACAAGATAATAACGTCTTATTTGGAAATAATTTAGTTTCGAAACAAAATAAAAAATTATTAGAATACAAAGATATTAGTCATTTAAAGGCATCGAAACCTAATTTGTTTTCAAAAAATGATCTGGGAATTCAGTCTAATTTATTAATTGATAAAAAGATTTTAAAACCGAACTTATTTCTAAAAAATCTTTCGTGTAAAAGCCTAACTCGTAATTCTCCATCAGTTTTTAATATTCAATTTTCAAATATATTAGTTCCGAATCTTTTTTCTGAAGAACTAGCAAAATGTTCTTATAAAAAAGTTTTGGTTAAAAGTAAAAAGCCTATTTCAAAAAAGTGCAAAGCTAAAGATGTTAAAAAAACTATTGCAACTTGTACTGATGTTTCAGTAAAAGAAAATGTAATTAATGATGACACTTTATATCATGACACTTACGAGTTTTCATTTCAAATTAGCGATTTAGAAGATTCTTATGATTCTTATAACTTTTTAAATGAAAAGACTGAGGAAAATGAATTCATTGATAAACCTAGTAGTTGTGATTTAAAGAAGATAGAACAGAAAAATTTAAATGTTAAAAAGGTATATCCTTTTTTTTATTTGTTCTGTATTTGAGTATGTTAAGTGATTATTCTTGTTTCTTGCAACGCTTAACTACTGAATCCCATCATGCGGGTAAAGGATGACATATTTTTATATTTAAAAAAAGTTTATCGTAGTAAATAAAATGTTTGTGAAATTTAAGATTATGGATGAAGATTTAAAGTATATAATAATATCATTCTTTAAATCTTCATCCAACAGCCAACAATTCTATGTGTTATATATATATATATATATATATATATATATATATATATATATATATATATATATATATATATATATATATATATATATTTATACAATTCTAATATTTAAAATATTGAATATAATATTTAAAAACTTATTTTTAAGACCAATGATTAAATTATATTTATTTCTACTCAAAATGTTTAAGCAAAAAACAATAAAATTCTATTTAACTTTTAAAATTTGATTTTAAATTAAAACAAATGATTGTCAGTTTTGGAAAAAAATTTTCTTGGAAATTAGAAGTAAAAGATATTTGTTTTTTTAAGAATTAGTTAAATAGGATATGGTGACTGTGAAAGTTTTTACGTATAAGAGCTTTTATATAGTTAAAGTTTGTTTAATATAGAAATTGTTTTTTTATAAAATCAAATATAGTTTACACTCTAATACTCTAAATCAAATAAATTTAAATGTCTTAACTCCAAATAATAGCACGCTTCGCTCATACTTTAAAAGAGTGTTGGTTCTCACAAGGCTGATAGATTAGAAGTTGCTTACATACATACTTGAATGTATTTAAAACTTATTAATTTTTTTTTTCTGTTATAAATAAAGAATGACATCATTGTGTTATCTTAAAATTTTGTGTTTGGTGTGCATATATTTAAATTTGTGTTGATTAATTTATTTGTTGTATGAAATGTTGTATCTTGAATATTTAAAATTTAAAATGCCTAATAAACATGGCTTTTCTCAGGAAAACTTGACAGTTTAAATTTATGAGTGTGAAATCAAAAGTATTTCAAAAAAGCAAATAAAAAAAGCATGTAAAAGTGTAAATTTGCAATTTAACCACCTTTTCAAAAACCAAATTTTTATACTAAAATAAGAATTTTATTTTAAGAATTTTATCTTTTTTTATATATTTCTACAATTTATATTTCGGGAATTCCATGTCAAATGACCCAGGTCATGTCACCAGACATCTTAGATTTTGCTGATTATTTACTAAGCACTCTTAAGAATATCATGAAATATGACTGTTTCACTTTTAGCAGATATTGGCTAAAAGTAAAATGGTCATATTTCAGGATCTCCAGGTCCCTCTTATCTCCTCAGAATTGTTATATTCATTTTGAAAACTTTTAAAATACTTAATTTTTTTACTTAAAAATTTTAACTGGCTATTTTTGAGGGCGATGAATCCAATGAAATGATCAGAAGTGTAAAAAATTTTTAACAAGAACCTGTATTTTTTTTTCTTATTCTGATTTACTCTCAACAAGTCTGAAGCAACCATTATTAAGTTGGGAGTTACTAGAAAAAAAGAATAGAGTTATAGAGCAAGGAAACAGTTGATAGAAGACTTGAAAAATTGAAGGTTGTATGAGTCAGGAAAATATGAAGCTGGGAGAGAGTTCCAAAACCTTGAAGTACGGGGAAAAAAACTAGAAGAATAAAAGTTTTAAAAGCACGCAAGGTCTGATACAGTAAAAGAATGAGACTTTGATGAATGACGAGTCAAGCGAAAATGAGTTTTTGTTGATGGAACAAGAGATGAAAGCTCCTTTGAGCAGCAGCCATGATAGTATTTGTAGAAAAGAGAAAGAAATGCCATTTTACGACGATTTGCGAAGTTGAATCATTGGCAAAAAGAGTTACTTTAGATGTAAGGTTGTTGGGAAGATCATTAATGTAGATAAGAAACAAAATAGGACCAAGAATAGAACCTTGAGGTACCCCAAAAGTTACTGGGAATGAAGAAGAGTGTTGGCCTTCAAGGACGACTTTAATAAAGCGGTTAGAAAGAAACGATTTGATAATCTCAAAAACTTTCCCAAGACCAACATGCCAAACGTTATTGAAAGCCTTAGATATGTCAAGAGCAATAGGTCTAGCCTCTCCGCCTCCATCTAATGCACAATAAAATCTTTCAGTCATAGCAGTTAGGAAGTCAGCGATAGAGCAAGAGGATCGAAAACCATTTTGATTGTCTGACAGCAAGTTATTTGACTCAAAATGGGATGTGAGAAATTTGTTTACAAATACGAAAGGCCTTGCTAATAACAGAAAGAAGACTGATTGGACAATAATTAGAGGGGTCAGAATGTTCACCAGAGTTTTTAAAAACTGGAATAACCAGTTTTCAAAAACTCTGAAAAAAAAGTGTGTGTGGTTGCACGCCTTGTACATCCATGCTTAAAGTAATTTTTTTAGACAACTTGACCACGTTTTTATATAATAAGCGTTTTAAGAATTCACGGCAAAATAATGCTATAAGAAACTAGAGAATAAATTAGCAATACTCGAAGAAAAGAACCAAAGACTATGCGAAATAGAAGATCTAAATGAAATAAGGTAAAAAAAATTAATAATAAAAAAAAGAAAATTATGTCAAAAAAATAATATACCTAAATATTTACTGCTTTTGTTTTCTTATTTTTAGAGCGTTTGTTATTTTCCACTACCAAAATTGATACAAGACGAGGAAAAAAGTAGATAAGAATATATCGAAAATTAAAATATTTTTTGATTTACAACTTTTTCGCAACTTTTTTCAGTCAGTATATGAAGGAAATATTTTATAAATTGTTCTAGAAACACGGGCAGTTTTTAAATTTGTTTTTCAAATGTCTTTACTAAACTTTCCTGTTTTTATCAATGGTCAGGAAAGCGAGAAAACTAATTGCTATTTGTTTGTGAAAAACTTCATTTATTTTTTAACAAGTTTTTTATGTAAAAAAATGAAACGATGCTGCAAAATTTTTTGTGGGCTAGTGCATTGTTAATTTACTGAACTTTCTCAACAAAATTTTTAGGAGCCTATTTAAAACTTTTGTTAAAGTTTTTAATTATACTTTTTTAAACAGAGAAATTGTTATGTTCATTATCTCTAGTAATTTGTGTTAATATTGGAAATTGGGCTATATAAAGGAAACAATTTCATTTAAATACATTTAATTTAATTTCGGTAAATACATTTATTAAAGAAGTTATTCTTTTATTTAACTTATTCTGTCATTAATAAAATATATTATTCAAATAATATTTTTTACAAATAACAATTTATTTTCTTATTTTCCTATTATATAAGTATTGAGAAAAAGCGTCAAATATTGCATATTATTAAAACTTTTTTAAAACCAAAAAGACATAAAAACAAATAAAGATAATAAACAAAAAAAAAACGTAAGGAAAAAGAGATAACAAAATTTCTTTCTACATAGCAAATTAGTTTCTTAACTATATGAACTGATAAAAATTGTGAATAAATTGCATATCAAAACTTAAAATTGTTGTTAAATCGTTTTAAACAACGACTCTTAAAACAACGACTCTTAAAACAACTACTCTTAAAACAACGATTTTTAAAAAAAGAATAAAAAAGTGGTATAAAAATATTATAAAAATCTTTTTTTTTTTAATTTACTTTTTAAATAATAAATTTTCTAGTTTATTTAATTAAACTTGATATTTTGTTACAATTTTGTTTCCTTATTTAAGAATTTTTTTTTCCTCTTCTTAGTAAATAAGTTTAGCTTTTTGCTGCGAATTATTAAAACACTTTAAAAGTTATAAGATGTGAACTGGCGTGGTCAGTCTAAAAAAATTACTTTTAACGCGGACTAACAAGGCGTGCAACCACGTGCGCTTCTTGGGAAGGCTTGCAGTCAATCACTTATTAAATAGTTTAGAGAAAATTGAAAGAGTTCAGGAGAACAATTTTGTATGACTATGACAGGAATGGAGAGGTAATAGGATCAGTTCCATGAATGAGAGATAGATTGTTAGACCTTCCTTTGTTAATAACACTGTTGAAGATTTTTCAAAAGTCTCAAGAGCCTGTCTTCTGAGATGTGAGGTTTAGTGAACTGAGAAAATGAAGCTTAGCATCTAACAGCACCTTTTTACATCAATTTCTTGCAATAATAAATAGCGGTTTGTTCTCAAGAGAGTTATTCTTGATTACGATTAGATATAGCAGCTGCACAAGAAAGTGAAAACCATGGAGTAGAATGAAGCTTGACTTGGAACTTGACTTTATTAGATTCACCAGCCCTGAAAAAGTTTTCTCAGGGCTAGTTGGTTCATAGCATTTAGTAAAATTAGTTTTTTTTAACAATAATAAATTTTTTTTTTTTTGCAAAAAAATAAAAAAATTCAAGTTTTTTTTTAATTAACAGATTCAAAGGGGCAACTGTTTTTGGCTTGTTATATGAACTAATATTTTATACCAGCTAAAAAAGTAATGTTAAATTTTTTGGCTTAAAATTATTGCCAAAATAAATATTAAAAAAATTTCTATAAATTTTGAACTTATTAGTACATTAATAATCGTTTTTATAGTTCGCGCCAACTTTTGGTTTAACAAACTAAAAAGTTGGTCTACTTCAGATTTAAAAGTTTTTGACTAATTTTTGCTTTAGTACAAATTTTTATGCGTTGTTTTCATATTCTTTATTTTAGATTGCTTTAATTAACTTGGTTTCAGTTTCTTTGCTTTATTCACCAACTCTGGAAGACATTAAAAATACAACAAGAATCCAACTAATGAAACAAGCAAAGGAAATATCTCTTAGTGATCCTGAGTTTATTGTTAAGGTATTTTTCAAGTTTTCACTTCTGTATTCTTTACTAAACTGCAATTATGTCTGCATTACGCTTAGAAGCAATTATCTGTCAGGTTTATATTATATTACTTTATGAAATAATATAATATCATTTGCTATTACTATTAATACAAAATATTTATACAGGATATTTATATTATGATTATGGTTTCAATTAATATCAGTGAGGTCAGTTGAGTCATATTGAAATAGTAATATAAATAGATTTGATATATATATATATATATATATATATATATATATATATATATATATATATATATATATATATATATATATATATGTTTTTGAATTCTTTAGTCTAAAAATTTTTAAATAACAGAATTTATATTTTTAACTTTTGATTAAATAAACTCTTCCATCTTCAACAAAGACAAGTTGTCTTTGTTGAAGATGGAAGATATTAATATTATTATTGTAAGATGGAAGTACTTATTAATATTATTATTATAAGTATTAACTATTTCAATTATTTGTGGTGGCAAGCTTAAGGGTGTGGGTGCAACAGTGTTAAAGACGAATGGTGTTCTTTTAAGAAATTACAAGTTTCTTGAGAGTAAGTAGTTATCTTAATGCTGTTTAAACATTCTTGACAGTTTTGCCAGAGACAGCCTGATAATTAACAGTTTTACTGTTTGTTTTTTTTGTCAGTTTTACTCATAACTTTTTTAATATCATAGCCATCCATATTACCAACTATGTCTTGTGCATTTCAATCATTTTGTTGTTGCATGATCAACTATGTTTACACTGTGTGCTTCAATCATTGGGAGTTTTACTGTTATATGATCAACTTGGGGCTTACAAAGTTTAAAGTTATACTCTTCTTAAAACTTATCTGTATGGTTCTAAAATTATGAAAGGAACAAAGTGCTTCAATGTTCAATTTCATGACCATTAAATGTTTTTTTAAAATAATGTTTTATTAAGTCAACATAATGCTTCATTTGATTAATTCAATATTTCATTTAATTAATACAATTATAAAATAAGATGTGAACACATTTTAACATATTCTACAACATTACAAAACACTACTATACAACATTATAAAATACTACATTATTTTGGGTATTGAATTTCCAAATGTACTGGTTTTGATAACATCTGTATTTTTAAGTATTTAAAATTTTGTGGAATGACTATTAAATTCCTAAATTAAGAATGGCTAATCAATTTCTGCATTAAGAAAATCTAAAGTGTTTTAAACATTTAATTTTTTTATTTTGATAATAAATTTTATTTAAATTAAAATTTTTTTTTTTCATTTGAAAAGAATGTCTTCGACCTTCCAGTTTGAACTGAAAAACATTTCAAGCAAGTAATCTGTGATGAATTATAAAATATTGCCTGTATAAATTTATTTTTATTAAAGGTCAACTAAAAGGTCTGCACTGTTATTAAGAATTTTGAAAAATTCATTATTAGAAGTAAATAGTTTTTAGAATAGTTAAAATTCTTCATTAACAGGAGTTATTTGAAGCTTTGAAATAATTACCAGCTATAAGTATGAATAACCACATTGTACATGACTTTATTTGTAACTTTAAAATCTTTTAAATTATCTATTTGTATTTTTTTTAACAAAACAACCATAGAGTATTATAAAATATATACGGAAATTACGTTTTAAAATCTTTTTAAAGTTTTTTGCAGTTTTAAAAGTTAAAATTATCTTTTTAGAAATTTCTAAATTTTGTAATTTCTAATTATTTATTGCGGTATTGTCAAAATGTATTAAATGTTTAAAAATATATTTGGGCTGCATCAAATGCTACATATTTTTTTTCCACCTAATAGACCATTATATGCATAGTCTGGTTGTTTTTTAGTAAAAAAAAGAAAGTTTTATACGCACCATCAGCAAAATGATTCAATACAATACTTGTTTTTCCACGCAATGGCCTTGTTTGTCAAGGTCCATGTCTTGGAGTTATAGAATTGAGAGAGGGTTGTAACCACAACTAAAGTAGCCTCCTCAATTGTATGATGATCGGTATTGATATTGTATGATTATTGATGGTCTTCATGGCCTTGAGGAGATGAATTGAAACCAAAAACAAAACAAAAAAAAACTTGTTAACATGTATGTTAACTTGTTTAGTATTCTGAACTAGTTGTTAAGTCTTCTGAACTAATTTTTGACTTTAAACTTTTTGAGTCTTCTGCCATTATTTTGCTGCCAAAACAGAATATTTTAGATGTGTGTCTTGTTGGAGGAGTTTTCTAGGAAAAGATAGTTAAATGACAGGGTTGGCAAAAACCCAGGTTTTTGAGCAAAAACCCTACCCAACTGGGTTTTTGGGTGGGTTATTGGGTTTTTGGGTTTTTACTTAAGTTGCGTACAAATCTTTTGTAACCAAGTTTGATAAATTTATAGTAATTTAAAAGCTATTTTTCATTTTTTAAAGTTATATTTTCTTATACAAAAGTTTAATTTATAATCAGATTGCATTTTTTTCTAATATAAATTTATTGTTTAACTGAGTTATCTTTTTAGTCAAATTTAAAATAGAATTTATACGTCTTTATTTGACATTAACATGTCAAAGTATCAATTAGAGGGAAGAAATTAGGCTAGTGGATAGAATGAAGTGACCATATCAAGTGATCAACTAAGTAGATTAATATGTAATCATTGCAAAGAGAGCATAATTAAAAAAGTAGTGAGAGTTAAGATCCATTTTGATAAATTCAGAAGTAAGAAAAAAGGAAATGCAAGAATTCCGCAGAAGTATTTAGCGATACATCAGTTTTTATGATTCACTAAACTTCTTGTTTTTATAACAATTTTTGAGCAGCATTAAATCTTAAGTGTAAATGGAAATTAATTTATGAATAAAAATATTATAAATACAAAAACCCATTAAGTTGGTTACCGAAGACCAAAAACCCATAAAGTTGGGTTTTTGGGTGGGTTTTCAGGTTTGGGTTTTTGGGTGCCAACCCTGTTGAATGAGGAGTTAGTTGCAGTCCTGGAATGGTACACAACACAAATATATCTTTATATTAATGCTGAACTTAATAGTAGTAGTAGTAGTAGTAGTAGTAGTAGTAGTAGTAGTAGTAGTAGTAATAGTAGTAGTAGTAGTAGTTGTAGTTGTACTGTGTTTCACAGGAAGGCATGTAATCGCATATATGACCATGCAAATAATATTTTGTTTTGATGATTTGACCACGGCTTTTAACATGTTCTCAAAATTTGAAAATGTGCTAAAAAACTTCCTAGGTTTATCTAAAAAAAAACTATTTTTAGATCTAGGAAAGAAAAGAAAAATAATCTTAACAAAAATAAAAAAAACTTAAAAGTACAAAATAGAAATTAAAAATTTTAACTTAACTAAAATAAAACTCAACAAACAAGTTTATTTAAATTATGTTTTTAATTATGTCTGAAATAATGAACTTTGAATCTTTTATCTTTATTAATGTTTATATAATATTATATTATATGTTTATAATATTATATAGTATTATGGAAAACCCTTAATATAAAAAAAAACAAAAACAATTTACTTCTAATGGTTGTTTAAAAAAATACACTTGATTTAAATTAAAGTGTTTTTTTTTACTAATTTAAAAATATAAGTCTCCATGTAATTACATGCTAGTAAATAATTACTAATATAATATTAAAAAACCATTTCATACTTTGTTTTAATATTTGTACTTTTTTTTTTAATTTGTTTCAAGAGATTAACATTTATCATATAAAATAGATAATTATATAATTAAAAAAAAACATTTTATTGATATTTTATGTAACAATTCATTACTCTATATCTCTTCATATAATCAGTTTTGTTACTTCATTAAAAAATCATTAAAACTTCATTAAAAAACATTAATAAATTAAAAACAACCTAAAAAAGCATTTAAGCAACTTTCAAAAACATTTTTTTTCAACAAAATTTTTTAAAAGTTTATTAATCAAAATCTTTTTGAAAGTTTATTAAAGAGACTTTCGTTGTCTAAGAAAGTCATCAATTATAAAAACAAAGTAATTTTTTATGTTTTAATGTTTATTATAAAAAATGCATACTTATATAATTTATGTAATATAAATTAAAAAACAATATACAACTTTAAACAAAAATCAATATCAGTAAATTGTTACTTTATTTAAAGAAGTTTGGCTTATATAAAAACATAAGTTAAGAAATTTTGATTCTAAAGATATAATTCAGATCAATGGCTTGGCAGTCATTACAACTGAGGTAATGGTAAGAAAGAGTCACAGCACTTTTTTTTATAAGAAAATGTTAACATAAGTGAATGCAAAAATCTAACTTATGTAAAATTCAACTTTCAATTGAATATTGCATTGTAGCAATATCTCCTTAATTTTGATTAATAGTGATAATTTTTTGTTGTTTTATTGTCATTTTTTGTTTCTTAAATACTACTAAAACATTTGTTGTATATACAATGACCGAAGTGGTCACAGTGTCCACACATTGGTTAAAGATTAAGTTAAGGTTGCTTATTTTTATCATGCTTGTCTTTTTCTTACTCTTGATTAAATTCTCCACCTATACAAATCTCTTATTCGTCCCTGTATGAAATACTGTTGTCATATTTAGGCCGGTTTTTTTAATGATGGTATTTCTCTTCTTAAAAATTTTCTTAAAAGTTCAATGTAAATGTATTTGGGCCCGCTCTATCTGTCAAGTTTAGGCCTCTCTCCCATTGCCATAAAGTTGGATCTTTTTCTCTTTTCTGCAAATGCTATCACAGTTGCTGCTCAAAGAGCTATCATCTCTAGATCCATCAACTAAAACTCATTCTCACTTAACTCGCCATTCAGCGAGTCTCATTATTTTACTGTATCTGTTCCTGCACACTCTAAAAACTTTTATTCATCTAATTTTTTTTCCCTATTACTCAACCCTTTGAAATTCTCTCCCATCTTCATGTTTTCCTGACACATGCAACCTACAACTTTTAAATTTTCTAATAAATATTAACTTGATTCCAACATGGCTGCTTGCAGCCATGTTGGAAGTGAATAATAAATAAATATTAACTTGATAGTGGCTGCTTGCAGCCATGTTGGAAGTGAATGCGAATAAAAAAAAAATTGTTATACAATTAAGGAATGTTTAATTGCTGCATTCTCTAAAATCTTTATAATTTTGTCTAATAAGACAAAATTATTCGTGCTTTAGGTTTATCATGAAATGAAATTTTAACATTTAAAAAATCTTTGGTTTAATAATGTTTCAATGATTTTTTTATCACATTACAAAAGGACAAACAGATATATTAACTATTAGAAAAATAATATCAGATCAATCTTGAATTGGTAGGAAAACTTTCAAGTAAAAAATTATTAATTTTTTAAGCAAAAAAAAAAAATACACTATATATGTAATTAATTTTAAATCTTATTTCACAGTTGTAATTGAGAATATTTTTACCATAAGTGATTATGTAACATTTTCAGCAGACAATCAAAATTCTAATAAGATAGTAAACTTCAAGAGATGACAGTTTTGACAAAATGAAAATTGTGTTATGTGTACTTGAAACACAATTTTTTTTTGTAAAATGCAGTGTAATTGTGCAGTGTAACCCTTCTTAATAATATTTAAAGTGACTATTACCTAAAATTTACATATAAAAAATACTTTCAAAGTATTTTAACTTCAAGACTTACAGACATTTATATTTAGACTTTACCAAAACCTTTTCCAAATTTTATTTAAAGAAATATGACAAACAATATTTTAAAGTTTTTTAAGTTGTATTTAAGTTTTTTAAGTTGTATTTAAGTTTATATTATATCGTTTATTTTTTTAAATTATTAAATATATTCTATTTTTATTTATTTTTAGTTAGCATTGTATACAAGAATGCACTTGAATATTCGATCAGTTGCTAATTTTTTACTTGCTTATGCTGCATTTCTACCTGATGTAAGACCATATTTGAAAAAATATTTCTGCAAAAGTGTCTCGCTTCCCTCTGACTGGCTAAATGTTGCAGAGCTTTATCAGGTATGTTGTTAAATATTATTAATATTTAATTTTGGCTTAATTATTTAGATTTTACACACAAACACATACACATATATACATGTTATATATGTATGTATATATGTTATATATATATGTTATATATATATATATGTTATATATATATATATGTTATATATATTATATATATATATATATATATATTATAATATATATATTATAATATAATATATTATAATATAATATATATTATATATATATATTATATATATATATATATATATATATATATATATATATATATATATATATATATATATATATCTATATATATATATATATATATATATATATATATATATATATATATATATATATATATATATATATATATATATATATATACTCTTGCTTGGTTGTTTTTAGTTTTCCTCTTAAAATGTCAACTTTATGTTTTTTTTTTTTTTTTATAAATTCAATTAAAATAAAGGAAAATTTTTTTATTACTGGATAGGCTGCCTGCCCAAACCAAACCCTCAGTTGATGTAGCAGCAGCAGGCTATAAGATAGTTGATGTAGCATCACTCTTCACATGTTAAACCTATTTTTCAGTTGATGTTTAAAAAAAGTAAAAAAATAAAAACATTCAGAATGTTTTTAAAAACAATTTAGTCTTTTAATTTGCATTTTTGTAGTTTTGTAATTTAAAAAAAAAAAAAAACAGATTAAATATTAAGTATTGTCAAAATTTGACTGTGGCATACATTATAAAAATATTTATCTAATATTGTTTTAAAATATTTCTTCTTTTAAAATATTCTGAGGCAAGTTAGAGCTTTTTTTGTTTACATGCTTTAAAAAAGTTGAACAGTGATTTATTTTTTATTTTTTGTAATATGTGTGAATATTTTATTTTTGATTACATGATAATATAATATGGTTATGTAACAAATATGAAAGTTTTTTTAATATTTATTTGTTATTTGATATGATTTTGTGTTTTCAGAAGAAGTAGATTTATTCACACAATTTATTAAAGCTGACAAAACTGTCAAGTCAAACTCAGTAACATATTCAGCCATTGAAGAAATACTTTATAACAACTTTGAATTAGTTAATTCACAGGAATTTATGTGTGTGAAAAAATATGGAAACATTATAAACGCCTGAAAGAAAATCATTTCAAGAAAAATGGATATGCATTTATATTTTCATTTATGTTTATTAACAGCACTGTGTTTTTCAAAACAAAGAAAATCTTTTACAGAACTGGGTGATAAGATGAAAAAACAGAGGACACAGAAACCTCTCAACCATATAAACAACTTTATTACTAATGAGTGCCCAGAGTTGCATGTTAACCAGTTGTTATAGTTACCAGTTATTGGTTAACCTTTTATATAGAGTTAACACACAAAATAATAAAAGTATTGCTTGTGTTGGAAATGCTGTTTTTACAAATCATATGGAAATAGTAGATGCCTTTAGCATAGATGAATCCATAGCTTTAATGCATGCCCTTACACTAAGTAGGGAGCAAATGAGAAAGTTAAGATTTTTTTTTATTTTAAAAGGATTCTTTTTCTTCTTCCATTTTCCAACAACCAACAAGTTACTTGAAGGAGGAAAAAATCGGTATCCTACATTTAGTCATGTTTTGGATGCAAAATGTTCTGTTCTGCAAAATACTTCTGTTCTGTTCTGTTTAATACAAAGAACTTGTAAGAATGATAATTGATTCTGTTTTAAATGTAATTAAAAATTATTTTTTTCTTGAAAGTAAATCAAATATATTTTAATAGGATTTTTTCCCCCTGGAACTAGTATGCCTTCAAAATAGTAAAAACTTGATATTGGCGAAATTATTCACCAAGTGTATCAAGATTATTACATCCTGTGTTTTTGATAAGGAAAATAGAAACTAATCAAGATTTGCTAGATCTTTAGCTCTAGATCTGTCCCAACTATTGATAATGCACAAGAAGAATTAAATGGAGGAATGTGTTGAGTAATTATTCAAATTACCTCAATGTCAAAATTTATATTTAAACAACTCATCAGTGGACTAGGAGGTTTAGATTATACACTTTGCAAAACAAAAACTACTGAATGGATAGATATTGAGAAAATTAATGAAGGATTTCTGATTGATCGATCATCAGAAGAAACATGGATGCTGTACAAAAAACTAGTTAATGAGGATGATATCATTCTAAAAATGGTATTAAAGCTGGAGATTTTGCCACACAAAAAAACAAATCTGATTGAAAAAGCATATGTCTAAAACTACTGTCGTATTGGTTTGAAAAAACAGGACCAATACTTGATGTTAAGAGACAGGGTTATTACTACAATAAAGAAAAATACCGGACTGCAATTAGATGAGTGTTGCAACTCTGTAAGAATGGAGAGATATCTACAACAGGGTCACAAGACTGTAGATTTTTTTCTGAAGAATTAATGTTTATGCACTCCTATGTACAAAGATAGCATGTTACTATTCTCAAATTAGTGTAATACTTTGTATAGTTTCTTGCCAACCTAAAATTAAAAATGACAAATTTCAAGAGTTATAATAATTGTTGTAATAATTCTACATTTAACATTATTACAAAATGCCATGGGCACAAATTAACAACATTTTTAATGGAGTTCCTCTGAATCAACTGTTCATAATAATGGTTAAGGCCTTGTCAATTTATCTGAGGAAGGTCATAAGCAAACAATAAAGATTTAAGAAACTATTTAAAGCTTCTTTCTTAAAGACATTGCATCTAGAACATCTTAGCAAGCGTAATGAGTCATCATTTAGAGAGATCTGATAAAAAAAAAGGCAAAATTAAATATTATAAAAAAGTATTTAAGATCAACAACAGGCCAGGATAGGTTAAACAATCTTGCAATGATTTCCATTAAAAATAAAATAGCTACTGATTTAAATATTGAAGATTTGCGGTTGAAATTTTCTCAAATAAAAGGTTGAAAAGTACTATTTTCAAGATGAATTACTTTATAACACATTAAAAAACTTAAAATTTATTTTATCATAGTAAACATTGTTGATGTTTAATAATAATTGTGTATATAAATGTATATATAATAATATATATGTGTATGTATATATGTATATAATAATATATATGCACATATATAATAATATATATGTATATATGTATATATATATTGTGTATATAATAATATATATGTATAATTTTGTATATTTATGTATAAATGTGTATAAATAAATTGTGTATATAATAATATATATGTAAATTGTGTATATAAATGTGTATATAATAATATATGTGTGTAGGTATATATATATATAATAATATATATGCATATATATATATAATAATATATATGTATATATATTGTGTATATAATAATATGTATATTTAACATCGTTGATGTTTAATATATATGTATAATATGTATATTATGCATATTATGCACATGTATAATTAGGATGGGGGCCATAATAATCTTTTTTAAGATTTTTTATAGTTTAACCAATTTTTCTTAATTAGTTTTTCATGCTGATTCTGAAAAATCATAATCATTTTTTTTTCATTTTGATTATTTAGCCTTCTACTTCGATTTTAATAAAAGTAATTATTTTGACAAAAAAAGGCATTGTTAAAAATAGATGAAATTATTATTAACATTAAATATAAGAAAAGTAGAAAAGTAGAAATCTTTTTCTGTTTAATTTATCAGTAATATACATTATAGTTATAGGTCTTTATAAGTAACAAAAAAAATTAAACACATATCAAAATAATTCATCCAGTTTGCTTTTTTTGCTATTGAAAATGAAAAATAACAATAAAAGTCATCATATGTGATAGAGGATTGCTGCGGCAACTTTCCATGTAGAACATTTAGGTTATAAGCTGTTCTTTGGTAGACATAAGATGAAGGTTTGTATCAACAATCATGTATTTAAACAGAGTAGACCTCAGTGACACTAACTTACTTGTATCCCTAAAATAAAGAACTTCATTCTTTGATCTTTTTTTTCATTTTAACATATCTTTATCTACTTCAATAAAGTCTAGTTAAATATGCCGTCTTGTAACTTTAATCTAACCAAAATAGAACTCCTCTTGCACACCTGATGTAAAGTTTACTGCTCTTCCGTTGTGATCCATTTGTTTTTGTTGCTGGTTTTAACTATATTCCATAGTTTCAACTATTTGGACAAAATAATCGAACAATAATTTTAAACTATGCGAGCCTTCATTTTTTATATGGTTTAAATAATTAAGTATAAATCCACTGTTGAAATTAAATGGGTTTTTTCCAAGCCGGTTGCAATGAGTGGTACACTGACGCTTAAGTTTAATGTCAATTGTAATTACTTTATCAACTCCAACAACTTAATTAGAAAGTTAAAACTCATCGTATTCCATGATTAACCAAACACATAATACTTTCCTCTTTTTTGAAGAACTGAGGCTAACTTTTGCCAAAATACTCTAGTAAGCATGATACAATCATTCAATCTCTTTGAGGTATACTCAGTAACTGCTTCTAGATTTTTTTAAATTATTATTGATTTCATAAAACGTTTTAATTAGAAAAAGACTTCAGATAAAACTTTTTTCTAAAACACAATGATTAAAAATCAAATTCATCCAATCAAAATTTGAATAGCATAAATTTGAAAGAAAAGTTGCATAACTTTATACGCAAAAAAACTTTTATAAAAACTTTTATTTTTTATATCATTAAATTTTTAAAATAGAAGTAGAAGGTCAACCATAAAAAATTAACAGAAACTGAATAGTTTTTTGAACTTTTCTCAAAAATTAATTAATTAAGAAAAACTGGTTAAAAAAGAAATATAGGTTTTTGGACCCCCTCCCCCCCTAGTATGATATATATACATGGAACAGCATAATATTTTCATATATACAATTTGAATAAGGCCCTATCAAATATATGGAATATCACACTATTAAAACTCATTCATTATAATTTTATTATACTAATGTTATTTTAAATCCAAATTTGATCAAATACTTGTTTTTAAATACTAAACGTCTTATCAATAAATAGTAGAAACCCCAAATTAATTAAATTTTTGTATTTTCTTTTCTTTTTTATTTAATTTTTTATTTAATTTTTTTATTTATTATTAAATTACTCTTTTAAATGTCATTAAAAAAAAATTTAACTATGAATATTTATCAAAAAACACTAATTTTTCAAAAATATGGTAGTTTGAACCCCGATCTCCAACATAGTTGATAATTTTTTTTTTTTAATTTTTTGATTTTAATTGCTTTTTTCTGGTTTATATTTTTTTTTCGAAAAATAAATTTTTAATTGTTAATTGTAATAAAATCATAATTAAATCAATTTAAAACGCTGAAAAGATAATGTTTTCAATGTTGTTTATTTACAAATTTTTATAGATTCAATGAATTAAGCTTATTGATTAAATAGTTTGAATAGGAAATAGGCTCGCTTTCTCAGTTTGAATCTATTTATATTATTTGAATGCACAAGACCAAATGATGTGTTTCACACTATTATTATGAGATTTTCTCCAATTACTTGTTTAAACAATGTTTTTGTGGAGTGCTGCTTCTGCTTTAAAGTTAACCAAAAGCAGAAGAAAATATGGATTCTTTAAAGCCACAAATTCCATTCCAATCAATATTTTCTTATCAGTTAAATCTTAACCTCTGTATTTAGGATTAACAATATTAGCCAAGAAATAAACTGTGGCCATTGCCTGCTGTATTCTTTTAGATTACTTTTTCTGGGCATCTTGGCTAATAATTTGGTTAACAGATTCCCTCTGAAGTTTTTTCCATATCACTACACTGTCAATAATAGTACAACTGTCCCACTGCATCAAGTCTAAAGTAGCAGCGGTTAAAGCATTTGTAACAGTTCTTCTGCACTTCGCTTTATATAAAGGTTGTTTACAATATTTGTAACATTCTTATCAATTATTGCTCTGTTTTCTTCACAAATTGTTAATAGAATTAGCTAGTGCTTTAAATACGATTTAAGACAATCAACCAAATTTGGAATTGATTGTAAATATGAGCTGAACATCCAAAAGTGATAATATTAACATCATTTTGAGTTTCCATATTTGATACATTTGCTGCATTATCAGTTACAACACTGCAAACTTTACAACTAAATTGTTTTTTCTCATTTGTTTATAGAATTAACAGCAACGTCAACCAAATAGTCAGAACTATGTGAATAGCCAGAGCTATCAATTGTATCTGCAAGATAGATATCTGAATTTGTTGCTGTTTTTTTTGCACAAACTATTGGTTCATTATGGATATTGCACCACCCATCAATACTCATGGTTACGGACTGATCATGAAACAAACCTGAACAGCCGACTATTAATCTGAACAGTATCTAGTTGTTTTTCATTAATATCAATTCCATAAGGAGGGTTATATCCTAGATGTAAAAAATGGATCATTTTAATAAACTCTGGATGGTCAACCATTCTGAAAGGAGAGTTAGTATGTTGCTATCTGTCCATCAATTTCGTCTTTTTCAGATTTTATGGTTTTAAAAAAGGTGCGAATCCAATATAGTTGTCTATGTCTTGTCACTGCTTGGTCTTGCCACTGCCTTTTTATATGAACACAAAATTTATCTAAAGTAGATTGACTAGATTGAGTTTTCTCAACTAAACATTAACTAGTTTATGCCTCAATTGCCTGGTTGATATTTTCTACTGTGTTTTGACAAATAATATTTTTATCATCTTAAACAATTTTGCATTTTTACATTCCGGCTTTTGCATTTAGCTTTATTACCCTTTTTCCTAAACTAAGTATTTCTTTAAATTGCTATATATGTATATATATTAATTAATATATTAATATCATAATCTCTTTTTCTGCCGGCGCCAGGTATTATTATATAAATTTAATTTTATATAACTTTTATATAAAAGGAATATATTTATACTTATCATATAAATAGTAACAAAAATAAAAGTTGTAAATCAATAGTTCAAAACATGAAACAAAAAATTTAATGGATAAAAACAATAAATTTAAAAATTAATATAATGAATTATATGACTAATATAATAATATAATATATATTATATAATGCATAAGTAATTTATGTAGTATTTTTTTAGCTAGTGCATTTGACTTTAAGTTGATTATTCAATAATTGATCATTAAAACAATCAAAATCAAAAACAAAATTTAAATCATGATTCTTATTCTCCCAATTTAATTCATGACTTAAATCAATTTAAATCAACTGATTATATTTAAATCAAAACAACCCTGCCCTCCTATATTCAATATTTTTTGAGTTATTGTAAAAATAATTTTATTTTTAACAAATAGAGTTAAATCCATTAAAAGAAGTTTTATTTTAATGATATCTATATACTTTTTTTTTTAAATATAATGTATATATATTTTATGTTTTTTCCAGACTTTTTTTGATCAATCAATTAATGACAAATCTCTTCCGACAGCTCTTCGGAAAGCTCTTGTTGAAAAGTTTCCCGATTTTGATGAGTATCAGTTAGGTAAATACAACAAAGAAAAGATACAGAAGAAAACTAAATCAGTTTATGTTGATAAAGAAGAAGTTTATCGGCAATGTCAAGGTGATAACGGGAATGAAAAAGTATAAACATATTTTGTATATTTTTGTGTGTTAAATTTGAGATTTAAAAGTTTAACTAAATAACAAATGTATATAAAAATAACAAATGTAATGAAACTTTTTTTTAACACTTTTTAAAACTTTAGCTGCAGTAATTTTTTTAAAATAGTTTGTTAAAATAAAAATGACTTTTTAGTCATTTTTTTACTGTTATTCCTCTAATCTCCTAATAAAGTTTATCCACTTTACCCTATTGTGCATGTATGGTAGAAATAATATAAGATTATGAATTGTGTAAAACTTGTTTATGATTGTTACATGGTTTTTTTTTGAAGTTAAATTTGCAAAAATGATTAGCCAAAACTATGGGGTGCAGGATGATTAATAAAAATTCTTTAAAAAAAAAAACCTATCATTTCTTCTCCTATCAATAATATCCCAGAATTGTTAATAATAGCTTTCACTGATTTATTTTTAGTTTATCTCTGTATTTCACTGGATTTATACTTATTTTCAATGAATTAATATTTAGTTTGCAGGATTTTTGGCTAGTAGTGTAATGGTAGAGCATACATTTCATTTCAGTTATTTCATTCATTCTTGCTTAGGAAGTAAGAGTTATAAAACGAGTGAATGGAGTCTAGTCTCCACCACATCTCTGGCAGTACAATGCTTAAATTGTATATCAATCTATTGATATTCTTACCTATTAATAGATCAATAGCATATAAGTATTCATTAGTTTAAAAAAAAACAACAATATTAATGGAATATATTAATGGTTGGCTAATTAGTTATGAGCATTTTTTAAAAATGTTTCTTGAAAATTCTTGAAGGTTTAAAAGATTTTTAGGATTTGAGTATATATATATATATATATATTGCCAGTTTAAATTCTGCATTACAACTTTTATATACCTCGAACAATGGGCATTGACATCTTGTTCAGCACTGTCTGCTTTATGAGTTTTAGTTAAGCCACTCAGCAGCCTCAGTTAGCCACACAGATTATATGCAATCTGATTGGTAAATGTTTGTTGTCTGAGACAACATTAAAACATTGGTTTCAAACACTTTTTTTGTCTTTTTTAATGATGACTTAATGTTGTAATGTCGACCTGATTCTGCAGACCAATGGAATTAGATTTTGAGCATTTAAAGCAGTTAGTTAAAGGTGATCCGAGATAAGATAAGAAAAACAGCTGTAGAAATGTAGGGAAAATTGGAAACTTTGTTTTAAAAAAAATTTAACTAAACAATATTGTCGCTGCTGCTATTAGTTCCTAATTCATCATGATTAAAAACGTAAATGATTAAAAAAGATAGAAAAAGAATCTTATGTGATACTTTCGAGGAATTGCAAAATATAATGCAAATGTGTTTATGTTATTTAAAGCTAAAAAATAAACTGAAGTCTAATAGGCTATTGATATTGTTATTGAATAGCAAACCTGTATTTTCAATGCAGTCTCACTTAAAATACCTAAAATTAATGCTGAATGGTCATCAAACAAGCTATTTTACGATAAAAAAATTACTAAAGATGTCATTTAGAGATATTGTGACCATAAAAAGGAAGGAACTTCCTGAAAAAACATAAAGAATGCTACCAAGTTAAAATAGTTACCTGGTTAAATGTTGCATGCATTAAATCTAAAAGTATAAAATTATATAGTGTCTATTTGAGATCAGTTGTTTTACTTTTTGAATTCTGAAATAAAATATTGCAGTTGTCCTGTTAGTTCTAGTAAGTTATGTACTTTCGCTTACAACTTTCGCTTACACTTTCACTTTTGTGTTTTTTAAAACGCAATAATGATAAAATACTAACTGCAATGAAAACTATAAAATCTTGCACTGAACAGTTACAAAGTGTAACCATTTTTTAAAACTAACAAAGTCCTTAAAAAATAAAAAAAAAGAAGTTACATAAATATTATATCATCTGATCCAGAACTAATTTTTAAAAAATGTATCATTAATTGCTTAAAATTTGAAATAACACTTAAAAAAATGGCTGTAACATGTTTATTTTGTACTAATGAAAATAACATTTGAGCGCAAATCATCTATCTGTCAACATTTACATTATAATTAGTCACAAAGAACTGCCTTTGTTTTATTAGATTTGTTTTAGTTATTTGATTTAATTGTACTTTACACTAAAATCGAAAACATTGACTTCTATATCAATAAACTCACAGAAGATTCAAATTATAATAATACTTGAGGAAAAATTACATTTTCAAAAATAATACCAAAAGTGTCACTAATATTATTCTAAATATGAATAAATACTGAAAATACTGTAATAAAAGCACTTATTACGGTTTAAAAGTCATAACATATTTCTCATTAATAGAGAGCTTTTTGATACTGGTATTGTAAATATTGACCTTAGTAACTGTGTGGCTCCAAAATGATGTGGTATTAATTACATAAATAAAACATAAATTAGTGGCATGATTACAGAAAACATAAAATTACAGCTGATTGATTATCTAATTTACTTGGTTTTTTTGGGAAACTTTTAAAGTTTTATATTATATTGCAATGTTTTTGAAAATAAGACCTTCTACACCAGCCTTAGGCCATTTAGAAAATATTAAAAAAGGTAAATTGTTTGAAAACTTCTTTCTAAAGCTAAAGTTGAAAAATGCCTATATACTTTATCAGCCTAATCAAAAATAAATATGGTTGTAGCCCTGATAAAGATATGTGACCCCGATAGAAGAAGTTTGTTAGACTAGAAAACTCAAAACTGTGTTGATTATGTTGAGTCATGAACAACAAGTAGAAAATTTTTTAATCATACATGCTAGAGACCAATACATCAAACATTTTTGAATTAAACAAAATAATACCATATTAGTCATTGTTGAAGAAACAGTAAATTCAATATATGATTGAAAGAAAATGAAAAATTTAAATCAAGTTTTGCAATTTAATTTTGTCATGTTAAAAGTCAAATTTGGCAATCTGTTTTTGTATATGTTAAAACCATTTTGAATATGTTAAAACCATTAAGAAAAGTTATAAAAAACTTTGTTCACATTGTAATTTTTTCAAGATTTTGAAAATTTTTATTTTTGAACTTATATCTATGAAGGGTTCCTTTTACAATTTTTATAACTATAATTTTCTCTTTGCTGAATTTTATTTTTGTTTTAACATATCACTTGTTTTTATTTTTTTATCAAAATGAGAAGCTGCCATTTTTTATTTTTTCCCTATATTGTAAACATAAGTGTGCGGACCGCGTCAAATGAATTTGGCTAATAGACCTTCAAACTCAGTTTTCAAATACCACACAAATTAAGTGCTCTTAAGCTAGGCTAGCTATCAAACACCTGAATCATAAGTTTTTTTTTTTATTAGTTCAGTGTTTGTTTTGGATTATTATTAGTTTTAATCACTAAGCAACAGCTTTTGAATTGAAGGCGACGAGGACAGCAATGAAGATGAGGCCTACAACACTTTACCTAATTCTTATTCACTTCTTTGATTTAAAGCCTAAAGAGTTCTATCCTAACAGTATTTGTTCTTTATCTAAGTATTGGCAAGAGGTCATCAACAATAATAGTACATATATTGTTAAATAGTAGCAAGTTGTATTATTTTAACTTATAGAATTTAAAAACAACTTTTGTATTATTAAATTAACTTGTAGAATTTAAAAACAACTTTTTTTGGAAAAAATGCTCTTAACTTTTTTTGTTAACTATTGTTTTATAAAATTTTTTTTTTTAGATAAAACTTATCTTCTAATTTTTTTGTTTGTAGTAATAAATACTCTTGTCTTATAATTTAATTACCAACATTAATATTATTAATTCATAATTTTTTGCATGATTTATTTATCTCTTTATATTTAGGTCCCTGATCTTTCATTAGTAACATTAAAAGGTTATACTTTAAAGGAGTTGATACGAAAGCTGCATATTTCTGAGCCTGTTTATCATGTCATGGCTTTACTTGGAAAAAAGTAATTTTTAAAAGTTTTGTTTTACGTTAATGTTTTGATTACTTTTATAAATGACAAAAACCAAATTTTTTTTCTTCTTTTCTTAATTTTGTTATTATTATTAATTTAATTTTTTTTTGTATTAAAATTTATATGTAAACTTTATTTTATTTTAGTTTTTTTAATTTAATCTACGTATAAATAAATATTATTTGAAACCTGAAAAAAAAAAAAATCTCAAATTAAAAAAAAGTTAAACATTTTAAAAATATCAAATTTTTATTCCTGAAAACTTTTAAAGCTTCTAAAACAAGTAAATGTATAGCATGTAATTTAGAGGTAACTAAAAAAATGTGAAACCACAGAAGACAACCTACTGAAATAATCTTTAATGTAGATATAAAAATAAGTTCCTCCCTTATATTATTTTTATAATTAACTTTTCTCAAATCAAAACTTTTCTCATCCATAATATTGAATCATTTTTATGACATTTAAATAGTCTTTTATATAAGTACATTTTTTGAGTTATCAATTCCTTTGTGTGTAAATTTATTTAAAAACTTTGGCATATAAACTTCGCCGAATGGTCACACACAAGTAAAGAACGCCTGAGGGTAGTAATGAAGTATATTAGAATAAAGGAGAATAATTTTTCGTACAAAGCATATTTTGAGAGTTGTCAAGACAAAAATAAGGTTAATAGAGGAATATTTAAAAATAAATAAGACAGACAATGCACCTAAAACGGTACTTAACAATAATAATGATAATAAAAAATAAATTTAAAAAAAAGTTGTTTTATAAACAATTAGATGAACGAAGATATACAAGAAATATATCACCAAACAAAAAACTTATAAAACAAAAAATTGATTACAAAATAAAAAGTATGCTAATAACAATGGAAGGCCTTAAAATGGAAACAAAAAACATTAATGCTAATGTGTAAACATAATTGTGTAAGTGATAAACATCTCCTCAGAGTCGCGTCTATTATTACTGGCGTTTCGATGAGTATCAGCATTTATAACTAGTATATCCTGTCAGACAAACGTCATCGGCACTTATGCTTTACCCCGTGACTTACGCCTTATCCATACTGCAGTAAAAAAGGATTCACTACAAATAGCCACCACCCAACCATACCCAAATTTGTAAAACACTAATATTTTTTTAATGATATGATGTAAAAAGTGTAGATCTACTGTACAATGTAAATAAAAATAACTAAATAAATCACTTACCATACCACCGAAAGAAAACATGAAAACACAATAAATTAAAATTCTAATAGATTATAAAAATATTAATAAATTTATTTTAAGATATAAAATCAAATAGGTATTATTAGCATAAACAAGCCAAAGATAGTCAGAAAGCAGTATACCTCATTAAAATTTTTTTTTAATCAACAAAACAACAATAGACTTAAATAAACTTTAATGCTGTCATAGATGCCTCATTCGAAATATGATAACCATTCAAAAGTGTAGGAAAATGAGCAACCCGCGAAACCCAAAATCATAACAATAATTGAGTAATATATGATTAGGAAAAAAATCGTCGCACAAAACCCTTAAAAATGTCACCGGCATAAATGTAAACATTTAATGAAGGATATAAGAAAATTCTCTGAATAATAATAAAAGATGTAAACTGTGCATATGAAAATTAAAATAAAGCTGAGTAATAAATGCAAGATAATATAACATAAAAATTCATAGTAAACAGTAATAATATGAAAATCAGCAGATAAATAATATATTAATGAATATTGTAATAAGACTAACTATATACTGTAACAAAGCCAGATAAATGAGTGGTTAAAAATTTGTTTTGGGTGATATAACAGTGATATAAGTCATGATATAAAAACGATGTACGAAGTGGGAAAAAATATTGTTAAGAAGTAAAGTTTTCTCTACGGATTACAAGTAACTTTGAGAACATTTCTAAATCAAAATTTCCATATATATATATATATATATATATATATATATATATATATATATATATATATATATATATATATATATATATATATATATATATATATATATATATATATATATATATATGAAACCTAAAATGAAAAACTCAATCATACATGATAACCAACAAAAACATAACATCCAAATCTATATCTACATTTCAACCACATATTATCTATTAAAAGAAAATATTATCTAAATAAGGATGAGTTCAAACAAAGATAGTTTATCTATGAAAGAACAAAAAGCATGCAAACGATGTCAACAGGTTGTATGTGCATAAGGGTGTATAAGTGTAATGTGTAAGTCTGTGCTGTTTATTTTGTTCAGTAGAGTCTTGTGTTGTTAGTAACCAGCGTAAAAGATTTATCTCTGAACTACACCAAGCCAGCCCAGCCATACTCCAGAAAACCATGATGGATTAAACACCTATGCATGGATTTATAACTGACTTATGACTAAAAAGCTAGCCCAGGCATCTTCCAGAGACAAACATCCTCTTTCGCGGTGACAGTAGTTGTGATTAGGAAAATAGTTGTGCTCGATATGCCATATTTTTTATTTTGTAATCAATTTTTTGTTTTATAAGTTTTTTTGTTTGGTGATATATTTGTTGTATATCTTTATTCATATTAGTGTTTATAAAACAATTTTTTATTTTACTATTATTATTATTATTATTATTATTATTGTTAAGTACTGTTTTCGGTGCATTGTCTGTTTTATTTATTTTTAAATATTCCTCTATTAATCTTTATTTTTGTCTTGACAACTGTCAAAATATGCTTTGTTCAAAAAATAATTCTTCTTTATTCTAATGCACTTCATTTCTTCCCTCCGGCATTCACTGCTCGTGTGTGACCATTTGGTAAATTTTATATGGCAAACTTTTTAAATAATTTTTAATTTGATATTTATATCTGAAATGTTGAAGAATTTTTAGTAAAAAAAAAAAAAAAAATAAATAAAAAAGAATTGCATTAAAAAAAACTAATTTTTTTTAATGGTAAAATTTTATTATTAAACAATAATATTTTTAAATAAAGTTAAAATAAAAATTAAATTTTCTTTTTAATTTTATCTGAATTTATTTCATTTGTAAAAAGCGCTTATATCAAACCTTTAAGTGCTTATATCAAACTTATCAAACCAAATTGTCATTCAAACTTTTGTAACAAACTTTTTTACAATATTGTCATTCGAATATTTGTTCTTATTATTTCTTTAATCTTACTGCCTAAAAGATATCTTTTGACTAATTTAAATGTTAAAAATAGTAAAAAGTTGGCTAACTGAAATTGCTTTAGATGTATGTAAAATAGCTTAACGAATACATAAATTGCAAGCTGCGTAATGCTTTAAAACAAGGCCTTGAGTGATGGAAATACCACACATAATCAATAAACAGCAGATCTCATTTCAAGTATCATTAAGAACAGAGTGCATTTTTAAGTTAAAATTCAAAAGTTTTGAAGGTCTATCTGCAGAAAATACTTTTTTATTTGAATGAACATTTGGATTCATATGCTGCCTCAGTGACCTCAACTTGTCTTGTTTTAAACTGAACTTATTATCTCTTAGTTTTAACTACTGCAAATCAAGAACTATTTCTTATTTTATTTTTTCTGTGATGAATCTTAAAAACTAAGAAAATTCTTTTTTAGTTTTAAAGATTGATTTTTTATACTAAAATTTTATTTTACTGTTTCAAATGAGTAAAAGAAAGGAATTTATCATTACTGAAAGAAAAAGAATTCTAGTTTACCATGAAGAGAGCTATTTTCAAGTCAAAATTTCAAAAATAATGAAAATTTCAAGCTGTGTGTAAAGGACATTGCTACAACATGTGAAAGTATGGCTAAAGCAGGTCAACAGCATTTTAAAAGGCTATATAAAAATTAATAAATTGCAAGAGAGAGAAATAAAAATCATTTCCTTTTCACATAAAAGATGCATGGCCAAAAAATCTGTGTATAATCAGTTAAATTTTTTCAAATAGGCATTGCATGGGCATTGTAAAACCTTTATTAAAGCCAATTAATAAAACATAAAAGTTAAATTGGGCACATTTTCATTGGTCCATTGAACAAACACATTCACATTGGTCGATTGAACAATGTAAAAATATTCAAATAGTATATAAACATATAATATATATAAATCATTTATATTCATATAATGGATATAAAATATCCATTATATGAATAAAAATAAAATAAAATATAATAATACAATATAATATAATATAATATAATATATTATATATATATATATATATATATATATATATATATATATATATATATATATATATATATATATATATATATATATATATATATATATATATATATATATATATATATTATATATATATATATATATATATATATATATATATATATATATATCAACCCTCGGAATCTTTCTGAGGTCCGCATCAGGTCGGCAAAAATTATTTGATTCAAAGGTCTGACCATAAAACTTGGAAATGAGGTAGGCAAATTTTTGCCGACTTCAAACACTTTCAGGTCGGCAGTTAGGTCAGCATTAGAGAATGTTGACCCTAATTCCAAGGGTTGATATATATATATATATATATATATATATATATATATATATATATATATATATATATATATATATATATATATATATATATATATATGTATATATATGTATATATATATTATTATTACTATTAGTTTATGCTGTGACTGGTATAGCTACTAGTGAGTGTGGTTTTAAAGCATACTATGACAGATGAGTCTTGTAATGGTTTGACTACTATCGATCAAGTCTTGCTTTAAATTAATTTACTGAATTAGCTTTAACAACATTTTCTGGCAGTGCATTCCAATAATACAAATAAGCAACTCGATTTAGTAAAATATTTTCTCTATAATTATGTACAGTAAATTCTTTAGAATACTTTAGGTTATGGCCACAAGTACAATTAGATTTGAAGGATTTATTTTTTTAAAATTCAATTTTATCATAACCTTTGAAAACTTTAATTTTGAATTATGTCACCACGTTGTCTTCTTTTAACTAGTGAGGCCATTCTAAGACAAGTTAGTCAATCTTCATAGCATATTTTATTGATTGAAGGTATTAATTTAGTGGCACGAAGCTGTATTCTTTCTAAAATTGCAACAAAGGAAAGATATAGAGATTTTAGCAGTTCTCCATCAAATTGAAATTTTGTTCAAATTAAACAAAAGATATTTTATTATACCTAACATAATTGCTTTGCTTGCACTCGATAAGACTTGATTTGTTCACTTACGTTATCTAAATAAATCACTCCTAGGTCCCTTTCTGAATCTGATATGTTGAGTTTACAACCATTTATATAAATTAAATAATATAATCTTTTATTTTTATAGCCATAGTGCATAACTAAACATTTGTCAATATTAAAGTTAAGCAACCAATCTTGTGTCCAAGCATACGCAAAGTTCAAATCATGTTATAGTTTACTATGTAACTCATCAGAAGGACTAATTGACATGATTTTTGTGTCATCAGCATATAATTTTGAAATATTTTTTAAAGACTCAGGAAGATCATTTATATAAAGTATAAAAAGTAGTGGACCCAATACAGATGCTTGAACAACTCCATTATACACATCAGCCCAAGTTGAGACATAACCTCCCATAGTAACTCTCTGCCTTCTATTAGATAAGAAAGCTTGAAACCAATGAAGTGCTAAGCCACTAACACCATACGCTTCAAGTTTTAAGATAAGCCTTTAATGTGGCACAGTATCAAATGTTTTTTTAAAGTCAATTAAAACAACATCCACAGGAATTCTTTGATCAACACATCTTGTAATATAATCCAGAGTTTCAAGTAAATTTGTAGTACATGATTTTTTTTTAAGAAATCCATGCTGTTGATTAGCTATAATACTATTTTCATGAAGATATTTTTCAAACTTATTTTTAATTATGCCTTACAGTATTTTTAGGAGTTAAATTAAAGGTAGTATCATTGATTCTTGTTTTAAATAATGGAGTGCGCTTTTTATTTTCTTTGACAAAAACGTTTTGAAAATATTTTTAGTAGATCAGCATTCTTTTCTGGATCCTGTGTTCACAGTTTGGTTGTCGCAGAGCTTTTATATAGTCTTTTACATGTTGTTGTGAATTCATATATTATAATATGTATAATATTATAATATATGAATTCAATATCTTATATATATATATTCTGTATATATATATATATATATATATATATATATATATATATATATATATATATATATATATATATATATATATATATATATATATATATATATATAGTAATATTTTTTATATATTATGATATTATATATCATAAAATCTTCATGGAGCCCTTTGCTTAAAAATTATTACAAGTTGAAAATTTTAATAATGTAATTTTTATTCATCAGGATAATATTTTGTTTAAAGTGTTTTTGATTAGGCTGTCTAGTGGAGTGGTTCCCAATTTTTTTTTACCCATTCCCTAAATTATATATCATAAAATCTTCATGGACCACTTTGCTTTTAATAATTATTACTAGGTGAAAATTTTAAGAATTTAATTTTTATTTATCAGGATAATATTTAGTTTAAGGTTATTTTGATTAGACTGTCTTGTGACAGTCTATTTAAAAATATGCCAGTCTATCAATGACACAAAAGTATTTATCTTAGTTAATATATGATACAAAAGTCAATGGGAAATCTGGCACTGCTTACCATCAATTAATATCTAAAAATTTGGTTTAGTTTTTGATAGAGCACATCTAATATCTGCATTGATATCGAGTCTCTTTCTTTTTTTAGTATTAGAAGATAGCATAGCTGAAAACTCGGCTTCACACAAATGTGATATTGAAAAAAGAATAAGGGCTTTAAGTGCAATTGATGAGCACAATGAATATGAATTTCTCTTTTTCAACCAGAAGTTATCTAATGGTGCTATTTTGAAGTGATCCTTAGCTGTTTGATCATCTATAAATTCTTCTTGTACTTCCTCTTTCGTATTTTTTCTCACAACAAGAAAACGGTGATATAATTAAACTGCTGAAAAGGTTCTCATCTAGCATATAGTTACATAACTCATTAATTAAATTATCTAGGTGACAAATTATTTCTATCTTTATAATTTCGGGAAGCATGTTTTTTCCAATTACGCTATTTAAATTTTAAAACATGATCGAATTTCCATTGTTAATTCTAGTCTTATACAGTTTGAGCTTTTCAATAAATACCTTTAGTATTTCCAAGTGTGTAATGACATTAGCATTTTTGCCACAATATGATCCACAATATCCACATAAAGATAAACCATTGTTATTTTAAAGTTGTCAAATTTAAAATATTCTATTAATATATTCCATTTTTCATTTGACATAAAAATTCACTTCTATTCTAAGCTTGAAAAATTTTCAAGCAGAAAAAAGTCGAGTGTTAAGTGCAAAGGATTTTATATGACCAATTTGACTAATTGATTAAATACAGCTTTTAATTTACCTGGTAAAGGTTTAATTGTCAAAGCCTGTCAATACATAAAACAGTGTACAACAACTACATTTGGAGCAATATCTTTCACTCTAGTCTGCAATCCAGACAACTCATCATGGCAGAAGTTCCATCAGTAGTAATTCCAAACAAATATTTCCATTGTAAATGTTTGTCATTGAAAAACTCTTTAAAAATTTTCATAATATCATGTTGTAAAATATCATAACATATTGTTGTTTCAAGTATAGAAAAGAACAAAATTCTTCCAAACAAAATACAATTAATTGTGCCATTGAACTTACATTTGTAGACTTATCCAACTAAATAGAAAAATATGGTGATTCTTTAGTTTCAAGATTTTTTAGTTTTGTGGTTCATTTAAAAAGTTCTCATGGACCCCCAGGGGTCCATGGACCACCAGTTGGGAACCACTGTTCCAGAGAATATATGCAAGAAAGTAATTTTGTTTTTTATTTATCCATTTCAGAGACTTATAATTATTTTATTTTTAGATATCCAAGTGATTTGGAATCTTTTTATAAATCTAAATTACCGGGAACATGGGTCCAGGTATTTCTTTTTTATAATAATTAATAAAAATATAATTAAGTAATTTGTTTTAATGAACTTTTTAATTAGATTTTCTTTGGCTATCTGATTGTAAATTAGAAGGATTTTTTGAGCAAATTAAAATCTTGAAATAAACTTTTATTTTGGCTCATTATTAAGGCTCGAGAGTTTTTTTTACTAACTTTTTTTTTTTTACAGGAACAAGCTGGTAAAAGGATGAAGCTCCCAATACCAGAGACATGGGAGACGCAACTCTCATTAAAAGGAAACAAATCTAAAACATGGCAAGATTTGCTTGGTAAGTAGAGAATAAAAAAATAGAATTTAAGGTGCTTAAAAGGATTTAAGGAGCAAATACCTTGCTAGGTGGAAGTACCCAAGTATGTATGTGTAAAACTTATAATGTCATTTTATTTATTTAAAACTTATAATGTCATTTTATTATATTTGAATTTTATATAACATATAACATATCATAACATATCGAATTTTAAGTGTTTTGCTTATGCTGATGTAGAATTTAAAGTAAGTTAAAAGGTAAGGAAAAAGTAATAAATTAGTTATAAAACTGATTGGTTGTTAAGTTTAGCAAACTGAACAAGTATGCAATTTTAAAGACAAATTTAGTTTTATAAAATTATTAGTTTTATTAGTATAAAAAAAGATTAGCTTGACAGAATGAATTAATGTTTTTTTTTGGTTTTTTCAAGATCACAACAAGCTGCCATTTATGGCTATGTTGAGAAATCTGCGAAATATGATACTTGTTGGATTAGCTGAAAAGTACCATGCAAAAATTCTTTCTCGTCTTAAAAACAAGGTATAAAAAGTTTTATAAATATGTTTAACATATTAGACATGTATCTCATATATGTTTATATATATATATATATATATATATATATATATATATATATATGTATATATATATATATTTATATATATATACCAGACCTTGGCATGAAGCGGGAGCGATCGCTCCTGTCACGTGAAACATGCTCGTTAATGGAATATTTATAAATTAGCAGGCGTGATAAAAAATGCTCGCTAATTTAGTTCAAGAGTAAAAAATCGCTCTCGTCCTAAAATTTTTTTTATAAAAAGTTTTTGTTAAAGATTCTTGTTTACTTAAACAAAAAAGTTTGCTTATTGTTAAAAACAAAATAATTTCTATTCAAATATCTTTAATTGCGTTTTTTCAACTGTGGTAAAATGTTAAAGTTATACTTCAATTAAAATCTCATTTTTTCCTGTTAACTTACATCATTCTGTTAACTTACATCATTCTGTTAACTTACATCATTCTGTTAACTTACATCATTCTGTTAACTTACATCATTCTGTTAACTTACATCATTCTGTTAACTTACATCATTCTGTTGAAATTAGAGCGCAATTTTCTACAAACAATGAATGATGATTTGTGAATGAGACCTTTATATAAAACGTTTATGGCAAACATTTAACAAAATTAAATAAAATTTTGTTTATTTATATAAGTTTATTAATAATATTAAAATGTGTAATAAATACAAATTAATTATGAGAAACGTTAATTTAATTTTGTAAAAGCATTTGCTAAAAACCATTTGTATAATAATAAAAGTTTTTTAAAGTTTTCTAAAAAAGTTAAAAAAGTTCTATTAGCAACAAATAAACATTAAATACGTTTTAACGAAAAGAAATTGTTATTTAATTGTTTTAATATTTTAATGGTGCGAAAAATTTATATTTTAGTTAAATGAATGAAAAAATGAAAAAACGAATGAAACAATGAAAAAAATGAAAACTTATTAACTTCTTTCAAATAAGTTCAGTGTAATAATTAAAAAAAATTGACTGTAGTATTAAGTTAAAGATGAAGACAATAACAAAGAAAATACATAAAAAACAAATTTATTCTTTAAAACAAGACCATTAAGAACTAGGTTAAAAAAAAACCTAATAACTTAATGATGAGCGTACATAATTGCGCTTACTAAAAAAATATTTGAGTTTTATGGGTGCGAAACATCGCACTGGACAATTTTCTTCATGCCAAGGCCTGATATACATATATATATACTGGAATGATCTTACAAAAGAAGCAGTTCCATTAATGAGGATTTAAACTCAAACAGGAACTTGGATAAATAAACAACATTTTGAGACTGAACAGTTCTACAGAGATGTAATAGATAATAGGTTCCTGGTCTATTTCATTATGCAAGATGCATGGCAAAAGCGTTAAATTACCCTAAAATATATTTACTATTGGAAACCATTATAAATTTATCAGAAGAAAATGTAGAAGAGATTCATGATATTGCTATATTTGTCGGCATCTTTTACACTCTGTGGTTTCTTAGAGCAGTATCGCCAACTGCTGCCCAATATCAGGTTAAAAATAATAATTATAAATAAGAAAACAGCATAAAAAATAATCAGTTAATTGTTTGATTGATGACTTAATCTAATATTGTTAAAATATTGCATAGGATCTGAAAGCTCTGTTGCAGATGATGAGGTTTATAGATATAAATTTTCTTAGAGCTACTTCAGTATTAAAATCATTTGACAGACACAGCTGGTACCTTGATCCTGCCTTAGTTGTGCTTTAGCAGATAAACGTTGCCAAAGCATAGAAGATAATGCCAGAGCATTGAACAATACATTTTTCACCAAACCAAATGTGTCTCTACTTAAATGTGTTATGGTCGAATAAGAGATTTTTCACTCCCTAAACTTTGCACAAGATCAGCCTCCATCTTTTTGTTCTCTAGTAATTTAAAAATCTTGGCTCATCTTTGATAAGATTATACATGGAAATTTGCAGTGGCTTTCACAGTTCTGGAAGTTCAACAATTTTTATCTTGGGTTTTTATCTGCTATCAAATCTTATGATTAGAGGTATATTTTTGCTGGGTATGCCGGATAGTGAACTTTTCTCAAGTTCTTTAAGTGTTTATGAAGTAAAAACAAGTTTTGCCATTCTACATTAAATAGTGTTCAAGATTTAAAAATATAAAATCAATAAAAATCTGGTATAACACAGGTATATGCGTTAATAATGTATAAAGAAAAGTTGTTTTTTATAGTCAAATTTTTGTTTTTAGTTAATTACTATTTTCTATACTTTGTCAGCACATATACCAGGTCATACAGTTTTTCACTGATTTTTTAAAATAAGATCTTGAATACTATTTATTGTACAAGACTTGTTTTTTCATAAACACGTGAAAAACTTTTGAAAAGTTCACTATCTGGCATATCCGGCAAAAATATTCGGTACACCTCTACCAATGATGTGTTCAATGACTTGTCCAAACGGGCCATTAATTTAGTTAAAAAACTGATTAGAAAATCAAACAATATAAAACAAATTAGAATATAAAAACAATATAAAACAAGTTAGATTAGAAAATCATGCAATAAAAAAAAGACAGGATTTGTTCTTGCTTAACTTTGTTTACAAAATAAGTAAACAAGGGGCAAAGAAAAAAGATTTAGCGTCAAACATAACAAAAAATATTTAAAAATGTTGAGTGTTAATAATTTAAAGTCTAATATGACATTGATTTTATTTTTATTTCTTCACCTGCCTCCTCTTGCACCTCAAAAGAATGGTATATTAATAGGGGAGGGCTAATCCACCTTCCTCTAGATTCATCTCTAAGTTTAACATCAAAAATAATATAATATATTATAATAGCTTATTTATAATTCCATATAACTGGCAAGATTATGTAATGAAAAATAACATAGAAATACAGGGGTTGCGGCAGCTTTTTTTGGTGATTAAAATAGATAACATTCAGACCTGGAGCAATCTTTAATTCTGGGTATGTTTATACTTATATTAAATAAGAAAACTTTGTAAAAAATTGCAATGGGTGGAGCCTGGGAATTTTCAAACCCTAAAACTTGTGCCACCAGCCCCAAATGTGAGGGCAATCAGTTACTAAGTTTTATACAGTTGTTATTTTAAACTAAATTTATATTCATTGACAGATTTCAAATTTCATCTAATAATATTTTAGCATTCGAAAGTTATGGCAGTGTAAAGTATTTATAGGGAGGGTGGAACTTGGTTTGTCATCATTTTTAACACAAGATTCTTGTTTGTATAATTTTTGATTATGTTTTTTCTTTATTTTTATTACTATGTTTTTTAACAATATTATTTAAAGTTTATTGTACCAATCTGAAATTGTTAAGATAATCAACAAGTATAAACTATTAAAAGTTGCACCAGACTATAAATTTATAGCATTAAGCTAATAAAAAATGATTAAAATTTTTATGATTTTCAATATCAAGAAATAAGGTTTTTAAGGGTTAAAAAACATGGCAGCTTTTTTACTCTGACTTAAGCAAGACGCAAAGAAGTTTAAAACATTCAGGGTTTTAGGTCCTATGAAAAGTTACTGATTACATCGTACTGAAATATACATTATACTGAACTATGGCATCATACTCAGTGACAGTTAGGCTTCAGTTTATTTAGTAATGTACAATTAAAATTTGATTTAATTTTTCAATTTTTAGGATTCTGTCATTAACAGCAAACAGTTTCCATTTCGATTTTTATCAGCCTATGATGTGATAATTGATCTAGAAAAACTTCTTCAAAAAAATTTAGAAGGTATCTGATTACTATATTTAATATTTTTATTTTGTAAAAAAATTTAATGAATAAGTTAAGTAGAGATGCTATAAATTTTCCCGAATACAGAATATCAAATAATCTGCTATGCGCTCAGCCAAAACACTAACTATTTAGCAATACTTGGTTATTTTAATGGTTCCAACCTGTTTATTAAATAATAAAAAAGCCAAATAAGCTGAATACTGAATATTCACCTAATATTTGTCGCATCTTTAAAGTTAAGTTAAAATAATTGTCTTTGTAAGAAAATTTGATTTGTATCTTTTTAAAAAAAGGCACTAATTATTTTTTTTTAACAAAAGAAATAAATTAAACTTTATCATTACAAGATTTTACTACAAATGTGTGTTTTTAATTAATTTCATTTTTTATTTTTTTTATTTTAGCTTCACTTCAAACTGTTTCTGAAGCACTTGTTGTAAAAAATGAAAAGCCAATGCCCAAATATAAACAGAAGCTTCAAGAAAAAAGGAGAGCTAAAGCAGCATGGTATATCTTATATATGTATTAGGGTTTCCAAAAAAACAACTTTTTAAAAAAATGTTTGCTCCTACCTCTAAATGTGTTCTGTATTATAAAATAATACTGGCATTGAAAAATATTAGCAGAGCTTCTTTTTTCGTTATTCTTCAGACTAGAATACTGTTTTTCTAACTTTGTGAAAACGTTTTTTAGTTTAATATCACTAACAACATCAAACCTCATCTTTATCCAAGGATAAGTATACTTACAGTTACTAAATTAATCTTTTTGGTAGTTTTAGGCAGGTTTTAGATTGTAGTTTTTAGATTGCAGGTTTTAGATTTCAAGTTTTTAGATTGCAGGTTTTAGATTACAGGTTTTAGATTGCAGGTTTTAAATTGCAGGTTTTAGATTGCAGGTTTTAGATTGCAGGTTTTAGATTGCAGGTTTTAGATTGCAGGTTTTAAATTGCAGGTTTTAGATTGCAGGTTTTAGATTGCAGGTTTTAGATTGCAGGTTTTAGATTGCAGGTTTTAGATTGCAGGTTTTAGACTGCAGGTTTTAGATTGCAGGTTTTAGATTGCAAGTTTTAGATTGCAGGTTTTAGATTGCAGGTTTTAGATTGCAGGTTTTAGATTGCAGGCTTTAGATTGCAAGTTTTAGATTGCAGGTTTTAGATTGCAGGTTTTAGATTGCAGGTTTTAGATTGCAGGTTGTAAAATATCTGTTTGAAGTTGAATCTCTAAAAGTTTTTTTGTTAAGATTAAGTTTTTAATTAGATTAAACTTTATCTCTCTCTCTCTCTTTTTTTTACTTCCTCTATATGTAAATATATTAAATGAAGTTTCTTAAAAATAGAAGTTACCTAAGTTTTCCTGATTTAATAATGAATAATTTTTTTTTTTATAAGATCTCAGCTAACATTTTTTGCCCAATTCATATGGGTTTCCTATTTCCTTGTACATTTTTATTGCAATTTTTTAATATTTATCTTATTACTAACTAATAATTATATTTAAATAATCAATTTTAAATTTAATATTTGTAAATCTTATTAATACAACACTGAACTGCTTAATATATAATAAATAAGGTACTTTATATAATAAACTTTTATCTTAGTTTAAATAATCTTATATCTTTAACATATTAAATACACTTAAACTTAAGACACTTAAAATAAGCCATTTTTAGTCATTTTGAGGTCCTTTTTTTTTCAAATATGTTCTTTGAGTGCAACGAAAGAGTGGTTCAATGGTGCTCAATTTTTTTGAAAGTTAGTTTAAACATATTTGCTTCAAATCTAGATAGTTTAAAATATTTCCAAATTTTTTTTTTTTTGATAGTATTAGGGACATGTCGGATATTCAAGGATCTTGAAGGACCCCTTAAATATTTTTTTTTTCAAAAATTTTTCAATTCCAGTTAATTTTATTATATAAAACACATTAAGAGGACAGGAGCATACATTTTTTTAAAATGATTTTTATTAATAAATGTGTTAACTTTCAATTGTTTTATCTTGTGCAAAAAAAAATTTTTGAAATATAAAAACAAATACAAGAGTATTTGTCTTTTGACAAAACAAAAAAGTTTTTTTAATCAGGGCAAAGTGCTGAGTCATAAATGGGGCAAAAGGGTAACATTCAGGGGGTCTTAGCCCATTTAAGCATTTTAGATACACCTTCCTTAAAAATTTATTTATATTCAAGATTATTCGTTTTATAAAAAGTGAGTTTATAAAATTGGAAAAAAATGATGAGGGCCACAAATGGAGCAAAAGGTAAAATTGAGGAAGCCCCTGCCCATTTTAGTATTTTAGATGTCCATTACAAAAAAATAAATTAAATTTTAAACAATGTTTAAAACACTAAATTAAAATCTTTTATTAAAAGTTGTTCTCGATGTTGAGAACATTCTACATGTTCTAATTTTTTCCACATACAAAAAAATAATAAATTTTTTTTTCAGCCTTGTGTGCTTTTATATTAAAATATACTACTATTTTTATTTTAATACTTTTCAATAAACTGATAATGACAAAATAATGACAAAATAATGACAAAAGTGTTCAATCCACAATTAAATAACTTGTTAATTAAAAAAGAAAAAATTCCACTCTTAATTATTTTGTACAGTTTGACACGGTACAAAACAATAATTTTCGTTTCGTGCCGTTTTTACAAAACAAAAAAATATTGTTTTGTATCGTATTTTTACGAAACAAGTAAAGCTTATTTCATTTCTTACCGTATTTTTACGAAACAAGAAAATTTTGTTTCATTTCGTATCGTTATTTACAAAGCTAAACAAACTTGATTTGTTTCGTATTAGGTTTTACGGGACATTTCATAATTCCCTCACCCCAAACAGATATTGCATGGTTCCCACGCCCCCGAGCAAACATGAACTTTAACATTCAAGTAAAATAAAGCATCATTTTCATAAGATTTAGCGCATCTATGAAAATTTGCAAACGTTAATACAACGTTATAATTCAATTAAAAAAAGATAACAAAGAAGTTGTCAACTGTAATAATTTGGTAGCTTTAAGTTTATCTAAACATAAATTATATATTTATATGTATATAAGCTCGCATCAAGAGTCTGCAATCTTTGTTTGTATGAAATATTTCAAATTCTATTATATAAAGAAAATCTACTAAGTACTAATATAAACCTCTGATTAAAAACTAATAAATAAATATGGATATAAAAATTGAATTGTTTTCCTTTTTATTCCGTAAAACTAAAAAATTATTTAAAAGTATAAAAATTGTTTCATTTTGTACCGGTTTTATCAAAAAAATATTTTTTATTGTTTTGTCTTGTTTCCTCTTCTACTGTTTTAAGATACAGATGCTTATATTTAAGTGCATAACATTAGAAACAATATGCTTTGTTTATCAATGTGATGTAAAAAATTTTTCTTGAAACAAATGATGAGGTACAGCACATACATAACTCTTGCACAATAGTGTTTTACAAACAGTTTTTCCATTCTCCAATATTCCCTGGTTGTATTAATATATCAATTAAATGTTTTCTGATCACAATTTAAAAACCATATGTATGTATTTCTGCATATGTATGCATTTCTGGATTGAAAATTATACATGCTTCAATTGTTTCACAAAAATATTATATTAGGTATAAACTTTTCAGACAAAGTGGTTTACAGTTGTATCAGTCAATGATATGGCAAAACAAACTGTTCAGCTATGTACCAGATACACAACAGAGTAGGTTTTAGGTCGATTGAAGTGAAATCCAGGAACATCTTCTTTTAAGTAAAAAACTAAGAACTAGAAAGCTTTTTGTAATGATCCAAGGTAAATGTTATTTCGACAACCTGGAGCTGACTCATGTCATATACATGCCTCTATCTTTATTATAACCATAACAAAGAGTATTCTACTCATAGGCATTCTCAGAACCTGTATCTCAGAACCTGCTTTCTCAGAACATGTTTTTTCTGAAAATGTTATCTCAGTACATGTTTTCTCAGAACATGTTTTCTCAGAGCATGTTTTCTCAGAACATGTTTTCTCCTCAAATTTTGTTACAGAAATATCAAAGAGTTACTTTTCTCTTAGAGAGGTAATGGATTTCTCTTTTTATTTTTGTTTTTGCAAATCAAATTTTTGTTCTTATGCTTCTGAGGACTTCAAGATAGCATTTAAAAAATATCTTCTTTTGCTTCTGAGGACTTAAAGGGAGCATTTAAAAAATTGTGACTAGAGTATATTAGTACAGCGTTCATCTTAATTATCAGTAGAGTATATCTACATCAGGTATGTCTAAATTCAAACATGCCTACTTCTTACATTTATGCCATATTTATTAATCATAAGAAAGCCAAGTTCAAACTTGTCTCAGACACTAATAAGTCAAGTAAAAAAAAGTAATATAATATTTATAAAATATATTCTTCAAAAGTCAACAGCAATTTAACTACCAAGCAACAATTTAGTTACCAGTTATATTGAAATCATAGATGTGGTAAGCAAACACTTTGGAAATGTTTTGATGGTAGGAAATGGTTGTTTGCCTAAAATTAATAACTTTGTAAATGTTTCTATTAACATTGACAGTGATGTTAATAGAATCTGTGTTCTTTTTTGCAAATTTTTTTTTTTGACCTACTGCCTAGGTTAGTAGCCTAGGTTACTGCCTAGGTTAGTAGCCTAGGTTACTGCCTAGGTTAGTAGCCTAGGTTACTGCCTAGGTTAGTAGCCTAGGTTACTGCCTAGGTTAGTAGCCTAGGTTACTGCCTAGGTTAGTAGCACATCATTTAGTTCTGATGTATAATATGAGTATAATATGCATTCCAGTTTTCTTCATACTTGAATCAATCTTTGTTGTGTTAATAAATAAAATATTAAAATCAAAAAAAATATATATATTAAAATTGATCTTTATGCTTCTTGCTGTCGCTTCCAGCATTTATTTCTTTCATTTTTAAATAGGAATATTTCCAGAATTAACTACAAATGTTGAAAAAATAGGTGCTTTATAAAAAAATATAATAATTTTTTGTTTCTCAGCCTTGTTGATTATAAGTGTTACCATTTTATCAAAGAACTTGTTAAAAAATTTTGCATCTTGTAAAATAATCATTATCAGGCCAATTGTATACAAAAATACCAGTTTGCAAATGTTAATTGGTTATTTATTTGAAGTTTTTTTTTTTTTAAATAATAGTTTTGTATTACTAATGTTGTATGTTATCCAATGACCATTAACTGCTGTGTTATAAAAAATATTAACAATTAATAATCTTGTTCTCTAATGCAATATACAGACTATATCAACATATATTTATGTATTATTATTTATTATTTGATTATTGGGGCATGTTTTTCTATATATTTTTTGGTCTATAAGATGTTTACACAAAAACCACAATAATGACATCAAGTTGAAATATTGATTTGATGTCTCAGTCGATTATGTACTAAAGCTCCATCTATGGGAGCTTCAGTTTGTTGTAGACTGAGGGTTTAAAGTAACGCAATCCAAGTATGAAAGATATAATTACTATGGCAAAAAATATCATTTTTAAAATTGTATGTATATATGTATATACAGCCTTATCTTACTAACACAAATAATTTGTCTTTACAGCAATACATACAACCAAGCTATATTGGATAGGTACAAGAAAGCTCTCGATTCTGCAATGAAAATATCAACTGTTTATAATATAGAACCTATATCTGGTACAACTTTCATTGTTATTGACATCGGATATAATATAAATGAAGAAAACAGTAAATCTGCTTCGGTATGTTTTATTTTTATATTTAAAGATGTGCTAAAATTAGTCTTTATTTCAATCTTGTATATAAATATTTTGTAAAATTAGCATAGTGCAATAGTATGTTGGATTTAACAGAAAAATTAAGTAAACTTTTAAATAAAAGAATTTTTTTCATCGTTTTTGAGATTTAAAATTTTTAGATTTCACTCAGATTTAACCTCTTTTTTTTATTTACGCATTGTCTAATAGTTTTTTTTTAATTTTTTTTAATTGAATCAGGTGTTTATGTTTTTGTTAAGTTCAAAACATTAAGAATAAGAAAAGTGGCAATGAGAATATATTTTCATAAAACTGAAAACATATATTTCATTAACATATTTATAGCATATACATGTAAATGAATCAAAATGGCTCAAAATGTTTTTTTTTTTTTGATATTACATCTCTTGTCACATCGCGATTTGTCTTGACACATCTCTTGATTTTTGTAAAAAAAAATAAATGTAGTGTATATCTCAAAAATTAGGTTATAAAGACTTTTGGAAAATCTTTAGCTGTGTCATTAACAAAAACAAAATTACTTTATCTCTTATATATGGATCTGATCTTATTACCTCCCCCATGGATAAGGTAGAACTATTTGCAAAGAACTTTTTATTTCTTAAATCTAATTACCACACTTTTTCTGCCATCACAAAGAAACAATTCATTGTTATGCATCTAAATCAGCTTCTGTTCTTCAAGTTATTTTTAACTTAAACTTGTTAACAGTTTGTGGTCTGGACAAAGTTCCTTTATCTTTTGTTCAGATCACGTATTGTGATCCAAATAACATTTCTATTACAGTTTTACATAAATGTTCTCCCAAACCCGAACCGAAAATTATTCTCCAAACTATTTAACTAAATCTTGTTTTCCTGCCTGCTGCAAAATGGATCTGTGTTTCAAAATTTTAAAATTTTGGAGATCACTTGTGCTCTTTTAACTCCCAATCAGTTTTCTTACTCATATAAGCAAAGTCTTTCAATCCTCAATGCAGAAGTGGTGTAGTGGTAGAGGGCTCGCTTCATAAGCAAGAAGTTACAAGTTGGATCCCCACCATGTCCCTTGTAGTACCAATCTTAACTTGTTTCTCAGCGCAGTTGTTTGTCAAGGTTTGTGTTTCGCAGTTATAGAGTTGAGAGAGGATTGTAACTGCACTTAAAGTAGCCTCCTTGACTGTAGTGACTTTCTTTGCCTTAAGAAGATGAATTAACATTAAAAGATAAAAAAATTAGTAAAACTTCTAATATCTCATTTTAAGTCTAACAACTTACTCTTCTAAAACAATATAAATTTTTTGATCCTTTTATTATATTGCCAACTTGTTAATCGTTATAACAGAAAGAAAGGTTCTGTTCATCAGACGGGACAGTGAGACAAGTGCTTGAAAAAATGTCATCACTTATTGTGTCATTTCTCTCTGTGACAGGCTTGGTAATGGCTGGTGAAATGAAACCTAAATAAAACTAATTTTATTTACTGCAAACAGTTATTGAAATATGTGTTTTTCTATAATGATGAATGGGAACTTCCTTCACTCTAGGTTTCAATGACAACTTCCCCCACTCTTCTTAGTTTATCATTAACTACTAACTTTTCCTGGTAACCATTTATACAATCCATTACAAAATTAGTAACTGCTAATTAGTACTGTAGTAGTAACTGCAAAATTAGTAACTGCTTTTTTTTTATCATGCCAGTTTTTTACTCATGATTCCATTCTCAATTACAATCAAATACAAATAAAACTTTCATTGAAACCAATCTTACTACTCATTGTGAACCCATTGCTTATAAACTGCACAAGCAGTAGAATATGCTCTCTTTTTATACTTAACTTTTGAGTATTCTACTTCTTTTAAGGCAGTATTTTCTACTTGCTCATTCTTGACTTCACAATGCATAACTTTTTTTTTTTAAAACATCTTTACTTCCAACAAGGCTGCAAGCAACCACTATTAGTGTTGGAAGTTACTGGAAGAGAAGAGATGAAGATTGTAAGATAATGATTAACAGACAACCTCAAAGACTGCAAGTTATACAAATCAGGAAAGCAAGATGAAGGATGCGAATTCCAAAGAACTGATGTTCGAGGAAAAAAAGTTTTAGGAGCACTTAGTAACAGTCACAGAAAAAGGATGAGACTTGATTGAATGGCAAATAGCACAAGAATGAATTTTAGTAGATGGCACAAGATACGCTAGCTCCTTAGAGCAGTTCCCATTATAGTATTTGTAGAAAAGAGAAAGAGAAGCAACATTACAACAATATAATTATGGTTGGAGGTTGGCTGCAAAAGTAGGTTCAACTATGTTACAATGCGTTTTTGTACATTGTCTAAAAGAGAAAGGGCATCATTAGAAAATCCGCCCCAGATCGCAACAGTATTCCATACAAATATCGCAACAGTATTCCATACAAGTATTGCAACAGTATTCCATACAAAGCTGTTTTTGAGATTTATAGAGATAGAGAATAGAATCCAGAGTAAGAAAGTGTCAAGTTCGATAAAGAGATGCAACCTTAGTGGTTTTTAATTTTGCAACAGATTTCATATACGGTTTCCAAGGAAGATCGAAAGTAACAGTTAATCCTAGAAGATGAAGGGTAGATGACTCATCAAGTAAATTACTGTTCATAAATATAGGAAGATCTAAATTATTGCGATAACAATTGCTTGAAATAAATTGAGTTTTATCTGAACTAAAATTCACCAGCCACTGTGAGCCCCATGCTGTAACAGAAGTGAGATCCTTTTCAAGCTCAAATGCCCTCTTGAAGCAATCAGAGAGTCTGGCTTCTTATCATGACAAGATTAAATGGTAGTATCATTAGCGAACAATGCCACCTTAGATGTGAGAATATCTGGAAAATTGTTAATGTAAATTATAAAGAGTATAAGGCCAAGGATTGAACCTTGAGGAACCCCTGAACTTAAAGATTCAATAACATTGCTTATGATAGGAAGACGACTAATGGGACAGAAGTTTCTTTTTCTGTCTCTGCAATCATGTGTAAATCAACTGCATATAATAGCTCCCATAGAAAAAAACTCCCACCTAAAAGGAGCTTTCAAAGCAAATGATTGAACACTGAACCTTGACTAACTTTCTTTTTAAAACTATTATTCTCTCAATCTTATGTTTTGATTGGCATTTTTTTTTTCTATCTATAAAAAAACCTCAGCAGCTAAATGCCTTAAAACCCACTACACTACCTCTCTTTATACTCTGTTAAAATCTTTTCCAAGAATGATTGAAGCCATCCACAACTTAATTTTCAAGAAAGATTTTTGGAAAAGAAAAAAGAACAATGTGTTATCAATAAATACATTGTTTCTTATTTTGCTGTCAATAATTTTTTCTAAAATCGTCATTACTTAGTCAAGTAATTTTATTCCTCAATATGAACCGCATTTTAGTGTACTTATTTTTTAAAACTTTGCTATCCAACTTTTCTTTCAGCCATTTCGAATTTTGCTTCCATAAACAATAACATTGCAATGATCTAGTACCTACCAAACACGCACATCCCCTAAAATCTTTTTCAACAGAAACACCATTAAAAACAACAGCTTTGTTTAATCTAATCATCAACAAACTTACTTTTCAAATGAAGATATAATTACACTTTTAGCATTTAAAGTATTAGAGGAGATAAGATAACTGGTAATTAATAATAATTGATAAATAGTAAATTATTACACTTGTGTTTCAACTGTTTCAGCTTTCAGTTGTTGGCACTTTCAATTTCACTTTCAGCTAGTTATTGGCAACTTCATTTTCACAGAGTTTTTTTACTGTATTCACTCAACTTAGTGAAAATAGTGGTAATTTCAGTTGTAGCCTGTAAAATATTATCTGAAGTCAAATCAAATTTTGACAGCATGAAGTTCCGAACATGATCCCCTCCTTATCCCTGGTAGTACCGCACTCAATTTGTTTCTTCATGCAGCGGTCCATCAAGGTTTATTTTTTAGACTTAAAGAAATAAGAGAGGGCTATAACCACAATAAAGTAGCCTCCTTGACTGTAGTGGCTCTCTTGGCCTTGGAGAGGTGAATAACATTAAAATAAAAAAATAAAATTGATAAGCAGTATATTTGTAAAACCCACAAAGATAAAAGTGCAAGTAGAAATAAAAAAAAAAGCCATTGTCAGCCTTAAGTGTTAAAGTTTGGAAGATGTTTAGAGATGTAATGCTAAGTTTGCTTTCTATACTTTTTTCAGAAGCTGCTATGATAGCATCAACCATTATGTCTAGGAATGCTAAAACTAAAAGTATTTATGCAAAACCATGAAAGAAAAAGAGCATTACTAATTTACTTTGTTTTTGATAATTTTAAATAAAAATTGTTACTTAGAAATTTGGTACATAGTACATGTACATCTTATGTACATACATCTTACCATAAAACATAGAAAGGAGGTCTGCAATTTTTTGCCAACCTCGAACACTTTAAGGTCTGCAGTTAGAACTCAATCACTTTAAAGTTGGCATTCAGCAATGCCAACCTAACTGCCGACCTCTAACAGTTTAAGGTCGGCAATAAACAGCCAACCTCATTTTTCTGTATTTCGAGGAATAATATATACACTTATATATGTATATGTATTCAAATAAGTTAGAAAATCAATAAACAAACTTTAATCTACCAATTTATTAATGGTCAACGTTCTTTTAAGCACTCTATTTTGTAGAATATTAAATTAAAAATTATTTTATATATGTATAAAAATATATATACAGTAGAATCATGTTAACTCAGACTCTGAAGGGGAATATATTTATTGTCTGACTTAGCGAATGTCTGAATTAAGCAAAGTTGTTAAGTTGGATTTTTTAAAAATAACAGACTTATTGAGATTTTGAGACTTATCGAATGTTCTTCAATATATAAATGTTATGTACATATATATAGAACAATTTAATCTTATGTGAAATATATATTTTTGTAAATATAATATATACTAAAAATGAAAAAAGTCCAAAATTGATGATGCACAATTCTTTTTTAAACAGCTTTGAAGCATTTGAAGCTACTCTTCCAATTTCACCACTCTGAGTAAACATTGAAAAATTAATCAATTGCTTTATGAACTTCTTCAATTGGTGGCTTTGTCACAGGTCATCCGATGTTTCGTTTCCTTCTTTTTTCATTTCTTCTTTAACTACCTCAATGATATCTTGAACAATATCTTCATCTGTCATCACTCCTCCCATAACCGAAACGTCATCATCAATTGTTAACATATCTTCGTAAATAAAATCTTCTGAAACAAGATTTTTATCATGCTGTAACTGATCAATTGAATTTTTTTAAAAAATGTTTAGTTTGTTAAATTATGTTTGACACAAAGTTAATTGATTTTCAAACGTTCTAAGTTTTGAATTTTAATTGATATTTTTGAATTTTTAATGTAATAGTTATTAACAAATAGAATTTAATCAAAGCTTAACTGAATCGAAGTTGAAATTCCGTCCAGCTTAGTAAAAGTTCGACTTATCCAGGGTCTGAGATAATGGGATTTAACTGTATATATATATATATATATATATATATATATATATATATATATATATATATATATATATATATATATATATATATATACACACACACACACATATAACAAAAAAAAAAAGAAGTATAAATAACATGATGATGTTTTAGATTTTTAGTCAATGCTTGCTTCTTGCATTAATATGCAAGTATCATTCAGAAGGAGGAGAGTTGATATTAGCAAGTGGATCAAACTACTCGATTGTTAATTCAGTCAATGAGCAGTCTATTTTGGAAAATGTTGCAAAGTTAAAAGAAGTAGCAAAGGTTAATTGTAAAAATGACTCTTTGAAGTTGTTTCTATTAAAAGAAATTTACTTAAAATTATACCATTATATTCAAATTTTTTGTCACTGAGTTTTTTTGTTTTGTTTAGGATTTGATATCTTGCAATATTGGCAGTACCGATTTGTTGTCTTATTTCCAAACTTTTATTACTCTTCGTAAAAAGGTAAAATGTAAAATTTTAGTTGTGACACATTTTTTGTTCAAAGACCAATCCAATACTCAGATTTATAACCAACATTGTATATCGATTTATATATATTCTCTTTTACAATAACATTATACATATATATATATATATATATATATATATATATATATATATATATATATATATATATATATATATATATATTATATATATTTATATATATATATATATATATATATATATATATATATATATATATATATATATATATATATATCAGGCCTTGCAATATAGCGTCAGGGGATGTGAATTTTGCGTCGTCCAAGAGCGATTTTGCGTGTAGCTAGGGCTATTTGCGTCGAGCAAAAAATTTTTTGTTTGAGTATATTTAAAGATATTTTTGAGCAGAATTTAATGAAGTAATTTACAATTATTTTAACATTTAATAAAGTATTTTAAAAACCGCACGCAGTTGATATAAAAGTTTGAATTAAAAAAAATTAAATATGCTCATTATTTACAAGTAGAAAAAATTCAGATTAAAAAAAAAGTTTAAATCTTTTAAGCTAACATTTTAATAAAATTATTCAGCAATAGCAAAGTTGTCGATAAAATTGAACAAAAATACTTTCTTTTAGTTTTAGATTTTAAACTTAAATAATTATTTTACGGGGGTTTGTTAGGTTTTAAAATTATTCCATAGATTTAAAAATATTTATTAACTGTTAGACGTATTTAAAGTATTTAAGAGTAATTTCGAGGAACCATTTTAAAAATTGGTGAGCGCAAATAAAAAAATAGTTTTTCAAATAATTTTTAAGAATAATTTTTTTGCTGAAATATTTCTTTTATACCTATAAGATTTTTATTCTAACATTTTATTTTATTTTACTAGAAATAAAATTCCTTGTTAACACTAAAAATCTATTCAAAACGTTCGTTTAAGTTTTTTATTAATACGAGTGATTGTGCTTATCAACCGCTTTATGAAAATAAATAAAAATAAATAAATAAATATTATATAAAATCGCTTGTAAAAATATTAGCTATTGCACAGTTTTTAATCGTACAATATTAAAATTTCCAGTTTATTACTCGCTGACTTTTTAAAAAGAAAAAATAATTATTTGAAAAACTTTAAATTACATATTTGAGAAAATCAAATATTAGCATATTTAATAATCTTTTTTAAATTTTAGTTATAATGTTTTTTATTCGTTTAGTATAGACAAAACGTGTCAAACGCCGAGAAAATAAGCAAATGTTTTTACATTTTAAAAAACGAAACATTCCAAAACATTTTTAAATAATAACGTTTCTACATTAATGTTTTAAGTAGTTTTGCAGTAATTAAGTAAATTGGTGCAGTTTATGTCGAAAAATATGAAAAGCAAATAAAAAGAATTTAATGACGTCAAAAATCACGTCATGCTTATGCGTCGCGCAGTTTTTATTCATCACAAGGCCTGATATGTATATATATATATATATATATATATATATATATATATATATATATATATATATATATATATATATATATATATATATATATATATATGTATATATGTATATATATATGTATATATGTATATATATATATATATATATATATATATATATATATATATATATATATATATATATATATATATATATATATATATATATATATTCCCTTTAACTATAAAATTATATATATCTAGTTTCTATGTAAAGTTGCTAAACATTTGAACGCTGTGTTTTTTTATTCAAGTGTTTATCTAGTTCCGTTTATTCTGCGTTATTGTAATTTAATTGTTATATATAAAAAAATAATCCATTTTTATGTATTGGGTTGATGAACAGTCAAATTAGGTTTTGATCCAGAAAATTAAGAGCAAGCTGAAAATTTCCGGAAATGTTCTGTATGCACTCCTGATTCATAGAAATTTTCCCGATATTAGAAAAATTTATTAAAATTGGAGTAGATCTGAAACCCAAGATAGCGTCTTAGATGGCGTTTAAAATAAAATTTGTAATTTGTAATCTGAGCTTGGAGATCACTTAGAAACATGATTTTTTTTGTCTAGTATTTTGTTTGTGTGTCATCAAGAAATTCATTTTTGATATTTTTAGTTTTATTTAAAAAAATGGTCGTCAAAATCCAAGATGGCTACCAAAACAGTGTCAAAATTTAAATATTCAATATCTCAGCTTTTTGATCAAGTTGAAGTAAGATTTTTGCATCTAGTATTGTGTTATTTAGGTCAAGGAGTTTTTCACAATTTTATTTTTGTGAAACAACAAAACAGCGGTTAACATTCAAGATGGCTGCCCAACAACACCCAAACTAAAATATGTAAGTTCACATTCAGCACGTAAGCTTCTGTATAAATGTCCCTGGTAGTACCACGCTTAACTTTTTTCTCTGCGCAGCAGCCTTGCACGTCAAGGTTCCCATTTCGGAGTTATAGAATTGATAGAGGGTTGTAACTCCAAAAGTAGCCTCCTCTACTGTAGTGGTCTTCTTGGCCTTGGGGAAGTGAGTAATTAAAAAAAAAAACAGTTCCCAAATCTTATCCAATCTGCTTCCAGACATAATATAGCCATCAGCTCCCATGAAGAACATTAATAAATGGAAATCCCCAAGTTCAACAACAACCAAAGATAGATACTGGAAGTTGCTACTAATTCACATACTTTAACAAATAAAGGTTGATCGAAAGTAACAAAGCATGTCAGTTGATTAGTTTTCTTGCATTTTTCTTTAGCCATCAGGATTGAAGTGTATATTGTACTTAAATCTCTTGGGGCATTGTTAATTAAAGGCATTGGTGAGACACAAGACAATTTGTACAGATGACTTTCAGCCATGCATAGTCCCATATAGCCATTCCAACCAGGTTTTTGAGTGACTCCAACTATGCACCACACATCCACAAAAAGTCAAGTTGCAATGGTGCATCAAGGAATAACGTAGTTTGTGTAACTCCATATACATCTTTAACAACTAGATCTCAAAGAACTGTGCTTCTTGCCTTGTTATAAGTAACCAACTTTATTTTCCCAACAGATGCAATTTCGAAGTAGGTAGAATCTTTGATCTATTAACATTTATGTACAAACATTGCTTGTGCATGAGTAATACATCGAATCCCACCCGTGCTGTGAAAGGTATTGTGACCATCTAATGTACAGATGTTAAAATCAAAATTATCAAAAAAAACTGAAGAAATGCATCTGGTTTTATCTTATTGTTTACACTGGATAATCTTACAACAGAATTCAAAATGCAGCTGCAGCTGTCTCAACAATCCAATCATTCTGGTGTTCAACAAACTGGCATTTATCATTATTACAGCATTTATCATTATCACATAATTTATTGAAAGCCAAAACTTGTTTTAAATTAGGTGGATGACCAGGCTTTCTTTTTATATTTCTTCATCTCATCTTTTGAAAACTGCGCCAAAACTACAGGTTCTAAGAAAATAAATGCCAAAACTTTGCGTTCTAAACTGCAAAGGAATTTATATATCATGTTTACGTTGTAATTAGTTTTTTAGATTTGCAGTCAGTTGGTGAGGAATAAGTTAAACGAAAAGTGATTTTTTAGTGTCACAAGAATAACTTCCTCACAATTTTAATTAATATGATTATTTATAAATTAACTTCTTTTAGATTTCAGTTGAGAAAAGTAGGATTCATCTTATAACAAACTTCACTCATTAGACAGTTAAGAATTGCTCCATTAAATCTTCAACATTTTTCTCTGGGCAATGGCTTTTTTGTCAAGGTTTGTGTTTCGGAGTTATAGAGTTGAGAGGGGGTTGTAACCATAAATAAAGGAGCCTCTTCAACTGTAGTGGCCTTCATGGCCTTAGGAAGGTGAATAAACAAAAACAAACAAAAAAAAAACATTAACTTTGATATATATAACAAATATAATTAAATTATATAACAAGTAATTTCAAATGGATATGAGCAGACACTCACAACATTGTAAGTGTATTAGCAGTCAATTTTTGTTTTTAATTTCTTTTTGGCCGCATTCTTACAATTTGTTAGCCATCTTGTTTAGCTCAAAAAATGTAATGAATTTCTTGATTACAAAAACTAGATGCATAAACCTAAGTTATCTACATGCTGAGATATTTCAAATATTTCATTTTGAATACCATCTTAGTCACCATCTCGGATTATAGTCAAAGCTCCAGTCCAATTTTTGCCGATTTTATCCAATATTGTTTAAAAACTTTGGCATTTAAAATTCTCCAAATAATCACACACGAGCTGTGAACGCCTGAGGGAAGAAATGAAGTACATTAGAATAAAGGAGACTTATTTATTAAACAAAGCATATTTTAACAGTTGTCAAGACAAAAATAAAGATTAATAGAGGAATATTTAAAAATAAATAAAACAGTCAATGCACCTAAAACAGTACTCAACAACAATAACAATAAAAAAATTAAAAAAAAAAAAATTGTTTATAAACACCAATATAAATGAAGATGTACAATAAATACATCACCAGACAAAAAACAATGAAAGGGCTCAGAATGGAAAAAAAAACAATAATGCTAATGTGTAAACATAATTTGTGTAGTGATTAAGTAATAAACATCTCCTCAGAGTCGTGTCTGTTATTACTGGCGTTTCGATGAGGATCAGCATTTATAAATAGTTTATCCCATCAGACAAATGTCATCGCCACTTATGCTTTACCCTGCGACTTTTGCCTATTCCATACTGCAGTAAAAAAGGACTCACTACAAATAGCCAAAACCTAACCAACCCCAATTTTGTAAAGCACCTACATTTTTTTGATGATATGATATAAAAGTGTAGATCTACTGAACAAACAAAAATAAAAATAACTAAATAAAACACTTACCATACCACCGAAAGAAAACATGAAAACAAAATAAATTAAAATTCTAGTAGAAACATAAAAATAATAATGAATTTATTTTAAGAAATAAAACCAAAGCAGTATACCTCATTAAAAAAATTTTAATCAACACAACAACAAAAGCCATAAATAAATTCTAACGCTGTCATAGATACCTCATTCGAAATATGATAACCATTCAAAAGTGTAGGAAAATGAGCAACCCGCGAAACCCAAAATTATAACAACAATTGAATAATTTATGATAGCGAAAAAGAACTTTGCACAAAAACCTTAAAAATGTAAGCAGCATATATGTATATATTTAATGAAGGATATAAAATAATATAAAAGCTTAAAAATAAAAAATGTTGGTAATGAATTTCTTGACTTCAAAAACTAGATGCATAAACCTAAGTTATCTACAAGCTGAGATATTTCAAATACTATTTTGGACACCATCTTAGTCACCATCTTGGATTTCAGTCAAAGCTCCAGTCCAATTTTTGCAGATTTTATCAAATATTAATGAGAAGTGCATACTAAACATTTCCAGCAATCTTCAGCTTGTTGCTAAATTTTTTTGGGTGACAGCATTTTTTACTAATTTTACTGAGCTATAAATAAACAATTATCTTGTAGGTAGATAATATAAACAGTTATCTTATAAGTAGATAATATAAACAATTATCTTATAGGTAGATAATGTTTTGGTGTTAAGTTACACAAATAGCTATGATTTTACACCATTTTACACTGCATATCAAAATAAAGTTAACCCTAAATGTTTGTTTGTAAATGTATCATTAAATGACGCAAGCAAGCAAAAGTATGTATTTATTATATTTTATTTATTTGTATTTTTTTTCTTGTATATATTTTTTATTTCTTGTATATATTAATTATAGTTTATTATTTTTTACTTTTTTTTAATTTAACTTTATTTATTGATTAGTTAACTATAATCTCAATAAAAAATTATATAAATGTATCAGTCATTGGGACTTTTAGCAGTTGGTGATTATCTGATCAGTTTTGATTTTTTGGCTTGTAAAGACTTGAAATTGTTTATTATCTTTTCTGACAAAAAAGTAAGAAACTTTATACCTTTTGGCTCGTTCTCTGTTCGATAAGCCGGAATTTTGTGTGAATGATTGTTGAATATTAATTGCTGCTTTCTTATCCTTAAAACCACTCATTCTTCCATATCCTTTTGCTCCTTCGATAGATAGAGAGACAAAATCCTTCTGTATCATTACTTTTATTGCTAAAGCATCTGAATATAGTAAAACTACTGTTTATATGATCATACAACTTGTATCATTGTATGATCATATAAACAGTAGTTTTACTATATTCAGATGCTTTAGCAATGAAAGTAATGATACAGAAAGATTTTGTAGTTAGTTGTGCAGAATTTTTTTCATTTTCTGTTTTGATGACATTTTAATTAAGAGAAATATTTTGAGTCGTTTGTTGATGTTTTTAATTTTTCATTACTCAATGTAGTTACACACAAAAAAAGAAATTTTAAAATGTGTTAGTGACAAGTTTTAAAATGAAACTGATTGTTCCAAATTTAACAATTGCATGCTTTATAATCCGATATGATATTACAATCTGATAAGATATTACAATCTAATAGGGTATTACAACATTTAAGGATAAAAAGTAAACTAGTAAACTAGTAACTAGTAAACTAGCCAATCAAATTCATGGATCTTGAGCTCTATTTTATTAGTTTTAATTTTAACATTTCTCAAACAAACACTAAAGTTCAAAGTACTTACAACCATGTTGCTACTAGCCAAATTAGTAAAACTAATTTCAAACTAAAGCTGAAATAAGTTATGCTATGGTTGCTATGGTTGCTATGCTATGGTTGCTATGGTATTTTATTTTTGTTATTTTATAATATGCTGTACATTTTTTATATTTATTTTTTATTTTAAAAAAAGAAATATTTAATAACAACTTTTGTTATTAAAATCAAATATGATCATAACATCTTGTAAGTTGACAATTGGTAAAAACCATCAGTACCAAAGGCTTAAATTCCTCTGTATACAAATAACGTGACTTTTATTTAACAATGTTTTGTTTCAAAAAATTTTTTCCTTGTTACACTATAAATTTGCTATGAATGTTAACAAATTTTTGAAAAAAAACTTATAGGTTTTATTGATAGTATTTTGAGCCTCTTTTTCAACTTTAAAACCATGTTATAGTGTGGTAAAATGATTTTTTTAATAATTTTTTTTTAAGTATTCTTAAATAGTTAAAAAATAGTTTGATGAGGTTGGTATGTGTCAAAAAAAAAAAATTTTTTTACCTCTTTCTCACAGAATCGCCCATTCATACATGTATGAATGCAACATTAAATTCACACTGATGATGTCATACTAAAATAGGAAGCTGCTAGGGCTTCAGTACATACATTGACTGATATAAGGAGAACATGCAAGGGAGTTGCTGTCTTTTTGACTAAGGGTCTGGGTTGGGGCAGCAATAAATTTGAATTTCATTACAACAAACTGTACTTATTTGCCTATCCATGTATGAAACCAGAAGCAGTTATAAAATATAAAAATCGTTGCTTCTTCGGTTTGCAAATATTGGTCAAACGAAAACCGAAGAAGCAACATGGACAGTATAAGTTCTGGTCAGGCTGATTGTGTTCTATCTCACCTTGCAACTTTGGGTCAAATCAAGGGCTCAACTGAACAGTGGTTTGAAGCAACAGAAACAAAAGCCTGCTCAAGTTCAGTACGGAGACAGTTGATCGCAGATGGCCTGAAATTGTATTGTTCAGCAAAGAAACCAATGCTGACCAAGTTTCAGAGGAAAAGACGTCTGGATTTTGCAAGAACATACATGCACTGGACTGTGGATGACTGGAAAAAGGTGCATAATGTACTGTATTACTATGTAATTTTTAGACACGATTAGTTGAGTAAGTTGTGAATATCTTTGTCCATGCGCCATTTTTATGTGTTATTTTTATTTTTATTCTCCATTTTGTTATTACTGCGGTACTGTACAGTATTATGACTGTAATGTTTAGGTTGACAGTAATGTTTTTATTTTTTACACTGCTTTTTGTACATGTGCTTTTGTACATGATTCATGTCAGACATCGGGCTAACGAGAGACTGCTTCCAAGTTGCATTGGTCCAACTGTTAAACACCCCGAAACGGTATTGATTTGGGTTTGTTTTTCATTCTATGGACCAGGGCATCTGTGCATAGTTCCTAAGAGCACTATGGTCAACTCAGAAAGGTATTTGGAAATATTGAATACAAGCATGCTACTTAGTGCATCAGCTCTTTATCCAAATGATGACTTCATATTTCAAGACGGCGGCGCTCCTTGTCATCGCTAAAACCCTGGCTTCAACAACACAGTGTGACTCAGATGCATAATTGGCCAGGCCAGTCACCAGACATAAACCCAATCAAAAATCTGTGGTGCATCTTGAAAAGGAGCATCAGCAACACCAAGCCAACAGGCAGAGTTATTCTGATAGAGGCAATAATACGTGCCATTGCATCACACTGTCAACTTGGAAACATTTCACACTTTGGTTTAAAGCATGCCTCAATGTATCACTGGTGCAATAGCTGTGAAGGGTTTATGCAACCAAATATTAATTTCTGACATGTTGCGATAGCTGCAGGACATTAGCTGTGAAAAAATTCTTAATCAAGCACTCTTTAAGATTAATTTGCAACTATGAACAGTACAATCAAGTATTCAACCCTCAGAATCAGGCATTCGACAATGCGGGCCAAACTGCCAACCTTAAAGTGTTTGAGGTCGGCAAAAAATTGCCAACCTCGTTTCTATGTTTTATGGTAAGGACCTATGTACAATTTTTTTTTGCTGACCTGATGCCGACCTTTAAAATATTAAGGTTGGGAGATTATTTTCAACCTCATTTTTTCCTAATTCCAAGGGTTGAGTTTTAGAAAGTGAAAGTCATTTATAATTTGAAAGACTCTGATTTGAACTAGTTTTATGTAAAAAAAAACAACAAATTTGTTGATGCTGTCAGTATACTTATTCACAGACCTATATATATATATGTATATATATATATATATATAAATATATATATATATATATATATATATATATATATATATATATATATATATATATATATATATATATATATATATATATATATATAACTATATATATATATATTAAATTAAATGAAAGAACTGTTTTTCTTATATATTTTTTAGAGGTGCAGAGCTTTTAGGTGATTATTTTGTTCATGTCACTGGCTTCTCTGATCAAGTTTTAAGATATATGAGTGCTAGAGGTTCTGATCGACAGCTTCATTATGTTGAAAATATAGATTCTACTTATGAACTTAAAGATTTTAAGGTAAGTTGGTTATTGAAAAAGTTTTTTATGTTTTTTTTCAAATTGTTTAATTATTTTGAATGCTTTTTAATACAAATGGTCAAAATGTTTATTTAAGTTAGAAGCAGTATAAGAAATATCTTGAAAAGTTATTATAAAAATATATTTTGAATAATAAAGTTTACATCTTCTGATATTTAAGCTTTCATATTTGTGTGTTTGATTCTATACACGATGTTGTTACGTTACACGATGCTGATGTTAAACATATCTGTGATTTTGATGAATTATGGTAGATATTGATGCTGAAATTAGATAAAAATATGCTATACTAAAGAGCATAAAATGAAATTAATTTTTTATTTGTTTTAAGATTTCTTTAATCTTTTAATTTTTTATTAAATTAAAAATTAAATAACCATGGTTAAAGTAAATAATTACAAAAAAATATTTTATTTTAATTTTTATTGAAGGAAAAACGAAGAAAACAAATGGTTGATCATTATCGTTCACAAATAGTTCAAAGGCCATTGATGAAATGGAAAACTGTTCGAATTTTTATTTCATCAACTTTCAGGGACATGCATGGTGAGAGAGATCTTCTCACGCGTTACATTTTCCCAGAACTTCGAAGACGTTGCTACAGGTATTGTGTAAACATATATGAAATAGACTTGCGCTGGGGAATTACTGAAACTCAAGCGAATTCACAAAAGTAATTTTTGGTTTTGATTTTATTGATATTATGATTTAATGGCATTTTTATTATTACTTTTATAATTATTATTTTTATCTATTGTTATTATTGTTATATGTTCTGACAATGGTTTTCTCTTCAGAAAGCTGAAGACTCTTAAACATAGAATTTTAAAAGCACTAATGAATGAATTTATTTCTTTTGAAAATATGACAAATAATTAATTTTACTTTTTAAGAAGTATTATAATGTATAGTTTAAATTTAATTAATTGCCCAATACCTTCAAAATTATGCCTTCCAAAGTTGTTTAAACTGTAAGTTTTTTGATTCTAATTATCTTTATACAAACTTCAATGACTCTAAAAAAACCAGTCCATTATGAAAATCTCTCATAAAAATCACACAGTAACTATAGTTTTAAAATTGCAAAACTATAGTTTTAAAAAACAAAATATTATCTTTCAAAGTATTTTATTTAAAAACTTTGGCATATAAAATTCGCCGAATGGTCACACACGAACAGTGAACGCCTGAGGGAAGAAATGAAGTACATTAGAATAAAGGAGAATTATTTATTAGACAAAGCATATTTTGACAGTTGTCAAGACAAAAATAAAGATTAATAGAGGAATATTTAAAAATAAAAACAGTATAGAATTACTGAACAAACAAAAATAAAAATAAATAAAAATCCATTATGAAAATCTCCATTATGAAAATCTCTCATAAAAATCACACAGTAAATATAATTTTAAAATTGCAAAACTATAGTTTTAAAAAACAAAATATTATCTTTCAAAGTATTTTGCATAAGGTAAATGAAATGATAGAATAAAAGAATTTTGATGAAATCAAACTACAAATATAAACACAGTTATTTTTAGTTATTTTTAATCAATTTCTATTAAATCAATTGAATTATTTGCGTTATTCTTGTCATTAATGAAAGTCTATTGTTCATAGCAATGAATTTTTGTTCTAGATGTATTATTAAATTGTTTTAAAAATTACAGAATTAGTTGTTAAAAAATTAGCTCTTAAAGAACCCTTAGAAAATCTAAGGATTAAGATCAAAAAATACTAATAACATTTGAGCATTTAAATGTTATAAGAAAATCTTCAGTTTATTTTTTTTTTACATTATAACTAGTTTAAAATATTTTGAAATAAGTTGTTACACTTACCTTCAGTTATAATTCAAAAAATAAAAATAAAACATAAAAGATATATAAAAAAGAACTGTGTGCTGATTTAAAAAAGCAATATCAGGTAAATAAGTTAAACCATTTAATAGAATAATGAACGCATACATACTTGATATAGAGGACTTAATTTGCCTTGTCTTTACTTATCTCTGTACTTCTTTTTATATATATATATATTGTTATCCTCTTTTTTATATGTTTTATTTAGAACATTAGATATATGTTTGACTGAAGTCAGAAAATCAGATCTTTTTGTTGGAATTTTGGGCAATCGATACGGTTGGTCTCCTTCTGAATACTTTTCCTCAGACTCAGAAGTTATTGATTGGTTAAATCTTCAAAAGCCAGGCTTATCCATAACTGAACTTGAAATGAGGTTGTTCTATAATCGTGAAGCTGCTGAAACAAAAGGATTTTTTTATTTTAGAAAAGACTTGGATAAAAAGTATGCATTATGTGTGTGTGACCACGATTTTGTGTGTGTGCATTTTGTGTGTGTGACCACAATTTCATTAAATTATTTTGTTTATATTTTAATATTAACAGAATTATTCCTAAGAAATATCATAAAGATTTTATTGATGAAAAGAATCAAGATAAACTTGAAAGTTTAAAAGAGTGGATACGTTGCCAACATGGAGCAGAAGTTTTTTCGAAGTAAGTTACTTGAACTAATTTTAAAATTCAATATAATTGTTATTAGCAAGTGTTTTATGTTTTTATTTTTAACAAGTTAGTTAGAAACTAAATAACTAAATAAAATAAATTAAAATGATAATAAACTAGCAACGAACAACAAGCACAACACAAGCAGTAACACAAGCTCAAGTAACTAATAAGCAACCTGTAAAATGGATAAATGTTGGTTGTGTCATCAAGAATTACCTAATAACCTATTAAAAATAGTTATAAATAATAATTACCCACACATATTGCTATCTGTATCAACTGACATTCATATTGTACTTATTTTTTAATTATTTTTAACATCAAACAGTAACTATTTGTGCTGAGAATTTTTTTATCTACAATTATGCAGTGTTTGAATGAAATATTTTTCTAAACTCCATTGTATCTGCTATATCACCATACTATTGATCTATAGTTATAGTTATAGCTATATCAACACCTATTGATCTATAGTTTCCAGGACTCTTAATAAAAAGATAAAAAAAACTTCACATATATCATAGTGGAGCTTTGTTAGTTGCCTAGTATATTTAGCAAATAAAATATGCTGAATTAAGTAATTAAGGCTACATATAAACTTTTTAATATATTAGGATTGATGTAAAAGTTTTTTTATGTTAATCTTATATTAAAAAGTTTACTGATATCTCATATGATAAAATAAGAATTAGCGTATGCAATGCAATTTAATTTTAATGCTCTTGTTACTTTTGGTACTAATGATATCAACTGGAAGTTATTTAAAGTGTTAAAGATTCAGTGGGGAAAACAATATTCTGAATAACATCAAGTTGACAATTTAGTTTGTGTTACTTAATTTTATGAACTTGAGTATAAATATAGTTGTTAATCAAAAAGAAGTTTGACAAATCAAGACTAACTAAGTTGTTCGAAATTTTGTAACACATAAATAAGTCTTGTTTACAGCAATGATTTTCAAGATGTTTTAAATAGGGATGCTTTTTACATAACACAGTGTCAGTACCGCCGCCAGGATTTAATTCAGGGGGGTGCATGAAGAGATTTTTTTCTTTCTACGCTCTCCTTCCCCGCCCACGTAACAAAAACTTTTGTATATGTATGTATCTACTAAATACCTGAGCCTAATCTACGATTATTATTTATGACTCAGTCATTTAAAATTAATTAAAAATTAAAAAAGCATTTTTTCTTACTATTAAAAGATTTAAAAAAAATTTTTCTTTCTCTATTTCCTTTTTTTTTAAAAGCTAGGGGGGTGATGTGCACCTACTTGCGCCCCCCTGTCGGCGCCCATGCATAGCTATGCATTTTTCCTAGTTATTTCTATAGTTTCCGAGTTAGGTCCCTAAAGTCATCTGAGTGGTTAAATATGAATGTGCAGGTTGCTCGTAAATGTTGTAATGATAAATAAATAAATAAAAAAGTTTTAATTTAAAAATTAGAAAACATTTACATAAATTACATTAACTTATGTAAATGTTTTTAAACTGAATATATAGATAAGATAAGGACCTAGAAGTATTTTATTTTTTTTTTAATTTATAATTTGAAATAAAAAAGTTATTATTGAGAGCAATTTATTTTTATTTATTTTCTCTTTGATTAGACAAAAAGAATTCTAATTTATAAATTAGAATTGTTTTCATCTAATCAAAGCAAGTTTTTATATAAACATATATATATATATATATATATATATATATATATATATATATATATATATATATATACTTCTTTTTCAGCTATCCATGTCACTGGAGTGGAGTAGTAAATGACAAACCAATGCTTGGTGGGCTAGAAGAATTTGGGCAAAGAGTTTTGAATAATCTATGGGTTGCAATTAAAAAGCATCACATTATTCCCTTAGAACAGGTAATTTAAGTTTGCAATCAGTCTTCATGTGTAATATTTTAAGTTTGCAATGCATCATGTGTAATATTTTAAGTGAAAGTCATTAATCTTTCAAGTCCTAAAACTTCAATTTTTGTTCAGTTTTATTTTTTTATTGATATCATTATTTTTATAATACTTGTTGTGTTTAAGCAATTATCAATTTTTATTCAAAGTAATTTTTAATTGTTTGCACTCTTTCACTTTATCTGTATTGTTTACACAATTTCAAAATAAAATTTTGAAATTTCTACTTTTTTTTCCTGAAAATTCTAAAAAGGTGGTTTCTATGGATAATAATGTATGTACTGAATCCCTCTGATTGATGCATGTATTGAAACTAGACATGAAGGACTTTTATTTATATATAGTTAACCTTTTTCTGCAGATTTTGTGCAAATGAATCTTTGAAGTTAAATGCTCATGGAATATTATTAATGTTGTCATAATGAAATATCTGCGTGCACATAATTTTTTTTTTATATTTTCTAGAAGTTTGATACAGAAGAGGTAACAAACAAGCATTTGCTTTATGCATCAAATCTTTCAAAAGAAGTTGTCGGTCGAAAAACTCTATTAAATAAAATAGAAACAATTTTGGTGGAGTCAAAAAATAAGCAAGACAAAAACATTTTGTTGATTTCTGGAAAGAGAGGTTCTGGAAAAACAGCTATAATGGTTTGTTGCTATAACAACAGCTATAATGGTTGCTTTTGATTGGTTGCTTTTGATAGCATTTTTGTTTTTTATTAAAAACATGTTTTAAATAGCATTACATTTTATTTTAAGTTTAGTGGTTAGGTTATACTTTATCTTATTTATTTCTAGAGTAAATTGGTTGAAACTCGTATGATAAATGAAACACCTTGTTGCTATTTTGTTGATGCCGGGGACAACACACTTCAAACACTTTTAAAACATTTATTTATTTCTCTTAATGAAGCATACAATGTTGGATTTGATGAGCCAATTTCTTACAAGTTTGATTTTGTTAAATTCATATAAGTCCTTAGCATTGTTTTTAGCATTTTTTTTTTTTTTGGAGCTAGGGTTTTTTTTTATAATGATTTTATCTTGTAGGGCCATGGTTTCCAAGCTTAGTTTACTTTTAAAATCTATATCAAAAAATAATGGTGGGGAAAATTTCTTAATTTTTATTGATGGTCTTGACCAAGTTCATCTCTCAGCACAAGAAAGTCGAACTGATTGGATCCCTGATAGTTTACCAAAGGTATTTTTAAATTTTTGATTGCATAAAATGTGTAAAAGATTTGATAAAGAAAAAATATTATTTTTGTATCATATATATATATATTTTTTTAATATAAATCCTTATTTAAAATTGATTGGCATTACAAATAATGAGTTGTACAATTTTCTCTATTGCTAAAAATGTAAGAAGTATAGCAGCACTAGAGCGTAGGCAAATAAACACTGTTTATTAAACAGATTACTTGTGTGTTGAAAATGCAGCTGAGCATCCAATGTTGCGTGGCAGGTCACTGACACCATCACGTAGAATATAAAGGTATTTTTGAATGAAGGATTCTTGGTAAGTTGTTGTGTTAGCGTTATTAAGACCAAACGGAAATCTATCGGGGTTTCTACTATTAGTGTGGGTTAGTTTATTGGTTATCGGATCGTATGTGTCATTAAGGATCTTTTTGAGGATATTTATACATGCTTTTTCTAATAATTCTTCAATGTTAAAACAAATATTGAAGCAGCTCGAATTGGTTGAGTCAATACCAATGATATGCAACGCATTTTTATGGAAATGTTGAATCTCTTTTTTTGCCACAATACTGCATGACATAAGAACTGGAGCACTATATATCATGTGGCTAATAGCGTAAAACCTGTAGACATGCAGGAGGTTGAATTGCGTGTGACCGATTTGCTTAAGGCGCTTGAGTAGAAATGAAATTGATTTTATAGTGTTGTGCACTTTTACCTATTGTTCGTCCCAATCGAGATTTTCATTTAACATGATACCAAGGTACTTGTAGTTGGAGACAGTTTCAACCTCAGTATTATCAAGTACGACAGATGGTAGAAAATGACTTACGGGGCACCTGGAGTTAATTCTAATAACTTTTGAGCTATTGAGCTTCATACCATTGTTCAGAGACCAGAGTGCAATGCCATCAATGATAAATTGAGGTAAGCTGGCAGGAGTTTTATTGTAGATAATGTAAATCAGGATGTGATCAGCATATTTTTCTAGTATGGTTTTGGCTGGAAGATAGGTGTTTATGTTCGAGATAAAAAGAATGAACAAGAATCAAAAAGAATGAACAATTAAAATCAAAAAATATTGCAAAGATTGCTTTGTGATTGTTTTTTGCGTGACACCAGTCTTCTATAACTTAAATAATGGGATCCATTGTACTATCGCCTGGGAGAAAACCGAACTGTTTGTTTGAGACCCAGATATGCTAGGTGTGATGGACGATAAATTTGGCAATAATGCGTTCAAAAACTTTGCATAATGAGGATGTAATGGCGATGGTACAATAATCATTAGATGAGAATGGATTTTTGGTTTTAGGAATCGGTGTTATGTTTGTTGATTTCCATTGATGTTTTCTATGAGGCGGTTAAATAAGAAACAAAAAGATGGGGCGATTTCTAAGCGGGAGGATTTGAGTAACAGTGGTAAGATATCATCTGGACCACACGATCCTGTTTTTAGTTTGTTAAGTTGGTTGAGATTGTTACTATAGGTGAAAATAGGGGTAGTAGGCAGTAGTGATGTACCGATTAATTGGCATTGGCTTCATTGGCTACTTTTTGTACAATCGGTATCGGCATCCGCCTTATTTACCGATTTTCTAACCGATGGCATTTTAATATTTTTATTGTGCATTATTATAATAATTAAACAATAAATAAACTAAACTTTATGCATCAATTAGAATTTTTTGGATAAGTTTTTATTTTGACTTTGTTTACAGCCAAGAACTTTAAAAGTAACCTATTTAAGCATTGTTATCTATATTTTTAAAATTCTTTTTTACTCCCAACAAAGCTGCAAGCAACCACTATCAAGTTGGGAGTTGCTAGAAAAAAAGAGTAGAGTTATAGAGCAAAGAAACGGTTGACACAAAGCTAAAAAAGTAGTAGGTTGTATGAGTCAGGAAAATATAAGATGAGACAGAGTTGAGAAGGGTTGAAGTGCTGGGAAATAAGCTAGACAAATAAAAGTATTTGGAGCATGAAAAGACAGATACACTAAAAGAATGAGACTTTGATGAATGATGAGTCAAGGGGTAATGAGTTTTGGTTGATGGAACCAGAGATGAAAGATTCTTTGAGCAACCATGATAGTATTTGTAGAAAAGAGAAAGGGTCCAACTCTGATTAATAATTAGTTAATTCATCGGCATCCGAATCAGCTTTTTCCCATCCATCAGCATCAGCCAAAAAAGTGATATCGGTACATCACTGCTTGCCGGTTGATAAAGAGAAATAGATTAGGTTGTTTCTTATTGTTCCAAACACTTTGGAAGTGATCATTTAGCGCATTTGCTATTGTCTCAGTGATAAAATTAGGGATTTGTCCTTTATCGGCAAGCTTAATTTCTCACCAAAAAACTGTATTTCTGGAGGAAATGCGTCTGTTATAAATACGTTTTCTTTTTATTATTAGTTTGCTGACTTGCTTTGCTAGTATTTTCCATTTGTTGTAATGACCAGATAAAAAAAGTCGCTGACATTCTTTTATGTGGCTCTGAATAAATGGAGTCATCCAAGGCTTGGGAGTAACAAGTGTTGTTGTTCTTAGTGGTTGGCAGATTTCATTTATATTTCAGCTGACCAGCTTTTGTTCCTTTTATTTTAAGTCTATTTAAATTATTTTAAATTATTTAAACTCTTTAAAAAACCTTTTTTCCTTTTTTCTCTTTTAAAACTTAATAGAGAGATTAAAAATACTGAAAAAAAATTTGAAATTTTTGTTAAATAATGTTTATAAAAGATAAAAAGTAATAAAATAATAATTTAAGTAAAATGAAACAAAAAAAAAATTATTTTTGTAAAAATAAAACTTACCCAAAAGTATTAAATTTGTCCAAAACCTTTCTCCTCATTTGTAAAAAAACAGCTAAAAGTAACTTGAATGAAATGGAAAATGAAAATCTGCTTTCATTTTGAAGATATTTTCTAGTTTAAATAGAAAATATATTTCATAATTTGTCACCTTTTTTTATACAAAAAAATTGTAACAATAACAAAATAAAAGGTTTATGACATGAATTTAACTTTACTTTAATGAACTTTACTCGAACTGTTTCTTTTCGCTCATGTTTAATAAGATTAGTTTTGGTCATGTTTAACAAGGCTAGTTTCAGTCATGTTTAACAAGGTTAGTTTCGGTCATGTTTAACATTTTTAATGTTTTAAAGTTTAGCTTTAAGAGATATACAAATAAATAACAAAAATTGTTATAAAAAAACAAGTTATTTTAAATAATTGTATTATTGTTATATTATGTATAATAATAAGTAATGAATATTTAAAATGTTTAAGTTAGTTGAAATATAAATAATATTAATGATAATATATTATTACTATTATTTTTTTAATTTAAAGTATTATTTATATAAAATTAAATAATAATAAATAGTAATAGATAAATAAGTTATAGTAATAATATAATAATAATATAAGTAAAATTTAAAGTAAATAGTAAAATAATAATAATAATAATAATAAATATAGAATTTACAAGTTATAGTTACAATTAAAATAATTTCTCAATATAAATGTTTTTGTTTACAATTTTAGGGTTGTATATTTGTTATATCATGTTTTGAAAATGGTCATTGTTCAAAACAACTTTCCATTCACAAGCAGCTTATAGAGTTAGTGAAGATTGATGTTTTTGAATATGCTGATCGTGCAGTTTTAGTGAGACAATTGCTTGGTTATCATGGCAAAAAATTAGAGGAGTCCTCCTTTAATAATCAGGTGGTTATTTCATTGTAAATTAAAAATATTTTGATTTTTTTAGGGTCTGGGTCTTCTTTTGCTGCCTGGGGCCTTAAATCACCATATTTGTATATTATGCTTTTTATCATTATTTAATTACTTAGTAATTTGGTTACAAAATTTAATGTTGATTCGTGTAAATTGTTGGTTGTGAGCTACATAATTAAAAAGGAAAAAAAAAACTTTTTTTGTCTTCATTTTTTGTTGAAAGACCTTATTTTACCATATTTGTGCATTTTTAAGCTTTTTTTATTATTATTTAATTACTAGTCATTTATTTTCTAAAAATTTTAAATTTTATTTTAAGTTTTATGATAAATTGTTACCATAACGATGATATAATGAAATAGAACAGTAATCAAGTTTTTTGGCTTTTTCTGTCGGGGGACAAAAAAACGTCAGGGGACTTATATTGTGCATTTTCAGGTTTTTTTATTGATATTTAGTAATTAATTTATGATAATTTTCTCATTGTATTCCTAAATAAAACTATGGCTAGATTTATAAAACACTTTCTATTCAGTGATGCAAACTAGCACTTTTTTAAATTATTTTTATTTATTTTAGGCTTTTCTTATTGTTTTAAATTACTCAATAATTTACTATTTATTACTATATAAATTGTAGTGTACAATTACTATATAAACTTTAGTGATTTTATCTAGCACTTTTTATAATTGTTATTCATTTTAAAATAAATTGCAGAAAAATTTACTATTTATACAAAATATAAAGATTAGTATACTATTAGAATTTCCAGAATTTGCAAATTTAAGATTTGTTAACAAAATTTAAAATTTTTGCAAACCGAATAAAGTTTATGTTTAGAAAATTAAAAATATTTTGATTTTTGTGGGAAACTATGGCTGTTATAAGAGTGCAGCTAACTTGTCCTGTTTATCGAATGTTAACTTACTACTCACAAACCTCTAACTGTTAAGGAAGCAGAACTATTCTTTTATCAAACTACAACTTCCTAGGATTACCAAGTCAATAATAGTTGCTAAAATTTCTGAAAATGTTATGAGGATTTGATTGAAATCTGGTATTCCAACTGTTACAATGCAAAGAGTGCAGCAGAAAATAGAATCTTTGCACAATAATTTAAGAATAATTCTTAAAAAAAAAAGGCAAATCAAAAACTTCAGTAGTATCAAAAACTTCAGCAGTATCAATTGCTTAGATGAAAAATTTAATTTTGTTTGACATTGCAGAATATCAAAAGTGCCAGTATTTGAGCATGAATTTTTAATGGGTCAATGAAATGAAAGAGTTATGGTTATTGGTCCTTTAGATAAGGAAAAAACTTTTATATTAACCAGAATATTTGAAAGAAGCACAAAGAAATAGAAATACTATGATTTTTTTTCCGTGTAGTAAAAACAGTCTGGAAGCATCACTTAGTATCACTTTTGATATAGATGCAGAAGTTAATTCTGGAGGAGTTTATAAATGACACTCAGAGCAATGTTGATGATGTCAGTTGTCAGATTTCTGTGAATTAGCTAGTGACTCTGACAGAAAAATGATGTTTCCAACAGTTGCCAAAGAATGTGACAGATGTGGTGTATCTGATGTTGCTGGAGCTGCAATTGCTACTGCCACACTTCCAGATTTTATGGAATTATAAAAAAAACATGATAGCAAACATGACCAAGTTAAGGTACCAAAGACAGTTGTTTATAACTACATTATCACACAAAGCAAAGTTAGCTATGTGTTCAGTAGGCCCAATATCAATTTTTTTTGATGGGAGAAAAGATAAAACTCTTTGTGCATTAACAACTAGCAGTAAAGACATAATCACTGAGGAACATATCACATTAATTGAGGAACCTCATTCCATTGTACTTGGTCATATTTCTCCATCAAGTGCATCATCAATAAATATCAAGAATGCTTTTAGATTTTTTTGATGAAAACAAAATATCACTTGATAATGTGTTAGCTATTGGCACTGATGGAGCTAACGTAAATGTGTGAACAATGGTGTTATAAGATTGCTGAAACTGCATTTGGGATATCCAGTTCAATAGTTAGTGTGTATGTTCCATTTTTATAAACAGTATCTTTGTAACATGTGCAGCGTAATAGAAATAGGTGAGATGAAAGAAAAAAATAGAATAAAAAAAAGCATGACCCATTGGTTCATTCTCAATGGCTGACAACAGCAAATCGATTCTTTCATTTCAATGTTGCAAGCACTCCTCATCCTACTGAGCTTATAGTACTTACTGATTACATTCTTCGAGTTTATGCACTGGTGTGGTTTTTTATAAAACTGGAGCCTCAATGTTACATGGGGCAAAACACTTGTGGCGCCTAATTTGATTCTCTCACTTCCTTTCTGAAAGTGATTGGCTTATAGTTGATAAATGCATTCAAAGAAATGCATATTATGGTCACCCAAAAAATATTTTGATATCAATTTTGATGGATGAACGAAAAGAAATAAAAGAATTAGCAGTAAGAAGAATTAAAATTTTTGAGACGATGCAGTTTCAAATTTTACAGAAGTAAGAAAATTAAAAATTTCTCTTCTAAACTTTGATGCAGTTGATTACTGTAGTCTTGTAAATTAGAAGGAACTTCTAAGGACTCCACTACCTACGTTAAAAGAGTTAAGTGATAATTTCATTGAAATACAAAATATGTAAATATTGACTTCAGATGATTTTCTATGCCATTCTCAAAATGTAGAAACACATGATCAATTGGTGACAAAAGCAGTTGCAGCTGTATCTGGAAAAATGAGAAGAGGCGGGTTCGATACATTGCTTTAAAAAATAATTGAAATATGTAGGAATAATTGGTCAATAAACTCTTTTTTCATAAGACTTCTTTAAATAAGTTTTTGTGTTGCTCCTAAGAAATGTAATGGCAGTGCTAACGTAATCATGTAACTGTATAAAATTTTGAGTTTTAAAGCAATCTTAAAGGTTTGACCAGAAAACAACAAAGTTATTGCATTTTTTGTTGAGCAGAAATTTTTATATACCAAAAATTGTAATATCAAAATGGCTTATTTTCAATTAGACATCAGCTAAGGAAAAATAATTTTATTTTAATGATATTTAGATCTTAGAGCAACATTATTTTGCTATACAAACTAATTTGAATGAAAAAAACGAAATGATCATCTACCCTTATATATATATATATATATATATATATATATATATATATATATATATATATATATATATATATATATATATATATATATATATATATATGTGTGTATATATATATATATATATATATATATATATATATATATATATATATATATGTGTATATACATATATCAGTGCTCCAAGTGAGGCAGGATGTCATCATGTCACCTTTTTATAAAATATAAACATTTATCTCTATATATAACAATGATTAAGTGGGATGGTATTTTTTAATTTATTGAATACCATCCCATTACTTTTTTTTCTCCGCTTCGAGCACTGATATATATATCTTTATATATATATATATATATATATATATGTATATATATATATATATATATATATATATATATATATATATATATATATATATATATATATATATATATATTTGTCTAAATATATAAAAATATATATAAATTTGTATAAATATATATATATATATTTTTTTCTAGTTTGTCTTTATACATATTTTTATATCATATGTATATGTATATATATATATATATATATATATATATATATATATATATATATATATATATATGTATATATATATATCAAATGAATCTTTAACTTTGAACTTAAGTGCTCATGGAATACTAATGATGTTGTCATACTGAAATAAAGATAAGGCACATACTGAGGTACAAACATAGGGCTAAGGTTGAGGGAGGAAAATTAGATAAATAATATCTATTTGGACATAAATAATTAATTTTTTGTATCTGTTTTTTTTTTAATGATAAAAGTGTGTAAATTTACCTGTAAAAAAAGTAGTGTTAATTAAAGTCTGACAATAAAACTTGGGATCAAATAAAAAAAATCTTTAATAAATTTTTTAAAAAGTTTCTGATTTTACCAGATTTACATTCAGATTTAATTACTCTAACAAAATTTCTTAATTACTTAAATGTCCAATTAATTGTCCAACTATTACAACAACTAGTATCAAATTCTTCAATTGAAAGTTCTTTATCAGTAAAATCTATTCATAAGTTTGTGTTGTTGTGTTGATTATAAATATAAACGATTTTTATGTACATCTTTTTTTTGACTATCCATGTCATATTTTTTTTTTCATCTGATGCCCCATAAGACCTAAAAATTTCAGAGTCTTTATTATATATAAGACCTAATAAGATCATCAGACCTAAAAAGATCATCAGACCTAAAAATATCCTAATCTTTATTAAACCTGATTTTTTTTCCTGTGTTTTTTTTCTTTTCAATATATTCTCTTCTTTGGCTAGCTTTTAAATAAACCCAAATGAAACTCAGTATGGAAAAAAGTTGGTTGGTATTGTGTTTTCATTACAAAATTCAAGAAATGATTTTTTTTTAATGTAGATGAAATTTATTGTTTCCAAAAGAGATGCCACATCTCCATTATATTTGCATCTCGTTTGTGAAGAATTGCGTTTATTTGGGGTGTTTGAGGAGTTAAACTCTTATCTCCGTTCAATTGCACAAACAATACCTGAGCTTGTAACCTACCGACTTAAATGCATGGAATTAGAGCATGGGCTGAGTTTGGTCAGCTGTGCTTTTGCTCTTCTTTATTTCAGCCGAAATGGTATGTTAGTTATGATATCAAAATTTTTTTTTTTTTTTTTAAAAAACTTTAATTGATTGCTTTTTTATTTAATTGACTTTTTTTTTTTTTACCTAGGTTTGACTGTGGAGGAACTCTATGAAACATTAAATATGACTCAACAGAGCAATAAATCGTTTGAGCAGTCAATTCCACAAGTTCCGTTTCACAAACTTTGTCAAGAGTTAAAAATGTTTACAAGACATGATCTTAAAACAAACAGGTATTTATTTTGTTTAGGTATCTAAAACAGATTGTATTATAACAGAATATATTATTTATAATCCTTTTTTATTATTTATAATTTGCTTTTATTATTAGGTGTATTGTTTTAATATTGGGGTGTATTGTGCATTTATTGGTTAATTTTGTTACTTTATTTTGTTACAGTAATTCAATGTTTTTTTGTGTTTTTTGTTTTTGTTTTGATGTAGTTTGTTTTAATGTGAATAAAGTACTACAGGCTTATTTCATATTAGTTGAAGCCAACCTGTGTGTGTTTTGTATAGATAAAACTTGAAATAAAAAAAGTTAATTAATTTTAAATTTTAGTTAAATAAAAAAAAAAAATTATAGACTGAATAAGTACATGAGACCTATTTGAATTGTTGAATAGTTTTTTATAATTTTTAAATAACTTATAATTGAAATCAAATTTTTTTAAAACTTTAGTATGCATTTGTTTGGTGAGGTTCGAAGTATCATTGAAAGAGTTTACATTCATTGTGCTGCTGCTGATTTTACATTTAAGATGCATAATGTGTTAGCAATATTCTATCGTAAACAAGCGGATCCTTTAAATAATTTTTCATGGTTGGGAAATGATTTGAGAGCTTTAAGAGAACTTCCTTTTCACTTGGTTTGTTTATATGTGTGTGTGTATATGTTTGTGTGTGTATATATATATATATATATATATATATATATATATATATATATATATATATATATATATATATATATATATATATATATATATATATATATATATATATATATATATATACATATATATATATATATATATATATATATATATATATATATATATATATATATATATATATGTATATATATATATATATATATATTTATATATATATATATATGTATATATATATATATATATATATATATATATATATATATTTGTATATATATATATATATTTGTATATATATATATATATATATTTGTATATATATATATATATTTGTATATATATATATATATTTGTATATATATATATATATATTTGTATATATATATATATATATATTTGTATATATATATATATATTTGTATATATATATATATATTTGTATATATATATATATATTTGTATATATATCAAGCCTTCTCAGAAGATGCATTCGGTCGCACGCCTTAATTGACCATACATACAATATTTTGTTTTGACAACTTGGCCATGACTCCTTACTTGTTTTAAGTTATTGCATTTAAAAAATGTGCTGATGTAAACTTAAACAAAAATTAAAAATAAATAAACTATAAACTGCAAAGAGAAATAAAAACTAAAAAAAAAAATACAAAACTAAAGTCACATCTCATTTAATTAACCAAAGCACCAAAGCGCTACTTTAACATGACAATATAGGAAGAATTATTAGCTTTAAACTATTGATTGAAACGCTTTTAAATTAAGTTTAAACTATTGATTGAGATGCTTCTAAATTTAAGATATATTAGTTTTATATTTTTTTATTTTCTTTGTTTTTTTATTTTATCATTCATTAAGTTAGTTTCTTTTTTCAATTTATTGTTTGTTTATTTTTAGTTTTCTTTTTAAATTAGTTTGGTTTTTTGTAAAAAAAAAAGTTGTATGTGTGGTGGTGACTTAAGGTTCAGGTATATCTAGATTAAAAGGAATCTAGATATAGGAGGCATCTATTGCAAAAAACAAACAAAAGCTCACTCTTTTTCATAATAAATCTTTTTTTATTTTTTTATAACACTTTAATGAACAAAGTCAGAATTTAAAATATTATAGTCACAAAGACATTTTATTTAAAATTATTATAGAAAATTACTTATAAATATAAGTGCTTCCTGGCAACTCATTAAGTAGTTACGCATTGCGTTAATGATTGAATAGTTGTTGACCGATAGTAAAATATCATATATGTGTTCTATATCTATGATAAAATCATGTGCTGTTCAATTATTATCTTGGACTATGGCTACAACATCACTTACAAAATGTACACAAGTAAAACTTTTAATGGAAAAACAGTAAGTCTAATCAAACGATTGTTGCATGTTTGATAAGATGATTTGCCAAGATAATTGTTCAGTTCATCAAATAAACAGGTAGCAATTAATCCTGGAAAATCCTGTGGAAGACTAAGAATTATCACTCTAAAAAATAACAATTTGATATGTTTTTTGGCTGTAAATGACAGATTTCTAGCTCATAATATCTTATTCTGGCTTCTTTGTCTTAGTGCCTACACAGTTCAAAAAGTCATCCGGGGATTTCAATATTCAATAATAATGTGTTTTGTTAAAGCCTCATGTGTCTAATTGGTTTCAATTTAGAAAATTTAATATTTTCATGCACACATGCTTGCTATTAGGTAAAAATTTCAAGACATAGCTCCAAGAAAATGCGATTATTAATTTACTAGGCAATTTCTCAATTTAAACCCCATTAAAAATTACTGAGTAAAATTGAAAGCAGAAGTTTTTTTAAACAAAGCGTAACATCACTAGCAACTTAAAATAACATCCAAATATTGTGATTCTCTTGTTTTCACCCTATCCGGTGAAGAATAGAGGCTTCTTTTTAATTAAATTAAGAACCCGATACAAAGTACTAAACCATGCTTTATACAAAAAAATCTAGAAATCTATATGAGCTAGATACTAGATTACTGAGAATGATATTAAAATATAACAATAAAATTTAAAATATAATGCAAATACTAAAATTACAGCAAAAGATTTGTACATAAAACAATTGACTAGAACCAATTCTACAGCATTCATTACTATAATATATCACAAAGATAATTTTGCAAACAATCCTCAGTGCTGACTGATAAACTTAGTTTAACCTGAAAAGTTTAAACAAAATTTTATTAGATTTCAATAGCAAAATGAGGAATGCTACCTACACACATTGCATCTGCATACACCAATAGCAAAGCGCAAATGTTGTCATAAAATAGTTTTAAACCATACCGGAAAAAAGTACTTTTGACAAGTTTCAATTTTGAAACAACTTCTTCAAGATTTCTTAAGGCATGCAAAATAATTCATAAAATTCCTAATAAATCAATCAAAGTTATATAGCACACCAAGAAAGGATTGCTTTTTTTCAGAAAATGATATGTTCATTAAAATCAATACTCTAATTTCAATGTTACTATGGATAGTTTTAACAAAGCCAAATTATGCAAATTAATTGGCTTCTTTATCTTATTATACTATTGTCGAAGAATGTAGACGTAATACTACCAGTTTATATAAATATGATGGCCTTTGCTGCTTTTATATCAGCAGCCTTTGTATAAATTTAATCTTAACATTATAATTAGATCAAAATTAAAAATTGAAAAATTTCTTGATGTTGGATTTAACCTTATAGAAAATTCTTTTTGACCATATAGAAAGCCAGATGATAATCCTTTATATTAACATCAATTTCAATCATTAACATCAATTTCAATTGTCCGCCAAACATCATTAAATCGATTCTAAAAATGATCTCTAACTGCTTCAGTAATGCATCTTCAAGTATAGAAGCTATTGATAGAGTTTTACCATTTTTTCAATAACGCTCTCAATTCTTGTAGATTTTAAAAATGAGATAAATTCAAAATATCCCAAAATATAATGCAAGATCTCAAATACGAAAATTAAAAAAAAACTAAAAGTTATTAAAGTGGACACTCCATTGCAATTTTAAGATATATTTTTTTGTTGTTGCATTCTATATAATGTTTATAATATCTGATGATCACTATTGCATGAAATTTAAAATTATTAGATAAAACTAGCTATTTAGTTTTCACTGCACATTTACAGGTACATACATATAGCACTGTCCTTATGTACTTTGCACACATTAAGTTTTACTTTTTTTTACCAAAGTATTTTCAGAATGAGAAGGATAAAGGAAAGAATAATGAAAAAAAAAGAGACATTTTTACTGCATTCAGTTTGTTTCTGAACCTAGCAGCATTGTTTTATGTTTGTCAAAGGTTTTGTTTAAAACTTATAGAGTTCAAAAAGATATATAACAACAACTTAAAAAAAAAAAGAGTATTGATGTTGTTTAATATTGTTTGAATAAAAAAATATGCATTCGAAATTACAAAAACATTTTGTTTCAGCTAAATTTTTTTTATTTAGAGTGCAAGCAACTCATGGAATGAACTAAAAACAATTTTATGTAATTTGGAATATATTAAGGTAAAATTACAAGCAAATCAAATTACTGAACTCCTTGAAGAGTTCCATTTTGCTGGTCCTAAATTGTTTACTGAAGATGCATGCATTAAAGAAACCCAGCAGTTTATTATGGCAAATGTGCACATTCTATCGCGGTAAATTTTACTTGATTATTTAACTTTTTATTTTATTTTTGATAAGTTTTTGATATTTTTCATAACAATAACTTTAAAATTTATACAACTCTTTTTTATATATATATATAACTCTTTTTTTTTTTTTTAATAGACATCCTAATCTTTTGATACAACAAGTATTAAATGCTTCTAATATCAGTTTTGTTAAAAATCAAGTTAATGTTATCACAGTTGGCACTATTACATTGGCAGAAAAATCAGAAAACATTTCAAGTTGTGTTCTCACATTAACTGGAATGCAACAGGTTTGTCTTTTTTAGCAAAGTCACCTTCAAAAAGGCTGCAAGAAACTAGTATTTATGTTTTATATTTATGTTGGGAGATACTATAAAGTTTAAAGGAAAGCAAGAAAACAACTGACAGAAGATTCAAAATGGAATTATATAACATATAATTCCATTTTGAATCTATATATCAAATAATTCCATTTTGAATATAACATATAATTCCATTTTGAATATATAAATTCAGGAACTATTAATTCTTCGTAACTTTTTTTTTTTTTTTTTCTTAATTATTCACCTCACCAAGGCCCGTGGGGGCCACTACAGTCGAGGAGGCTACTCTTTTTTTTTTTTTTTTTTTTTTTTTTTTTTTTTTTTGTTGTTGTAAATCGTGGTACAACTCTCTCTCAACTCTTTAACTCCGAAACAGGAACCTTTACAAGCAAGGTCGCTGCGCAGAGAAATTAAGTTGAGCGCAGTACTTCCAGAGACATGGTGGGAGTCGAACTCCGAACCTCTCGCTTACAAAGCGAGCGCTCTTACCACTACACCACTACCGCATATAACTTATAATAACTTATATCTGGTTAACATATATATATAATTAAAAATCAAGATTTATATAAAACCAAATCAATTTTTCAGTTTATTTTTTTTTAGGGTGTTACATCAGTATGTGTTTCAGATGACAATAGCATGTTAGCTTGTGGAATGCAAGATGGACAGTTAATAGTTTATAATCGTAGTACTACAAAAGTATGTTTTATTTTTTTATTTTTAATGTGTTTAACAAATTTAGAACCTTGAATTAACATTCATGGTTCTACATTTATGTGTTTTACACTGGTTTTCATAATTTTATTTTATTTAAATATGATATTATGGAAGAGTTAAAGCATTTTTTTATAACCAGATGCTCTTTCTGGTATTAAGCTGTTTTGCAGAACAGCATTGTGTTTTTATTATTATTGTGATATTACCAAGGTTACCATCCAAAATTTGTGAGTAGAGATAGGAGGAACTTCTATCTCTACCCACAATTTAATTGAGTTATTTATATTAGGGTTTTTCTTCTCCTATGGCATTAACCATGACTGAACAGCCCTATTATAAGATCAGTCTAATATCATGACCAGGATGTTTGTATTTTCAAAAGTATTATTTTAAATAAGTCAAGATTGTTAGGGGGTTGGAGTGGGCGAAGAGGAGCTCTGATAAAAAGAATTAACATTTAAGACTCAGTTAAAACTAATTTATGCTTAAAGGTAATGTCTTTTAAAGTGTTGTCATATAATCTGATGAAATTAACTTTAATTTCATTATTTTTTATTTTTTTATCAGTAAAAATTTATATGTTTAAAATTAAGGAATTGCGTTGTTTTGTCGGCCATTCTGCTGGTATTTCTGCATGTTGTTTCGCTACTAACTCAAAATTGTGTAGTTCATCTTTTGATGGTACAGTATGTGTTTGGGATGTGCACGGAGGTCATAGGTAAGTGTTTTAATAAGTGCACATAGGTAAGTGTTTAAAATATTTATAGAGATCATAGGTAAGTTTTTAGATGCATCTTTATTTTAGATTACATTTTTCAAAACTTCATTGCAGACAAGTAACTAGCTGTATTGCTACCAATGATGGTCGATTTTTTTTAACAACTTCTTATGATATCTCAAATCCTGCTGTACTCTGGTCAACAACTGATGGGAAACCAGCAATTGTTTATGAAAAAATTACTCATCCATTTAATTGTGCAGCTTTTGATCCTTCGAATAACTTATTAGTTGCCCTGGGTGGGTGGGATAAAAAAATAGCTATATGGAATACAGTGGAAGGAACAATTTCCAAGGTTTGTATGTATTTTTATTAGAGGATATAAATAATGAAAACTTGAAATAGAGAAAAATTGAAACCAGATTTTTTCATATTTGGCCAAATTTGATGTTTGTATTTGTAAAGTGTCAAAGTTTATAGACAAGATGTTTAAGATTCTATAATAAAATTCTAAATTTAACCCAGCGTTATTTCCCTTTCCTCCTCCTCTTTCCTCTCAACTCTAAAACAACTTACTAAAAAGAGACAAGTCACATCAAGCATTTTCATTTATAATAAGTATTTAAAAAAAAAGCTTAATGATTTTTTTTTTCATTATTACTTTTTATTTTTATATTTTTTGATTTTAATTAATTTTAGTTTTGATAAAAGTAAATACTTCTATGATACCATCGTTGCCTACCATAGTTGCTGCTCAAGGGAGCTATCACTTGTTCTATCAATCAAAACTTAATCTCACATGATCTTTCAGTTATTGCCTTCTTTTACTATTTCTGTTTATTCATGCCTAAAAAACTTTTGTTAATCTAATATTTTTCCTTGAATATTGGTGCTTTGAAGATCTTTCTATTCTTATTGTTTTCCTGACTAATAAAATTTTCAGCTTTTCAAGTCTTTTGTCAACCATTTTTTGTATTTTAGCTTTCTTGTTTACTTTAAGTCTTCAGTCAACCATTTTCTTGAATTTTAGTTTTCTTTTTTTTTTTCTTTTTTTTTGCTTATGCGACACAATGATTGCAAAAAGTGACCAACGGAGCGGTCCTGTTACGTAGACCTGGGAGATGTGAAAATAAAAACAGATTGAAGATTGTCATTTAGGTAAAAAAAAACATAAATTAATGTAAAGACTATTTAGTAGGAGGAGTAAAAGTTAGCAACTCAAGAAAAGAGGAATAAAAACTTACACTCGAGTCATCTTTTCAGCAAATGATGAAATAATGATCTATGAGCAAACAAGTCAATAAAAATCCGCTGGTTTATAATGGTATTCATAACTAAAATAATCTCACCATACAAATGTCTTATAAATGGGTACTATATATGTTCTAAACTCTAGATAAAAAATTGAGAACTGATAATCACCTGTGTAACATAAAAATATATAAATGTCGTTAATATAACAAATTCATAATTAAAAGCTCACAAAGTGCAAAAATACATGGGTGTAAGAGGTAAAAAAATGTTGGTGCCATAATAACCAATTAGAATTAAGTAGTGGATAAATGGTGATCCCCCTCCTCAGGAATGCACTGCGATCACCAATGATGTTTCGGAGAGCCCAAGACCTGCACTAATGCCACTTGTCAGGGGTGTGTCCTTGCAACAGATCTCACCGCCTGCACTCTACGTCATGCTTGTCAATATTGCAATATAATAGGACTACACTACAAAAGCCAAAAAACCCCAATCCCTATCCCAGTTTTTGAAAACAGCTCCAACATTCTTAGAGATCTCGTGAGGGTGGTGAGGGATGCGCGTGGTGTGACCATAAACAGATATGTAAACACATATAAATATAAGATACCCTTTCATTAGAAGAAACAAACTTGTACACATGTACGTATGCGCGTGTATAAATAAACAATTATAATGTGTAGAAATAACACATAGAAAATAGCGAATAGAAAATAGTAATTAATAATTAATTGTAACTTACTGTTTCTTTTATGGCTGAAATATGTATTATAAATATAATAAGTAAATACCGCTCATAAGCATTGATACTAAGTTAAGATGTTTTGTGGTTAGTACGAAAGTAATTTAACGAAAGTATGATAAAAAATGTGATAACTTCAATAGTATATTCTCATATAAATCTTGCCTGGTAAGTAGAGACAATAGCTATCACACAAAACAGACTCAAAGTAATTAAACAACGATTAGCCAGAGATAAAAAAAATACAAACATTAAATCAGTAGGCAGAAAATAAGGAGGAAATAAAAAGATAAGACAATATATGCGATTTTTAACTAATAGCTTATAACCACTAAAAAATGTAACGTTAAAAAACAATATTGTTGACAAAATGACTTAAGGAACGTTAGTGAAGGCTGTATAGTGCAAACCACAACAAACTAACTTAGCGACGTCAGATCGAGAAAATTAGATAGAAACAAAAAAACCTAACGAAATCGTGATTATTCTAAACTTATCTAGTGAAATTGTTCAGTATATTCCAACCAAGAATACATTTGTTATAAAAAATACGCTAATACGTACTTTTGTGTAAAATTTTTGCGCTGTTATGCTTCTCATAAATATATACATTATAACACAAATCTGAATAAATATACAAGGATAAGGTAAAAAAGATTATGAACAAAAGTATAAAGTAAAAGTATAAAGTATAAAGAACAAATATTTGATATACTGTTTTTAGAGGCTGTTGATGTCTACAGGTGTGATGGTGTAGTGCATTAGTATGTACCTTTGGTCGTCTAGTATGGTCTCGTTATGTCTTCGTTCACTTGTAAAAAACAAAAACCAGCAGATTTTTATTGACTTGTTTACTCATAGATCATTGTTTTATCATTTGCTAAAAGATGACTAGAGTGTGAGTTTTTATTTCTCTTTTCCTGAGTTGCTAACTTTTACTCCTCCTACTAAATAGTCTTTACATTAATTTATGTTTTTTTTACCTAAATGACATCATCTTCAATCTGTTTTTATTTTCACATCTCCCAGGTCTACGTAATTGGACGGCTCCATTTGTCACTTTTTGCAATCATGTGTCGCATCTGAAAAAAAATTTATTCTTTGTGGCTGGTGAGCCCCGACTTTTTCCAATGTACACTACAACGACAAAACGGACATTAGGCTATCCCGCTGAATGTGGTTATGGCGCTCAATAACCTAATGACTACGCTGTCACTCACGCACACGTTCAGTCGGAAGCTCCACAATGCACGTCAGATCAGCGCTCACTGACTATGTGCTCGGATCTGAAATCTCACTTCATAGCACATCATTCCACACCAGCACGGGGCAGTAGCTCTTTTGGTTAAGAGTGATGGCTTGTGGCCTACGGTGACTAATGTGTGCATTCGATCAAATAAAATCCATTCTGTAGGTCTCACGTCTGGCTCTGATGTGCTAGCCCATAAGCGCAAGAAGTGAGTGTGTTTAGCTTTCTATTCACCCGATTTGAAAGTGAACGGAAACATAACGAGACCATACTAGATGACAAACGGTACGTACTAATGCACTACACCATCACACCTGTAGACATCAACAGTCTTCAAAATCAGTATATCAAATATTTGTTCTTTGTTACATATGATCTGCATACAGAGTGATTAGAGTGTTAGTTTGTTCTCTCCCTGCCCCCCAAGCATTTACTTCGTTCTTTACCTTCACAAAAGTCTTATCACTCATTTTATATTTTCTTATGATTTTTATTTTTTATTCAATGACACCATCTTCTAACTGTTTTTATTATCACATCTCTCAGGTCTACGAAACTGGACAGCTCCGTTGGTCACTTGTTGCGATCATTGTGTCGTATATACAAAAAATTTTAGTTTTTTTTTTTTACTTAAAGTCTTTTGTTAAGCATTTTTTGCACTTACTTTTTTGCTTGTTGTTAACTCAGAACTTAAATTATGGCTGTTTGCAATTTTTTTGGGAATGAATTAATTTTAAAATAAAGTAAAAAATGGGTTTGTAAAAAGTAAAAAATGTTTGTTAAATGACTTTAATAACTTGATATTTTAAAAGGTGTATAAAGGTCACTCAAGTTCAATTCGAGCTCTGGCTTATTCATCATCTGGCAAATATCTTGCATCATCAGGTTTAACAGGTGAAATTTTTTTGTGGTCGTCAATGAATGGAACAATAATCGGTCAAATTTATAATTCAAACATCCAAAAATTTTTGTACACACAAACCCATCTGGTTGGTTTGACTGAAAAATCTGTCAAGGTAAGCATTTTATTTGTGAATCTACAAGTGTACATGCATGTAAATGTGTGTAAATACATAAGTTGAATTCGGTAAAATGGACTGGGTATAAATTATATCAAGATTTAATTATACATTTTTGATACTTTTTTGACATATTATACATTTTCAATACTTTGCTGATGTATTATGTCATCAGATATAGTGAAAAAATTCAACAGGTAATTGATTGAATTTGATTTTTTCCATTTCTCCATGTTTTTTTTTATGGAAAATACTACTTATCACAAAAAGTCTTTATTGATAAAAAAAAATATTGAAAACTTTGTAAAAAAAAAAAGATTTTTATTAGATAAAAAAATTTGTCTAAAATATGTTTACATATTGATGTCTATGAAGAGTTGAAGAAAAAGTTATTGACATTTTTTAATATTACCATAAGCAATATTTTTTAATATTACCATTAGCAACATTTCATGGCCTACTTAAAATCCACGGCCTTACATACTTCATTTTCGCCGCAAAAATAGAAGGCCTATATTAAAATACTTAAATAGCTGTATATGCAATATGGTTAACAAATGTTATGTTGTTGGATGTCGATCTAATTATTCAGGAAATCAATCAACTCCTATATTTTCTTTTTCAACAAATGAAGATCTAAAAAATAGATGGATTCGATTTGTGAACAGAAAAAATTGGCGACCAACTTCCTCATCAATAGTCTGTGTAAAACATTTTGACAATAAACTTATAAAAAAGGGCAAACAAAATAAAAGATTCCGTTTGATTAAAGCCTTAAAACCAGTCCCTACTATTTATCCAGATTGCATGGAAACAACGTCTTTATTACCTACCATTTCATTACCAAGAAGATCTCCTAAAAAAAGGGTTTTTCAAGAAGATGAGTACCAACCATTTTTAACAAATTATTCTGTACTTGATTTAGAATCAATAAATGAAGCAGACAGCCCTCCTGGATATACTTTTTCAAAATATGTAGATTATATTGTTTTTTATAAACTTGAAATGAATAATGAGTGTGTGCCAGAAGTTAAGTATCAAGATTAATAAAGACTTAAAAAATTGTTTCTTAAAGGTTTTCTTGTATCTTTGCCACATTAGTTTTGGAACAATTGTAAACTTAGTAAGAAAAGCATGCTTGAAAACTTTCCCTCATATCTTAAAGGACAAGCACAAAATATATGTTTTTTGTATGAACTTAAAAAACATCAATTTAAAAAAAGTCAAGTTTATTCAGCTGATATTATCCAATATGCTTTATTGCTACGATATACTTCCCTTCAATCGTATAAACTTCTTCTTGAACAGTTTACCTTGCCTTCAGTTTCCTTTTAAACAAGATAAAAGAAGGTAAAATTGATTCCTCAAAAGAAGCAAAACTATTGATGGAAAATACTTTATCAAAGGATATTATTGTTTTATTCGATGAAATGTTTTTGCAAAAGTGTGCAGAGTATTGTAGAGGAGAATTTATTGGTACCAATGATAAGAATGAACTTTATAGAAGTATTGTATGTTTTATGATGATTGGGTTAAAAGAAAATATACCCTGCATTATTAAAGCTTCTCCAGTTACCAAAATCAATAGTGAGTAGTTAAAAGATGAAATTTTGAGCTGCTTAGATATTTTAACGAAGAGTGGTTTTAGAGTCAGAGGTATTGTATGTGACAACCATGCTACTAATGTTTCAACCTACTCAAAGTTATTGAAATTACATGATAAAAATGCAAAAAGTTTATTTATTTTTTGATGTCGTACACCTGATAAAAAAAGTTAGAAATAATTTGTTAAATAGAAAAAGGTTTATATTTCCTGAATTCAGTTTTTGCCATTATTTTGATGATATTACTATCAAGTCTAGTGAAATTTCATGGAAACTGTTGCACGATGTTTATGAAAAGGATGAAAACTTGGATGCAAATTTAAGAAAAACTCCTAGTATTTGCAATAAAGTTTTACACCCAGACAAATTCAAGCAGAATGTTCAGGTAGCACTTGACATTTTTTGTGAAACTACTATAGCTGCTATAAAATCTTATTTTCCGACTTCCAATAATGCTTCCAGTTTCCTGCATCTTTTCAACGTGTGGTGGACAATCTCCAACTCAAAAGATCAATTTTGTTTCAGTTATAGACTTGGAAGAGTAGCGATTAAAGGTGATAAAAATCCTGAGTTTTTGAGTGCAATGGCACAGTGGCTTTCAACCTGGGAAAGTTCAAAAATTTCTAATTGTGAAAACTTTACCATATCAGCTCAAACATCTTCAGCTTAACAAAGGACACTTATGCCAAGCATCTCTAATAGAAGACCTTTTAAATGATGGTTTTGACTTTATTTTGACTGCTTGTTTTCAAAGTGACCCCATTGAAAGGTGTTTTGGCCCCCGTTTTCAAAGTGACCCCATTAAAAGGTGTTTTGGCCAATATCCCCAAATGAGTGGTGGTCGGTTTCTGGTAAGCTTGAAGGATGTTTTATATAGTGAAAGAATAATAAAAATAAAAAAATTTGGTAAAAGAGTCAATCAATTTTATAGAAAATGATATCAAAGCTGATGAGATGAAACATTCACGTTGGTTTTTAAATAAAATAGAGGATATTAACTTTGATTTTGAAAATTATACTCTCTGATGAGTCTCGTGAAGTTGCAGTGCTAAAAAGTATATTGCTGGGTATATTGCTTAAAAGTTAGTAAAAAGGTTTGGAGAATGTTGCAAAAAATTTTGCATTTGCAGTAATCCTTCAATAGATTCACAAGATACACATTATTTGAATATTTTATCAAGAGGTGGGCTGATAGTACCATCATCATATCTTATTGACTATGTTTGTGATGATTTAGCATATATTGATTGTGTTTTTGATATTATAAATAGTTCAAAGCTGCAAGACAGAAAAGCAGCTAAACTTGTTCTCAATATTGCAATGAAATCTCAATATTGCAATGACGAAGCCTTTTTATGACTCACCCACTGGATTAAGGGGCAAGATCATGTTCACCACACTATTTCCAACATATACTTCAACAATGACTATGTTCATAAAGGCAATATTGTTGCTTTTTAAAAAAGACAAAGATTCAAATAATTTTTAATAAGTATTTTTTAATTTGTGTGAGTTTTACTTCTTGCATGTTTTTGTTTTGTTTTTCAGAGTAAATTGCTTTAAACTTTTGAAATTTTAATGTATAAGTAAAAGAAAGTTTGTTATGCTTGAAATCTAACAGTTAGGAATGAGTTATTAAAAAAATTATCTTTATAAAGTTTATATTTATCTTGCTTGTATGTTTTTTATTTATGAGGGAAAAATAGAAATACTTTATTATTGTATTCTTTATATATCAGAACTTCTGATTCAGAAGTAGTATTTATATTTATATATATATTGTGAATTAAGCAACTGCAAAATAAACAAGAAATATTATTAAAGCTCGATATTAAATCTAATTTTTTGTAAATATATTTATATATAAACAGATAAATGGCCTTCTCTTTTTGCGGCGAAAATGCAAGATGTAAGGCCATGTATTTTAAGTAGGCCATGCAACATTTTTAATATTACCATTAGCAACATTTTTAATATTACCATTAGCAGCATGGAGAATACTAGTTAACATATACCTCCTGACTTTTAACTTCTGCACAAGCAGATGTTTCAATAAATTTTCCAGTACTAAGCAAGAATCTTGTTGTTAATTTTGCCTACAAGAAATATAATTCTGAGACTGAAGCATCTTATTCATATTCAGAAACTCAGATGCAATATCTTTACTTTTTGAAATGATGGACCAAACAAGTAAGAAAAAATAGGCTTAAAAGTTTACTAAAAAAATACTAAACTTTCTTGAGTTAACTCAACAAAGTACTTAAGTTATTAGATACCATGTTCTTTCTAGATTTATTTTATATTACTTCCTGATACTATTAAAAATTTAAGTATAGTTAATTTTTTCATTCAATGAGTTTTAAGTTAAAGTGTTCATTAAATTTTTCGTTATTATTATTATTATTATTATTGCTATTATTATTATTATTATTACTATTATTATTATTATTGTTTTGCAATAAAATAAAGTGACATAAAAAAATTTGATTTAGATGAATTATGTTCTCATAAGTATGTTATGTTTAAAATATATGTTTAAATTTTAGCTTTTTTTTGAAAAGGTTCTTAGGGGCAACAATAAACAAAGGCAAAAAATATTTTTTGTTCAATTTTTTTTTTTATTGTTATTTTATTAATTAGAATACATTTAGAGGTATTTATATTATTTTTTTATTATTATTTTATTATATTATTATATAGAGGTATATATATTATTATTTAGAGGTATTTATATTATTTTGAGGTATTTATATTAGCAGGCAATTTTTGAAAATTATTGTTTTTGACTAATCTTAATAGACATCTCTCAACAACAATGTTTATATGGAAAAAAAGTGTACATAAACAAATATAGTTCCTTTAACGAAGTACATGTTTAGTCTCCATAAAAATGTATTTTACGCACCAACCCACAACAACCTCAAAACAATCTAACAACAATTTAACAATAATCTTACTACATAAAAAAAATGGAAAGCATATCTTATCTTGAAAAAAAACTTTGAAATATGAATTTATCTCGAATTTTATTTTACTGAAATGAAAATCATTCATAAATTTCAAAAATGATTACACAGAATTGGGCTTCAGTACATACATTATCTTATAGCTTACTGCTGCAAAGGAGTGCTGCTTTATTGACAGAAGGTTTGGGCTGGGGTAGAAATATTTTCTTTCATTATTCTTTGTTTTGTTTTTTCTAATTAACCCGAAATCTTGATTAAGCTCGCATTAATTTTTCTAACCAAGTTTTGAAATTTCCTCAAGAAATTTGAGATCCTTAATGATTTTGAGATCTCTGAGGTATCCTCTACAATGATTTCGAGATAAATCCCTAATTTTGAGACTGTTATCCAAATCAGAGACTCGAGATAAATCATTTTTGCAATTTCGAGAGTGCAAAAATGATTTATCAAGGTCATGCTACCCAAAAAAGAAATCGTTGTATTTGTAAACATAACTGTAATTAATAAATGTAATTTAAATTATATTATAATCTATATTATTATTATTATTATATTTAAATTTTTGATAGTAATATATATAAGTCATAACTTTAATAGTTATTATTTTAATAGTTAATGTTGTTATAAGTTTGTTGCTTTCAACTTTATTTTTTTTTAAATCTTGCTTTCAATATTTTAAAATATATTTTGTACATAAATATAAAACTATCGAAAATTTATAATTTATATTCTGCATTTTGTACACAAGTAGAGTATAAAGTATACTTTTATATTTATACATATTATAAATTTTCAAAGAATAAATTATTGCGTACTTAACAGATGTGTATTTAAATGCCCCTGTATCTAAGTAAGATGTAAAATATAACAACTAAAAAGTTTATAATAAATAGCAAAATAAAACAAAAACTAGCAAATAAAACAAAAAAATAAATAACACAATAAAGTTACGAAAAATAAAGTAAAATAAAAATTTTCTCTCAAAAGCAAAATATGCTAATTTATCACAAGTAGATTAGCAAGTATTAATAAAGGTTAATATAAATAAAGGTTATGATATTACTATTATATATTTAAATATGATAATTATTATTACATATTTAAGATATTGATAATATTAATTTATATTTCATTTGTGTTTTTTATAAACAAATGATGTAGTGTCTTGTGTAGATGATTGATTTAAAATAAAATTTCATGTGAAAATTTTAAATTATTAACAGTTATACTTTGTGTAAGCATGAGCAAATCAGGTTTGACGTATGCAAGCTGAAATCATGTTTGACATTTAGGTATAAATTGCTATAATTACCAATTTATCTACTTTATCGATTTTTTTGTTGTTGTTTTTCTGTAGGTTTGGACGGAGAGTATAGGATGTCCAGGAAATGTTTTTATTTCAAACCAACCATCACCCAATTATGTTTTAGCAGTCACTGTTCATGAAAATAAAATTTTTGCTGCATACCAAAATGGTGAAGTTTGTATGTTTTTTAAAGAAGGGGGTTACACTTCATGGAAAGCTCATAACTCTTCAATTCGCTCTATTAGCTTACTTATTGACAGAGTTAGTGTGCATCTTGTTACAGCTGGTAATCTTACAAAACTTATATTTTAAAAAAATATTTCTATATTTAATCTTACATAATAAATATTTTAGCTTTAATATGCAATTTTCCTCACCCAATATATTTATGAGACAAATCAAATTTTAGGTGATGATTGTTTAGCGAAGAGATGGAATATCTCTGATAAAACTTGTGTTGCTGTAATGAGCAAACACACTGCACCTATAAGGTGTGTTAGATCAAGAGGTGCTATTATTCTTACGGCATCTGAGGATTTCACAGTTTGTGTTTGGCCAGGTATTTTGTTTAGTGATCAAAATGAAATTAAATGTCAAGCAATTTTGCGAGGTCATGCTGGTATTGTTACATGTTGCGACATCTCCTCATGCGAAACTATGGCTGTTTCTGGCTCCTCAGATATGGTTTGTATTTGAACTGTAGAGCTGTTGAGTATAATAAATTTGAATTTAAAAAAGTAAAATAAATTTGTAAAATAGAAAACAAATTTTTAAAAATAAAGTAATACAAATTTACTAATCTTGTAGAGCTTGATAATTTGGGATCTAAATACCTACACATGTTTATCCATGATCAACCGAGCACATTCAGACGGTCTTACAACTCTGAGCTGGTCAGATGTTGGAAATTATGTAGTCACAGGATCAAATGACTTTCTGTTAAAACTGTGGGATATAAAGTATATAGTTTCAAAGAAAGATGATCAGACCAGTGTTCAAGAAAAACTTGTTTTTAAGGGGCATAACAGTGCAATCAACAGTTTGAAGTACAAGGTACAAGTATAATGTTTTTTTATTAAAAAGTTATTATTTACTTTATGTTGTTGTTAGATTTTTCTCTTAAATTTGTATTCAAAACAAAGCAATCTAATTATGTTTTTTTATTTATTAGTTTGGTTGTATTGCTTCTACTTCTGCAGATGGATTTTTAAAGGTCTGGACTCACAAAGGAGTAGAAGTTACCACAATAAAAGCTCATAACTCTCGAGTTAACTGTTGTGAAATTTTTTCTTTTCTTAAAGATGATTCAGTTGAATGGAGCACTTCAACAGATAAAGTAGGAATACAAGAAAAATTGAAAGCTTATACACCTGATAGTCTTTTAGACGTTTATATATACACAGCAAGTGATGATGGATCAGTAAAAGCTTATCAACCATTTAAGGTATTTCTTTATTATTTGTTTTATGGTTTTAAAAAGATTAGTAGTAGTAGTAGTAGTAGTAGTAGTAGTAGTAGTAGTAGTAGTAGTAGTAGTAGTAGTAGTAGTAGTAGTTGTTGTTGTAGTAGTAGTAGTAGTTGTAGTAGTTGTAGTAGTAGGAGCAGCAGCAACAGCAACAACTGCAGCAGTAGCAGCAGAAGTAGTTGTTGTTGTTTTTGTTATTGTTCACTATTTTGTTATTATTATTATTTAATACTTTATTTTTTTTTTTTTTTTTTTGCAGCCAAACTTTTTAAAGGAAATGTTTGGACACTCAGATGTTCTTACAGACATTGATGTAAACATAAAAGATGGCAGTGTTGTAACCAGTAGTGTTGACCAAAGCATCAAAGTTTGGGATTTAAATGTATGACTTTTATTATGACTTTTTCAAATAATTAAAACTTTAAAAATTAAAAATTTATTGAACAAAAATTGTTAAAAAATTAATTTGTAATCTAGTTATTATATATATTTAGTTATTATATATCATTTGCGGTATTCAACATTATTTATTTTACTCAACATCATTTGTGTTATTCAACATCATTGGTGTTGTTCAACATTATTTGTGTTGTTCAACATCATTTATGTTATTCAACATCATTTATGTTATTCAACATTATTTATTTTGTTCAACATCATTTGTTTTATTCAACATTATTTGTTTTGTTCAACATCATTTGTTTTATTCAACGCTATTTGTGTTGTTCAACATTATTTGTTATGTTCAACATCTTTGGTGTTATTCAACATTATTTGTGTTGTTAACATCATTTATGTTATTCAACATCATTCATGTTATTCAACGTTATTTATTTTGTTTAATATCATTTGTTTTATTCAACATTATTTGTTTTGTTCAACATCATTTGTTTTATTCAACATTATTTGTTTTGTTCAACGTCATTTGTGTTATTCAACACTATTTGTGTTGTTCAACGTCATTTGTTTTTTTCATTCAATATTGTTCAGCATCAGTTATTAGAATTATTTTGCACATCTTTGTATAAAATTAATATTTTAGCTGTATAAAATTTTATATTTTACTTTGTATATAATTTATATAATTTTTATTTTAAAATGTAGTATTCATAAATTCTATATAATATAATTTATATACTTTTTATTTATATAATATTTATTAAATATAAAAATTTTTATAAATTACTTTGTATATAATATATATAATTTTGTTTTGTATAATATTAATTTTAGCTGACCTTTTTTTTCTCTCGCATCAATTTAGATTGAAACAAAGGATTCATCACAAATGCATTTGGATGAAGTATCTGCTGTTGCTATAAGAGTTTCTAAATCTGTTTCATGCGGTCGTGATGGAAAAGTTAAACTTTTCTGTAAGACTTCAGTTTTTGAGTTCGCCCCACTATTAGTAGTTGCGTTTACATCTGTGACTTTTATGGGTTCTCAATATGTAGCTGTTGGTGATGTGAGAGGCAACTTGTATGTATTAAGTACTCTTGATCTTAGCCTAATTGAAAAAGTGAATAACATTTATAGCATAGAAATGTTATCAGTTGATCAGCATGGCATTTTTGTTGCTGCTGCTGCTTTAGAAGCAATAACTATTTATAAATGGGATAGCAAACATTTAATATCAACAAAATGTTTATCAAAGTGAGTGTTCATAAATATTTGTCTAAAATTGATAAACCATTGAATTAAAAATATAATTGTATGATTAAATATTTATTTATATAACTTGACTCCTTGTCTGTGGTGATTGTAGTGGCCCCCTTCATTTTCTCCTCCCCCCCTCCCCTCCCTCTCATAATGGTAGGGGGGGGTGAATAAGCAGCAGAACAACCTGAGGAGGAAAAGAATATAAATTACTTATAAAAGTTCAGGTTTCACTAATATTAAAAAAAAAAAACACTATCTTCATTTGAAATTTTCTGAATTGTTTGCATAAAGTCTTTTGCAAAATGCAAAGTTATATATGATATAAGTTTTGGTAGCATTAAACATAATATATGCAGTATTTTACTTTTATTTTTATTTTTTTATATAATTTTTGTGTTTAACATTTTTTGTTTTTAATTATTTCAATTGTTTTTCTTTTTATACAATTCTTAAATTTTTAATATTTTTATTAAATTTGTGTTTTAATATTTTTATTAAATTTGTGTTTTAACATTTTTATTAAATTTGTGTTTTAATATTTTTATTAAATTTGTGTTTTAATATTTTTATTAAATTTGTGTTTTAATATTTTTATTAAATTTTGTGTTTTAATATTTTTATTAAATTTTGTGTTTTAATATTTTTATTAAAATTTGTGTTTTAATATTTTTATTAAAATTTGTGTTTTAATATTTTTATTAAAATTTGTGTTTTAATATTTTTATTAAATTTATTTGTCATTAAGTTTGGTTTTTGTTTTTCAGCTCTGGGTTTTATAATAATTGCATTTCAATTGCTGGTAGCATGTTAATTCTAATAAAATACCAATCAGGAAATAGTATCATAGAATACAATAAGATTAATGTAAGTATATTTATTATTATTTGTTATTTGCATATTATTTCCTATTGCATGATTTATTGCTTATTTTATCAATTTCTAAAATAAAACTAAAAAAAAATTATTTTTGATGATTTTTACAACACCAAAAGTTGGTTCATGATAAAAATAAAGTAATTCTGTTGTATCCAAACATGAAAAAAACTTTCTGTGAAATATTTACTGGACTGATGCCAAACTTTTAGTCTTAAATTCTAATAAATTTGAAAGAAAATTTAGGAAAGCTTTGGAAATACAATACCAATAAACTGACCTGCACAACCCAATAGGAATGATTTTTGGTGACAATCAACATTTAAACACTGATTTTCGGAAACCAATGATACACTTTATTTAGATCAAAAATTGATGTCAATACAATGTTTTCTTTTAACAAATTTTTTAAATAATTGTTGTAAAAATATTTAGTTTTATAGGCGGTCTGATGATGAGATCATCTAGTGGTTTCGAAATATTACTAATAAATAATATAATTAATAATATACTAATAAATTAATATAGTTGTTATGAATGTTTGTAAAAAGTAATTTTATAGATTATTTAGTATAAACATTCATTCAAGATGTCTTTAAAAACAATACTTAATGATTTTTTTAGGGGTTTGGTACTGTATCTCTTGAAACCAGCAAAACATATGAAATAAACGGTTTTCCTACTGCAATGCATAGTTTTTGTAAAGATCAGTTAGTGAATGTTTTGATTGGATATAGTGATGGCTTTATGTCTTGTTACATGGAACCAGTCATTGAAGAAAAACCTAAATATCATTCAAAGGTTGGTTATTGAGGAGATTTTTTATTATTAGTTATTTCTTTAATTTTATTTGCACCACTGCATGTTTACAACATTTTTTTAATCTTTTTAAAAGAGAAAAGAAAATCTTTAAACCCGACAAACATCTTAATTACATTATTAGCATTTTTACCAAAGAACAGATTCACCCCTTTAAGTGTATTGGTGATATATATATATATATATATATATATATATATATATATATATATGTGTGTATATATATATATATATATATATATATATATATATATATGTGTGTTATATATATATATATATATATATATATATATATATATATATATATATATATATATACATGTATGTATGTATGTATACATACATACATGTATATATATATATATATATATATATATATTATATATACATGTTATAATTAGATTTTTACATTTTGTTTTTTTGTTTTTTGTTTTTTTGTATCTAATTAGATTTTTGAATTGTACTGGAACTAAGTTTTAATTTTATTTTGTGTTTTTAAGATTTTTAAATTCGATTCAAGCAAACAAAAATCAAAATTTTAGAAAGCTTATCATGCCGAATCATCCTTTTTTAAAAGCTTTTTTCAAATGACTTATGGTATATCTGTAAAGTTAACAGAAACAGCAGATATTATAAAATGTTGCATAAATTTGAAATTTTGTAGACAAAACATTCCATCTAAAAAAAGTTCCATACATTTTTATTTGTTTCATATCACTTTATGTTGGTAATTTGATTGCTTATTGCTTTGTGTACCATGGTAACAGGTTGCCATGCACCATAGATGGTGCATGGCAACCTGTTACCATTGAGTCAAGTTCTCTATTATTTTAAAATATGATAATAAAGAAATTAAAAGATAATAAAATAAAGATTGAAATTTAAATTTCAATCTTTTAAAAATATTTTAAATGCATTTGATTACAAAATTTATTTAAAAGCAAAATCACATTAGTATTTTGTAGGATATTCTTTACATGATTTGGCTTCGTCAACGGCTATTCTTCAATGGCTTCGTCATTGACTAAGTCAACGAAATTAATGCAAACGCCAATGGTAATTGAGTCCAATATTTCCTTGATTTTGTTAAATAAATCAGCATGATTTGTAGGCTTGATTCCTTTCATGTGACATTTAAAACATTCCCATAGACTTTCAATGGGATTTAAGTCAGGTGAGTGGGATGGCCACTTCAAAACATTATATCTTGTACCTACTGGACATTGAACATACCTGATTCCATCTGATCTGAACAGCATACTCACTTTGGTCACTAAAAAGAATTTTTGACCATTTTTGACTACACCACTTTAGATGATCTGATGCAAATTCATTTTGGGTGTTACGGTTTTTCAAGGAAACTTATGGCTTTTTATCTGGTCATCTTTCAAATAAATTGGCATGGCGTAAACAACCTTTTATGCGTTCCATAGAAAAGTCTCATTTGTACATTTTTATTGACAGCTGTCAAACGATTCCTTGTACTTTTCTTGATTCATAGTCTCAGTAATTCTATGGAGCAGACCAACTCCATCCCAGCTAAAGTATCCCCAAACCATTGAATTACCTTCTCCATGTTTTCATGTGTTTTGTTTTACAGAATTTCCATTTTGAACTGATCTCAAGTTCAATTTTTTCACAAAAGATGAAATACATTCTTTGATCCCATGAGATACATTTCTTCGATCCCATAATCTCAATCACTTATAAAATTATATGCGGTAGTGGTTTAGTGGTAGAGCGCTCGCTTCATAAACGAGTGTTTCCGAGTTCGATCCCCACCACGTCCCTGGTAGTACCGCGCTCAACTCGTTTCTCCGCGCAGCGGCCTTGTTCGTCAAGGTTCGTGTTTCCGAGTTATAGAGTTAAGAGAGGGTTATAGCCACAAAATAAGTAGCCTCCTCATTTGTAGTGGCCTTCTTGGCCTTGAGGAGGTGAAGTAAAATTAAAAAAAAAAAAAAAAAAAAAAGAGTTTTTAAATTATTACACAAAGTATTTTGTCAACAGGTTGATCCATTGCTTGACATTCCTATCACTCCAGTTTCTGTATCTAATGTGATTTCCGTCCCGGACAACATACCTGTTATAGTCTTGCAGAAGTGTTCTCCGGAGCTGTCATCTATCCTTTCAAAACTATTCAACAAGTTATCAGAGTCTTATTTTCCAGCCTGCTGGAAAGCAGCATCTGTTATCCCTATTTTTAAAAATTCTATAGAGCGATCTGATTCATCTAACTACTATCCCATTAGTCTTCTTCCTATCATAAACAAGGCTTTTGAATCTTTAATTAACAAACACTTAATCTCTCATTTTGAATCTAATAACTTACTTTCTGATCATCAATATGTATTTCGATCTTCTTGTTCTACAGCTGATTTGCTAACAGTAATAACCGATAGGTTTTATCGCACATTAGATGAAGGTGGAGAGTTTAAGGCCATCACTCTTAACATTTCTAAAGCTTTTGATAAAGTTTGGTATGCTGGTCTTTTGATAAAGTTTGGCATGCTCCATAAGCTTTCTTCTTACGGTGTATCTAGAAACATCTTTAAGGTTATTGAATCCTTCCTTTCCAATCGTAGTGTAAAAGTTTTTCTTGATGGACAGCACTCTTCTTCTTATTCTGTAACCTCAGGGGTTCCTTAAGGTTCAATCCTTGACCTTATACTCTTTTTAATTTACATTAACAATCTTCCAGATGTTCTCACACCTAAGGTGGTATTGTTCGCTGATGATACTACCATTTATTCTTGTCATGATAAGAAGCTAACTGTCTCTGATTGCTTGGAGGGGACATTTGAGCTTGAAAAGGATCTCACTTCTGCTACAACATGGGGTTCACAATGGCTGGTGAACTTTAACTCAGATTAAACTCTATTTTTTTCAGCCAATCGTTATCACAATAATTTAGACCTTCCTATATTTATGAACGGTAATTTTCTCGATGAGTCATCTACCCTTCATCTTCTAGGATTAACTCTTACTTCTGATCTTTCTTGGAAACCATATATCAAATCCGTTGCAAAATTAGCACCTGCTAAAGTTTCATCTCTTTATCAAGCTTGACACTTTCTTACTCTGGATTCTATTCTCTGCCTCTACAAATCTCAAATCCGGCCTTGTATGGAATACTGTTGCCATATCTGGGGCTTGTCCATCTACTAAAATTCATTCTCATGTTACTCGTCATTCAATTAAGTCTCATCTTTTTTTTGTGACTGTTCCTAAGTGCTCCAAAAACTCTTATTGATCTTGTTTTTTTCCTCGATTTCAGTTCTTTGGAATTCGCATCCTTCATCTTGCTTTACTGATTCATATAATTTGCAATCTTTTAAGTTGTCTGTCAATCGTTATCTTGCTCTACAATCTTCATTTTTTCTTTTCCAGTAACTTCCAACATTAGTTAGAGGTTGCTTGCAGCCTTGATTGAAGCGAAGATGTTTAAAAAAAAAAAATTGTTTAAAATATCAGCAAATAACGATTTTGTGTGGAAAATTTTAAAACCTTTGTTCGTCAGCAAACTTTTGCACATCAAAAATCGTTTTTTTTAAAACTAATTTTAAAATGTTAATTAAATCATTATTTGTTCAAAAATAAATTGTTAACGTGAAAACTTTGTATGCGCTGAAATATTAGTAAAATTCAATTTTTTTTTAATTGGGCATCATCATACTTAGATAGGCTTTTTAATGTTGGTTAGGGTTGGCATTAAAAAACCTACCTAAAAAAACCATAAAACCCAGGCAATCTGGGTTTTATTGGATATTTTTAAAGATATTTTATAATTTTATGAACTATTATAATCAACATTTTTGAAAACATAATCATATTATAGTAGCTAGCTATAAAGAAAAAAGTTTCAATTCAAACAATATTTTTAATAAAAAGTTTTTTTACAATATATTCGTAAACAAAAAAAATTAAGATTCATTCAATTAGATTTTTTAGGATTAAACCACTTTGATAAAAATTATTACATTTATGACATATTTTTTAAAAAAACCAACTATTAACTATTAAATCAACTATTAACTATTAAACCAACTATATAATCTATTTTTGATACTGTCTATATATTTGTACATTATTTGAAAATATTATTTCAATTGATTTAGAAATAAATTTGCAAAATCCTGCAGGTAATTTCTTCTGAACTAATTTCTTGTTTCTTGGGTTAATGGTAGACCACCAATCACTGCACAAAATTTTTGATACAATTTGATTGATAAAGTTAAAGTAGAAATTTATACTAATTTTCAATTTCATTAAACAAAAACAAAAAAATTTAACAGATACGAAATAAAAATAAAGCCCTAAAAAAAAAACCAAATTTACCCAATAAAACCCAAAATTACTCAAAAAAAAATCCACTGGATTGGTTTTTTTTTTAAAAAAAAAAACCGGATTTTTGCCAAATCTGATATTGATAGCTATTATCTTTTAACAACTGTATTCTCCAGTTTTGATAAAAAAAGATTTGATAATCAATAAATTGATTTTAAGAACATCCAATCTTGAATGTGACTCCTTGCAGTGTTTGGTGAGTTTTGTTATAGCTTGCAGTGTTTGATGTGTTTTGTGATAGCTTGCAGTTTTTGTGAGTTTTGTGATCCATTACAGTGCTTGGTGAGTTTTGTGATAACTTGCAGTGTTTGGTGAGTTTTACTGATAATAATTACCGCTTTGTTGATATTCCCAATACATGCGGTAGTGGTGTAGTGGTAGTGCGCTCGCCTCATAAGCGAGAGGTTCTGAGTTCGATTCCCTCTACGTTGCAGTAGTACCAAACTTAACTTGTTTCTTCGCACAGTGGTCTTGTTTGCCAAGTTTTGTGTTTCTGAGTTATAGAGTTGAGGGAGGCTACTTAATTGTTAACCACAATTAAGTAGCCTCCTTATCTGTAGTGGCCTTCTCGGCCTTGCGGAGGTGAACTACCATTAAAAAAAAACATGATTAACAACACTCTAACTGAATCTTCTACTTTACAACTTCTTTAATTATTTTTCATTACTGATATTTCTCACAGAAACCATATATTCAAGTTTTAAAAAAGACTGCAAGCAAACCACTAATTTAGTTGAGAATTACTAAAAAGTAATGATTGCAAGCAAACCACTATTTTAGGAGTTACTAGAAAGTAAAGAAGATAGTTAAAGAGCTTGAAAAAAAATGAAAAAAGATTTATAAACTTAAATTCCAATCATTCCAATTGAAGTACCCAGGAGAACCAAGACCAAAAAAAAACACACCTAGCTTGATCAATGTTTGCTCTGTTGTTTTTGATTTTCGATTGGTTCAAATATTTTGATATTTATTTTAATGTAATTATAAGTTACAAAATAAAATCTTGAACATTTAAAACCTTGGTTTTGGATTAATAACAACATAAAAATATTTAATTTTTGTTTATTTAATAAATTTTTTTATCAATAGCCGCTTTAATAATATAAATATCAATAACAACTGCGTAAATACAATAAATACATAAATTCAAATAACTAACTTTAACGTATATCTAAATTAGTGAGTTTATTTTGTATTATTATTGGTTATATACAATTTTATTTAAGTATTTTTTATCAGCTATATACTATATAGTATTACCAATTGCTTTTTAAATTATTTAGTACATTTGAATTATAATTAAAAAAAAACTTCATTATTTATAGAAATTACAAAGCAATAATAAATTAGTGAATTAAATTTACCACATAAAAAAGAAAAAGTAAAAGAGTAAAAACCCACTTTAGAAGTTTCTAAAGCTTCTGAAGCTTCTGAAGCTTTAGAGATGAGTTTATTATAAGATAAAGATTTGAGTTAAAAAATAACTTTAGGAGACAAACATGAAGTTCTTTAAATAAAAATATTCTTCATGAAAAAAATGACTGCATAAATCATTTATTACGTTTTCTAGTAATTCACATAAAAAGAGCAATATTGGATTGTGATTTTGAAAAGTGATTAAGAATGCATTAAATTGCAATTTGCTTCAAAGAATTCAAGTTTCATTGGCATAATCTACAACTAAAAATTGGCTAATAAAAAGAGCTTATTAAGAGCAACCCACAACCACCCAGCACACCCACAGCTCTGCTTGGGTCCAACGATTTTGCTCGACGATTTATCTTGGGTGTTATTATAAGTGATGAGAAATGGTTACTCATTACTAATCTCAGTAAAAGGTGACAGTGTCAACAAAAATTACAAAATGTGCCAAACCCAATACAGACTTTTCAGCAACAGACAAATTCTGATTTTTATTCACAAATAAAAGTCCTTCAGTGTGATGGGGTGCATATTGGGTATTGCTTTTTATTAATACATCTCTATCTACAGAGGTCTAATATAATCAACTAAAACAGCTGACGCAAAATCTTTCAACTGACAATCCAGAGCAAAACAAAATTTGCTTTTTATGCATCAGCACATAACCACATCACAAAATCTATCCAAATTTATATCGTAAAACGACATCACAAAATCACCAAAAATTATTGGAATTTAGCTGTGAGATATTACCTCACTCACTACCTACCTCATTACTAGGCTTAGCCCTAACTAGTTATTGCTTGTTTTGTTTGCTAAGAATTTATCTATAAGATGTAGAGCTTTTTCAAAATTAGATCAACTTAAAGTTTACCCGAGTGACTCCAACCCCAAAGAGTTCTTTTTTTTGCTTGCACACTTGCACGCAGTTATAAGCATTAGCAGAGCATAGTTGATTAAGTGGTATTTTTTTATTTTTGTTCATACAATATTCACAAGTCAAAAGTGTCTAATTATTTTTGTTTATACGCGTTATAACCAATTTTTTAGTTTTTAGAAAGCTGTTTAGAAAGTTTAACCAGGAAGTTTAATTCTTTAGATACATGAAAAAGAAATTACTGGATTTTTGGTGATTAATGAAATCATGGTTACATCCTCTAAAGATTGTACGGTCAAAGTTTGGAAAATAACCGAGGAAAATGATTTCAGCTTAAAACAGGCAAGGATATTTTTTGAAAAAAAGTTTTTCTATTCTTTAAATTTGATACTTTTTATTAGAAATAAGTTTTTTCATTCTCAAAATATTTTTTTATTCTATAGATTGGTATCTATTTTTGTCGTTCTCCTGTCAATACGATAGCTGGCTGCGTAATCGACGACAATTTAAATCTTGTTGTTGGGTATTCATCTGGTTACGTTGACCAACTTACCGTCAAACTTAATTAAAAAAATTTTCTAAACAGTTTTGGTGTCGGGAGCCATTCATTTATTTACTTTAATTCTGTTTGTTTTTTTGTTTATAGTTTATAAATGATAAAAAAAAAATTTCTGTGCAACTTTTTTATTACAACAAATTATTTGTACACAATTAATTTATATATACGCAATTGATAATTTAATAAATTTTTTAGGTTTATTTAGTAGTAGCTTAATTAAATAACATTTAATTTAAATTAGTTATTACTTCTTTATATTTTAAATATTTTATTATTGTTATGATATTTTTATACTTTATAGATTTTGAAAATTTGTCGTTGTGTCATCAAAAAATGTCACTCGGTTTAAAGTATTTTATAACGTAGATGAATTAAAAACACTTGTGAATTTTTTTTCTTAGAGATTTCATAAGTTTGTTTCAGGTATAGTACTGCTTTACAATTGAAAACCTTTTTCTTCAAAAATTGAAATATAAGGTTATTTTTTATTAAAATTATTAGATGGAAAAAAACGTATTAGTTTTCGCAGGTGTCAACTTTTTCAATTACACAATGTAACAAATTTTTATTTTTGTTTTGTTCCTCGGTTGAAAGTGTGTTTTCCTAACCCGTTAGGTCTAGAACAGAAAAGAAATCGTTATTATTCAAGAAAAACTTTGCTTTTGTGACTGGGACATTGAAATTTGGAAAATCGCGTGTTTTCGAGAAAATTCTCGATTTGCTTTCAATGCCGAGCTTCCTTCTATAATACCCCTGAACTGCTAAAATGGACAGTTTTAGTTAATTAGTTTATTGAATTGTATCAAACTACTGTTTTTTATTCACTTTTTTTATATCGAAATATCTAGAGTTCCCATTTTATTGTTTGTCTAAATATTTTTCAGAGAGCACATTCATAATACAAAGCATCTTGCCTTTTTGTAAATACACTATATAAGATGTCGATAAAATAATTTCGCCTACCGTTATTTTATTTTCGACTTATCAGTATGTTAAGCTATTATAATCCATAGTACAGTTATGATTTGGGATATCCCGGATCGTTTATTTTAAATATCCAGCCAGATACAATACAGATTTCAAAACAAGGTAGTTGGACACGTACCGTAGAACGGGGTGACTTTGATACGCGGGGTGACTTTGATAATTTCGTCTGTTAGTTACAAAAATAATGATTTGAATGTGAAATTGCACAATTAGAGACTATTTTTTTTTTTTTATTCTTGTACATAATTATATTCTGCTAATATTTTTGAAATTTTAATGATTGTGAAGTGATTCTAAATAGTGCAAATGTGTTAGGAATAACATGACTATAACAAAAAAATAACGATTTTTACACGTACCAAAAAATGCCAAAAAATCTTGTGATTTTAATTTTTTTGAAATTTTTTTTTTTTCTAAAAATCTATACTTAGATGTTCAAGTGGTATTTTCCAGTTATAATACCACTGGAATATACCACTCGTTTTTGGTTACTCTCAATCACATTTGCAGAAAAATCAAAACAATTTTGTTTTTCAGTTTTTTAAATGATTTTTAGTATTATATATTTCAATCCTATTTTAATTTTTTAATGTTTCAAACGATTATTTCTAGTTAAAAAAAACGTTAAAACAAAAAATATCACAAGGAGAATTGCAAGGATTATGTCAACAATTTTCTAACTACAGGGAGTTGGCATGTTGCAGTCTACCCAGGAAAAACTAAAAAAAGTGTGACCTTGAATTACATTGGGCAGATTATTGAGGTTTTATCAACACCCAAAATTCTTTATATGAGATTCCTAAGAAAAGTAGAAGGATCCAAAAATTTGTTTAAATATCCTGTTGCAGAAGACATTGTTTTTGCTGTACATTTCTCAAATATATTGCAACATCTTCAACCACCAAAGACAAATAATAGTTATCAACTACAGTTTGCAAATGTGACAAATATTGATAAAATCTGTTAAGTGAATCGGATACACGATCAGGAGTATTCAGAATAATACTATTATTTCATTTAAGATTTGACACTTTAAGATTAACACTTTGTCTTTCAAACATTTATTTTACTAATTAGTACCCTGCAGCAGTATAGAAGTACTACACATAACAAACTAATTCCTAGTCCGGTTTTAACACCAGTTGCTGTAGAATCTTTAGAAAATGTGATTTTCAGTTATTTATTTTTTGGATATCTTTTTAATTTTAAATTGAGTTAAACAACTAAAGGACACATAACAAACTAATTCCTAGTCCGGTTTTAACACCAGTTGCTGTAGAATCTTCAGAAAATGTGATTTTCAGTTTGTTTTTTTTTGGATATCTTTTTAATTTTGAATTGAGTTAACAACTAAAGGATATTATAAGTACTTAATATTTATATGCAATTAGTATTATTTTTTTGTTAGTGTTATTTTATAACTGCTAATTACTATAACAATGTTATTGATATATATTATTTTTCTGTGTTTAGCATATTAACATCAAATTTATTTTTGTTTTTTCTTTGTCCATTCTGTAGATATATTCGATAACCAAACTTGTTGTCTAAATTTATAATTTTACCAGTAAATCTTATAAGTTTATTTATATGTTGTGTTCTAATTTAGTAAAAGTCAAAAAGAAAGTATTAGCGACACTGTAAAGAGGGTTAAATCAATAAGCCATTAAGAAATAATAGACTATCAAAGTCATCCCAAACGACGGGGTGAGATTGATAACATTTTGGATTAAAAATATATATATTAAGACAAAAAAAAATTAAAAATATTTAATGGAATTATATAAAGGAAAGGTATAATGTTATAACGGGAAAAAAAAAATCAGAAAAAATTGTAATGAACCAGATTTATTTTGCAAAAAAGCTCAAAATCCTAACAAGTCACCCCCGTTCTACGGTATTATCTGCCAAGCTTGAGCCTCTCTCCCATCATCGTAAAGTTCCACCTCTTTCTACAAATACATCCAAAACTCATAATAATCCATTTGACTCTCTCTCTCTCGCTTGACTCGTCATTCAGCAAAGTCTCATTCTTTTACTGTACCTATCCCAGCATGTTTAAAAACTTGTCTAGTTTTTTCCACCGCACCACAACCCTTCGGAATTCTCTCCTATTCTTTGTATAAAGTTAGAGGAAAAAAATGTTTAAAAAAATTACAAAATTTTTTAACAGTGAAAATACTATGTAAAATACAAATGTAAAAAGGTTAAACGACTTGTTTTCGATCGCTTTTTTAAAATAAATGATCCCTCCAAATCGAATCTGAAGTCATTCCTACCCCTTAAATCATTACCACTACCAGCATCTTCTGCATTTTTGGGGAGATTGTTTTTTGAAAATGGAAATATCGATGAGAAAAAGAGATCAAAGCTGTTACCTCAACCCGGAGAAATGTTATTGTTTATACATAATAATGCAAATAAATTTATAATTGATAAAACCTGTATTTTTTGTGCACGTATTTCTTTGAACTATATAACTTAAACAAGATTTTTTTGAATCTACTATTATCAGTAATATCTACTAATATCAGGTTATTTTAAAAGAACAACTTTAGAGTTTGTGTTTTAGTTTCTCACATTCTGTTAAAATGTTTTGATCAAACTGTGTATCTTACGACTGCAGCAATATTTAAAAGAAGTTTTTTTTATTATTATTGATCAATATAAAACATGCGGCGTAACTAAATGGATTATTTTATTATACGGCCTGACACCGGATAACATACAATCCGGCCCGGATAATCAATCCGGGACACCCCTAACTATGATTATCATACGTCATTATACAAAGCGTATGCTATGTAGTGGTGTTGGTGTAATTGTAAATCGCTTATTTCATAAGCAATCAGTAACCAAATTCAATGCCATAAACGTTCGCGCCAAACTAGTTTTTTAACACAGGAGCCTTTTTATGAATGCTATTCTTTGACATTGTGAAAATCAAAACAGAAAAAAAATCCTATAATTAACTACAATTACAAAATAACTATTATAATTAACACAGTTATTTGTTTGTAAAAATGGTATTCATGTTATAGAACCATAATGATCATTTTTATCTTACATACATGAATTAGTAACATTTTTGTAATAATACATATGAGATTCAATACCAAATTGGTATTGGTGTATGAATTCATCATGCTTATTTTTCAACGTAAACAAATATTAAAAAAAAAACTTATAGCCTGTTTAAATTTTTACTTTTAAAGTCAAGATAAAGAAACAAAATACATATTATGCAAGCATAATGCTGATGAGTTTGAGATCAAAGGCTAGGTAAAATTTAGGTGATTGTGGTAGAAAAGTATGATTAAATTGTGATGGCTTCACTACATTTAAAACAAAGTCTAGAATATCTACCTTGTTGACCCTTATTATGGTAAAAATCTCAAACAAGTTTGTTTTTAAAGATTCATGATTCCTTTAATACCAAGACGTAAAACCGAATTAAAAAAATCCAACTTTTCTAAACAAGATTTTAGGAAACTGGCATCCTTTTAAAAAATATTTTTACACAAAATAGGTAAATCTAGGCTAAATATTTTTACAGAAGATATAACTCTGTCTAGGTTTTATATTTATAATGAAGCAAAAACATAAACAACTATGCCAGCAACATGTGAGTTTTTTGAAGTAACTAAGGTAGTTGAAAAGTTGTTTTTTAATTCCCGGTTGACAAATGCCAGAACCAACTAATTAACGGCATTATGAGCAAAATCAATTTTGTTTTTTAAAATCTTTTTAATTTTTTCACATTCTGAAAGATTAAGTTTTAATTCTAGTATTTTGCTTTATACAGCAAATAGCTTAAAAGTATTGTCACCATTTTGTTTCAATCTTTCTAACTTTTTTTACTTGATGATAACCTTTTAAACCATAATTTTTATACCATAAGTTTTTACAATTGATAATCTAACTGTTTAACATTTTTTGTCTAAAACTTTTGTTGGTTGAGAACTTATGTCAAAACAATCTTTGGATCCACAAGCTCCTGTTCTTTGGGTTCACAAGCTCCTGTTCTTTGGATCCACAAGCTCCTGTAACCGTTTTAATCAATAAACTAATATCTT